GTCGGTAAACAAGACATCATGGCGAGATAACTCAGGTCATGCATCATAAACAAACGAGTCACATGGCACAACAACGACTTCAGCGTCGTCTGAGGTTACAATGACACAAACTTGGATGTGATGGGAAACGTTAAGTTCTCACAGGAGTTAGTTGGGGTTAGTTATCAAAACCGCGTCTGATAATCGACCTCGATATATCAGCTACAACTTAGCTAATATAGTGCTAGCTGGAAAGCTATAAGCTGCCGCCGGCAACTCGTTCACAAGCATAGCAGCCGGTAACATATATATAATATATATAGTCTCGCTATACCCTTACCTTGTGCACCATTTGCCGGCGTAATGCTTCTGTATTTGAGCGACCCCGAGACTGAAGTTTCGACTCTCTTGTTGGTTGTTAGCTTTCAGAGCAGTCGAACTACCTAACCACAGTAATTGAACGATATGTGGAGTCGTATTTCCTGTTGCTGAGGTTCACGCAGAGGTCAGAGAGTCTCCGTCCATACTGCAGTGTTACCGTCTGCTCCAGCTGGCTCTGTGTTATATGTCTAAAGTTTCTGCTTGACTACTTTACGTAAATACATTATGTTGACATTTCTAAGACTTGATACACCCCCGCTATCCATCCTTACAAGATTTTCCATGGTTTTATTTTGAAGGCCAACTCGCCCGCTTCCGCTTTTCCGCCCTCTCACTCAATACTTGTACTGTTAGCTCATCATAAGGTGGACCTCCTTTCTACTCTGTGCTACATGTAAAGATATGTACACGATAAACCGTGTTTGTGTCGGTGTACATATGTGAGGAGACTGCTTTAGTTGACTCGGTTTACAGCGCTGGGTTTGGGTCGGTTTTGGTTTAAGTGGGTCATGTGAGGTGACTACTCGACAGGCAGGGTGGAAACAAAGTGTAACTCCAGAGACTGTCCACAAGAGGCTGCTAGAGGCTTTCTAAGTCCACCCTCTGTGCGGTAAATGCGTTTGGTGACATAATAACGACTTATTATTGGAGAATTGGTTCTTAAAAAACTGCGTCGTACTGTTTGACCACTTACTCCACTCCGATATCCAATATCTATTCCAATATCCACTCCAGTGACACCAAAATGCCATTTGATGGCATTATTTGGGGATATAAAGGACACTTGTAATGTTTAGTTTCTATGTTGTTGATGTAAAATTGCTGTTTCATTTTCTAATCACATACTGAGATAGAATAGTTGACCCTTGAAGTTGAAGTTTGTAGTTGCCCTTTAAATACCTGTTAACAGATTAGGTGAGAGAAGTCACATTTACTACCCAACAATACTACCCAGCTAAATCATTTGTTTTTCCTGTGTGAGTACATTTCTGAAACAACTGATCATCTGTTTTGTCCTTTTATCCACACTGGGAAGATTTTTTTTTTTTCTTAAAGGGACAGTGAAAGCAAATATTTTACAGGCTAATTCATCTTATTTTTAAATGGTCTTACTTGTAATTAAAATTAACTTTTGGGTAAAGTTTTCCAGTGCTTTATTTACTATATATTCAGTATGCCTTTGCTCTGCTCTCCGCTTGTTTTATTGTGCTCATCTATAGTATATTTAAAGTTGATAAAAGGTCATTGTTAAATTGTTTTTTATTATTTCCAAATAATCCCTGTTGTATTTTGTATGTGATTATTACCGGATGGGGCCAGATGTATAAGGATGTAGCTTCGCCTTTTCCCACAGAACTATTCCACCCTTCAGAGCAGTTTTCAAGAGACAGCGGAGGTTGAAACGATGAGGTGGACATACAAATAAAAGGGAGATGTAACCCCTAGAATAAAACATGGTTTATGGTTGTTATGTAGTTAGTCTACACAGGGTTCTGAAAAATGTTATTCAGAGGCGCATTTATCATGTTAATTTTTTTATTTATTTATGAGTGATGAATTTTAGCATTATTTCTGTTTACCTTAAGCCTTCCCTGTTAATGAAAATATCATTAACAAACATTTTCATTCACCCCTGAGCTGTGAAGCACTGTTTATGTCAGCATGAGCTCTGTAGAATAATCACTGATCATTGCTCTGATGTTCAGTAATGGTGATTGAGACTTCCCCAGGTTGATGGGTTGCAGGTACATGTGACAGATTATTGGTATGGGCGCGATGAATAACTCCAGCTGTGCGTAACGGTCGCGCGTAATGACAGCTCTGTTGGTCAACCTCGCTGAATAAACACAATCAGTTGTACCTTTTCTCATTGACAGGTCTACTGAGTGCTAATGATGAATGAGTAGTGGAGCTGGCACAAGTGTCTATATGCAAACGGATGATTGAGGGCGTATCTGTGTCCATAATTGTAAATGGAAAAGCAGTTGCACAATGATTGACATTTATAAATCAGACTCAGGCGTACGAACAGATGTATTAATCTGACGACGATTGAAATAATCATTATAAGTACAGAGAAAGAAAAGTTTTATTTATCTGTCCCTTTGTGAGTGTGAGGAATGGAAAACCTGCTGATCCCAGACCAGTGTGGCTCATTAGGGGGAGGAGATATTTAGAAGGAGGGGGGGGTTCTGAGAGAGGGAGAGAGAGGTCTCCTGCAGCAGGTCTCCAATCAGTTTGTGTAGAAACAGAGGACGGAGAAGAGGAAGCCCGGGGACATGCTGCGTATCCTTCATCATTCCCCCGCACCCAGAGGCGACGCATGACTCCTGAGTGCCGTCATGGGCAAAAGAGGCCCCGGGGCCAGTTCAGTGTCAGCGGTCTCACGTAGCCGAGGACGCGACCTCTGGTGTCCAAAAGAGCAGGGACGGCGGTGGTGGACTCCATCACAGTTGTGAAACACTATGAAGGCAAAAGGTACAGAGTGTGAGGGTCTCTGGGCGCCGCAGTGAGAGCCATGGATCACCTTTTCCGGAGGAAGCGGGTCGGTCTGCTGAAGCCCCTGCTGAGTCTGTCTCTAGTGTTCGCCTCTTTCCTCATGATCCACAAGCTGAAACTGGCAGAGAAGGACGGAGTGGGGGTTAAACACGCCAGGGAGACCGGCTGGTGCGGCTCGGAGTGTTTTTCATTCAAGAAGGGGGTCGTGAAAAATAGTTTGGGGAGCTCGGAGTCTCCGGCGCTAAGCAACGTTTTGGACGCGCATCGGGTCTCCAATGTGACCCCGGCTTCCTGGGACGCACAGGTTCTCAACTGCAGCGAGGACGCGTCGGTGAGGACCCAGGACTGGTTCCGGCGCCTGGACCCGAGATTTCACCAGTTCGTCCTGCACAGACACTGCAGGTACTTCCCCATGCTCATCAACCACCCGGAGAAATGCGCGGACGGAGAGGTGCACCTCCTCATGGTGGTCAAATCCGTTATCGAGCAGCACGACCGGCGGGAGGCGGTGCGCAAAACCTGGGGCAAAGAGCACACGGTGGATGGGAAGAAAATCAAAACTTTATTTCTTTTGGGGAGCCCGACGACCGGCAAAGACACCAAGAACCTCCAGAAACTGATCGAGTACGAGGACCGGATCTACGGGGACATCCTCCAGTGGGACTTTATGGACACTTTCTTCAACCTGACCCTGAAGGAGGTCAACTTTCTCAAGTGGTTTGACATCTACTGCTCCGGGGTGCAGTTCATATTCAAAGGAGATGATGATGTGTTTGTGAACACGCGCAACCTGCTGGAGCTCATCGGCTTCAAGGTGGACGAGCGCAAAGAAGCAGACCTGTTTGTGGGGGACACCATCTCCAAGGCGATCCCGATCCGAAACCGGCAGAGCAAATACTACATCCCCAAAGAGCTGTACGATAAGCCATATCCCCCTTACGTCGGAGGTGGGGGGTTTCTGATGTCCTCCCAGCTGGCCAGGAGGCTCTTCGTGGTCTCGGAGGACCTGGAGTTGTACCCGATTGACGACGTGTTTTTGGGGATGTGCCTGCAGAAGCTGCACTTGGCCCCTGAGTTGCACCCGGGCTTCAGGACCTTCGGCATCACCAGGCGCAGGGTGAGCCCCATGAACAGCGAGCCCTGCTTTTATAAAAACCTGATCGTGGTGCACAAGCTGAGCGCGCAGGAGCTGCTCAGGATGTGGAGCGTGGTGCACAACGCGGAACTGATATGCGCTCAGAAGACCTCCATATGATTGTTAATGAATCAATTCTCCTAAAGCCGAACTGGCAGCCGGGATACGTAGAAGACCATCATAGATCGTGATCTTTACTCAATCTGCTGATTTCTCATAGCAAACAGCTGTGATACAAAAATGTATGTTTTCATCAAAACTGTTTTTATTCAGTCAACATTTCAGTGTTCACTAATTTGAACTTTTTCTATATGTCAGATTAAAAAGGTTGGGTTTCCTCTCCACTAGTCCTCCTGATACTCCCTGTACTCATACTATTTTTTTCCATTTTGTGAAACCACTACCACACAACTCCACACTGTGCCAGAGTCCCAGGAAGGTTTGTAGGTTCCTGATTCTTGGTGCCATTTCAGCTTGGAGTTCATTAATGTTCATCTGTGATCAAGTGTTGATGTAAGATACATGGCTGTAATGGTTTTAGTGCGCGTTTGTGCAGGCATGAATAAGACTTGACTTGTTACATCCAGGTGTTCCTCTCAAACTGCTGATTTTATTGTCAATTTCTGATTTTAAGTTAATGATGTTGGACTCTCAGCACAAAACAAACAGCTGCCTTCATTGGGGAGTGATGACTTTGTAGGGTACTGACATTGTACAAATCAAATGATTTGATTTTTTGTAAGTTAATATATTATTTTATTCCACCTTTTATTTTTTAAGTGTTAGTTCATTTCTGTATAATTTCCAGAAGCAGGCCAAAAACTAAAGAAACTAAATGGCTGTAATACTGTAGATTTGTGTATGATAGTGTAAATAAAGTCTGTCGGCTTTGTAAATACAGACTTATGATCGGGACTTATGATTCATATCGATGTGTGCACACTTATTACTGGGGGAGGTTTGGAATAAGACTTTTTGATTGTCATGTGAAACCACACCTGCAATGTTGAGCTTCATGTAGCTTTATTTAAACAAATACAGAAAAAATAGCCATTTCATGCCAAAATTATTATTATTATTATTCAGAAAATACTGACTACTATGCACATAAAAAACACCATAAAATATCCACTGTTGCAATAGTCCTCAATACAGACGCATAATAAAGTCAACTTGACGTATTAGAAACCAAATATACTCTCTTATATACCAGCTATATGGATGTTGCTTCTCCACTGATACAACAGTTAGTGTTATCATACACATTAATGAAGAATTTGCCTTTCTAATGTTACAATTTGCCTCGGACGGAGTTTTAAGGATCTTTCAGTTCTTGGCTGCAGATGAATCACAGATATATTACAGTCAGCATCGTCATAACACTGTGTTGTACAAACAGAAGTAGCAACATTATATCGTTATCTATTCTTAAAGTTCTTAAAGAATGTGTGAAGTGCTTCAAAGTGTTTGCTGGGGTTAAAGTTATATTCAGCAGAAATCAAGTGGACTTGAAGAAAAACAGGCGCTACACAAATTCTACTGTATACAGTACATTAATCTCCATTTTATTTGAATAGTTCTGTTGGGTTAAAAGGTGTACGTTCTGTCACTAGTCTAGTAGAGCATATAAAACTGTGCTATCTACTCAAGATTGTCAGTAGGCAATAAGCAGGAAAATAAATTATGTCCATATTATACTGAAATATCAGCGCTAAAGCATCATCATCCCTTTGGCAAAGTGCTACTTCGTTCCCTCTATATAATCTATTTAAGACAAGAAATGAAAATGTAAACAGACAGCAAAGCTACACTCAGGTTGCCGACGGATTTAGTACTAAAGCTTCGTCTGCTGGAGGGTTGCCAAGTGAGGAAAAGACTTGTGCTTGTAACTAAAGCTCCTTCGTCCTCTCCTCTCTTCCCATTACGCCTCCTACGAGGAGTGTTGTTTGTCATCATCCTCTGATGAGATGTAGTGATTGATTACATATTTAATGATACTACACTGGTTATCCATGGGTTTTATGTATATCCTGGGTTTTACTGAAGGGTTGTGATGATTTGAAACAATACTGAAAGCCATTTTTTTTATGGAATAACTGTCAATTATTACCATCTTTTAATAAAATGTTCACATGTATAGCAGCGTTGGAGAGCTTGTGCAGCTTTAAAGAGAACCCTCACACATTTTTTACAGAAAAGGTTCATTTACTAGCCGGTGAGAACGGTTGTAGAATGTTTTCTGCGGCTCTGGAGGAGCTTTTTCAAGTCTGAGAAAATAACACTGAAGATGTCATAGTGATGTCATCAGGGTTACCTCAGCTTGGGCTCGGAAACAATCATTTATGAGAGAAAGCCTGCACTGTGTTGAATCTGTAAGATGTGGGTATTTACCAGACTCACAGGGTCTAACAAGAAGATGACATTAGCGACTAAAAGCCAGGATATGTCTTCCAGTGCGGCCTCCATTTTGACTGTTCTTTTAAAAATCTGTCTCTTTTGAGTCACTCAAACTTATGGAAGAACAATATTTTATCAATGGACGACCCCTTTAAAAACTGTCCCCACCACGGAGGCTCCAAACGGCAGTGAGCAATATGAAAAATACGCCTCAAACCTGGAAGGAGTAAAGTAAGGAGATCTCGACAGACAGCACACAGTGTGCTCATGTTCACTGGCCCGGCAGGTGTGTGACAGCAGAGGTTTAACATATAGACAAAAGAGGCAAGAGCTCTAATATTGGTCCAGCTGTCTCTATTCTGTGTGGACCTTCTGTCACTGACCATAACAGGACTAGAATGTAATTAGATTTAATACAGTGTCTCAATAAATGGATACAACACCACATTGTATTGCCAGTTTGTGCAGACGGGTATATTTTAGTCATTTTTTTATATGGCTTGAATGAAAAATCTGTATTGGCCTTTAAAATCTTATTGCAAATGTCAGTGAAAACATCTGAAACCTGTTCTCTGAAAGTGCTGTTATGCAGGAACGTGGGAGCGGGACATATGGGCGTGGGGTGGAATTACTACAGGGATGTTTGTTACTGTTGGGTTCCTCCTCCTGGTATCCACTGGGTGCTTAGAACCAGTTTCAGTGCTTTCCTGGTGTATATCCTTTGGCCAGAGGTGCCAGGGCTGGGATCCGACTGCCTCTGCCCATGGGTCTGGGTCTGGCTCTGGCCCCAACCGACCAGGACTGCTTCAGCTTGGCTCCACCAACAGCCCTGCCTGGACACACACACACACACACACACACACAATTACATTCTTACAGTAAATCTTTGTAAGAACTTTAACCCGAGGACACTCCTTGTGTACTATTTACCACTAAACAAAGCATTACCTGTGATATTAGTATAAACAGGGAGGTTTCACAATGTGGGCAGGGTGTGGTGATGTGGCGGCATCTACAGTCCTGCTCACCATTATTGGCACCCCTTCATTTTTTGCATAACCTCTACAATATCTTCAGAAATAAATAGAAATGTACCAAATTTATATCATCAGGACCTTTTAATTGGAGGTCCAAAGTAATTTAACAAAGAAAATTGTTTTTTCAACTTACATATTGTGATTTCAAAGAAGAAACAGAAAAAACAGCATGTGCAGCAATAATGGCACCCCTCTTCAATATTTGGTTGCACACCCGTTGGCAGTGATGACAGCCTCCAAACGTTTCTTGTAGCCATCTATAAGCTTCTTGCACTTCTCAGCTGGTATTTTCTACTAACTCTTTCTTTGCAAATTGTTCAAGCTTTTGAACTATTGCAGGTTTCTTTTCCCCAATGGCAGATTTCAGCTCATACCAAAGATTTTCAATCGGATTGAGATCAGGACTCATTGCTGGCCATTTTAAAACAGTCCATTTTTTCCTTTTCAACCATTCCTGCATGCTTTTGGATGTGTGCTTTGGGTCTTTGTCTTGCTGGAGGACCCATGATCTTCGACTCAAACCAAGTTTTCCTACACTGGGTAGGACATTTCGCTCTAAAATCTCTTGATAATTCTCTGATTTCATGATTCCTGTGATACGGTCAAGGCCTCCAGTACCAGATGCAGCAAAGCAGCCCCACAGCATTATGGATCCTCCACCATGCTTAACTGTTGGTAGGGTGTTCTTTTCCTTGTAGGCTTCATTGCACCGTCTGTAAACAAACTGTTGGTGTGCATTGCCAAAAAGCTCTATTTATTTAATCTGTCCACAGAACAGAAGGAATTGTGGTTTGTCCAGGTACTCTTTGGCAAAGATGAGTCGTTCCTTTTTATGTCTTTTCCTCAGCAATGGTGTCTTCCTTGGCCTTTGCCCATGAAGCCCTGTTTGGTTTAGTGTGCAGCGTATGATACTTGTTGAAACCATGACCCCAGACTGTTCCAGGTTGGCCTTCAGGTCTTTGGATGTTTGACGTGGTGTTTTGTCCACCATTCGCACCAACCTTCGAAGACTTCTCTCATCAATTTTTCTCTTCCCCCCCACGTCCAGGGAGGTTCTTGACAGTTCCATGCTTGGCAAACTTCTTAATAACATTATGCACTGTTCAAACAGGGATACCAAGGTCTTTGGAGATGGCCTTATACCCTTTGGAAGTCTTGTGTTTGCTTATTATCGCTCTTCTGATGTCCTCAGACAGCTCATTTGTCTTGTCTTGTGAAGGGGATAACGGATGGCTTTTTAAAACACGGAAGTCATCATTCATTGGCTAATTCATGTCACATGGGCACAGACAATTTATCACAGGTGATTCTCATTTGTGATTTACCACAGGTGAGTCACAATGTGTTTCCATACTGATTTACAGCAAAGGGTGCCAATACCAGTGACACAGCAAGCTTTAAGTTTTTCTATTTTGTCCTCCCATTGTTTATTGTTTTAAATTGTTGTTTATCATTTGCTCTTTTGTATCAAACACGAGTTCTCTATAGAACAGAAATGTTTCACTTGATTCATTTTTTTCAGAAGATATTCCACATTATATACTTAAACTTCATGGGTGCCAATAATGGTGAGCAGGACTGTATCAATATACAGTAAGCTACGTGTTCTGTCAGCCTATTAGTGGAATTAGAAAAATGTCAGATAGTTCACAGATTATTGACCTAATTAAAAGCAGGAAGCCTGTTATCTCTTAACCAAATAAATCAAGATACAGGATGTTTTCAGTTGCTTAGCACCTTTGATAAACTATTTCCTGGGGGAAAACCCTGAGAAGCATCCATTGGTGATCGATGGTCCCTTCAGAGTGTTAACTTGTGTAGTAAGGTAGCAAAGCACTCACAAGACGGATTGAATTGTTTGTAAAGTTTTCAGGGTCTGTATGTCAGTGGGGTCCTAATGATGCCTTGTGGCACTCCTGAAGTGAAGAACAGCAAGCAAGCAAACTTGTTTCAAGTTATAATCCTTAAGATTTCATTCCTGGTGGTTATTTGAGGTAACTGCTGTTGCGTTTTAATAACACAGCTTCCGGAGCTCATTTCAAAATGACACATATCAACCACTGGGGGCATCAAACACGCCTTGAGCTGTGACTCCTTCAGAAATGCAACAGAAGAAGAGGTTTACAGCCGTTCACAGCGCAGATGAACAAACCATACGCTGAGAGGCCTCATGGCACCATGTTGGTTTAATAAAGAGGACTACAGGAGACAGCCAACAATGCTGTGCAACAATGATACTCAGTTCATCAACTTTTGTAGTAGTAAGTACATGCTGTGAACCTCAGCTACATGGGCACACAACTCTACCAGTAACAATAAAAACTGCTATGTTTAGATGCAATTACAGAGTGCAAATACATTGATTAATTGTTGCTTGATGCCAACCATAAACAGTATCACAAATGTGGTGTAATATGATGACAACCTTAAGGATTATGACTTTAATATATCCAGCAGTGGTCCTCTAGTGTGAGTGAACTTCCAGTGAACTGCACATCCAGACTGGGACTGAATGCAGCGTCCTATGTCGACAAAGGACAGTTTGACAGCAGGAAATACGGTACCGAGGTGGGTATTTTTGCCAGTTTTGGGTTTTGGCAGCTAATGTTAGCTGCACAAGCAAACTAGCAAACAGGATCTAACATTACTGTTGGCGACACTTCACCATGTCCATCTGAAACTCTGTAAATCACCTCAGTACCACTGTCGTCAAACTGTCCTCTGTCTGTCTCTGAGGTTGTGTTCACAGGGAGGCTGCTGAGCACCGTTCGGTTGCACGGCAACAGCAGCTACAGCTTTCAGAGGGAAGATATCTTATAATATTTTCTCGATAAAATATGTTTCAGTTTCACCGAATCACTGATAAAGTTCTGTTTTTGTACAGTAGCGAGCCGTCCTGTTAGCTTGCTTGCTTACCAACTATTGAATCTTCATCTGAGGATGCAATCTTAAAGGGTAAAACATTTTCATTTCACCTGGACTTTAACAATCTGCTTACAACCACTACCATGATTGCGAAATATCGCTCAAAATGGATACACAAACACCCACTACACAAGGCTCCAAATTAAATCTGTCACTATTTTTATGTGCCTCATTCTCTGCTGAGGCAGGAAACCAGTAGTGGAAAAGCTGCAACATGAAATTTTTACCAACAAGCATGGACACTTTGTATAGCTCTCACAGTGAACGTTGGGGAGCTGGTGTAAGCAGAGGTAGTATGAATGCTTTACCTTGTGCCGGCTGGGTTCTCTGGGACACCGCAGTCCTGCGTGAGTTTTGTTTACAGCCCTCCCTGCCCATGAGGTGAGCCTTCCAGGCCTGGAACAGGGACAAAGTATCTCAGTTAGTCCATTCCTCTCCCAGGTACTCTCTCAATCAGGGTAACCACGGGTGACTGTAGGCCCAGTCAGGGCCCGTACGGCTGCCCTCCCTCCAACTAACACTGCAGTCTTTCATTGGGTCTATGCTCAGAGCTCTGGCAGCCAGAGTGTGACTTTCTGTGAGATTTTTTTTTTTCTTCATTAATTTTTAAGGGTGTGTGAGAGAGAGACTGCATGTTGTGAGTTTGAAGGAGAACAAAAATGAGTTACAACTAAAGGTTGAATAATGAGTTTCACTGCACATTTGGGCATAATCTCAGGATCTCTCATATTATTTGGACATTAAATGATTTGCAGGGAATAGAATGGTTAAAAGGTAATGCGTACCATGCTGTATAATCATTAATTATTTTGCCAAGACCAGCCACAGTGTTGACTTAACACTCTGATAAGCACGCTAACAAATGATAATAGGCATTTTTCACAGCAAATACTGCGTCATGGGAGGGAAAGGATCTTTCCAACTACAGGTGTCAGCTCCAGTATTGGGCATGCTGACATTGGAAATGGAACAGAGCCATCTTTAATGATATTAGTTACAACTGTGAGTCAAAATGTCTGCTGTGAAAGAGGCAGACTAAATTAAATAATGCGGGAAAATGCTGCTGCACTGCTCTGTATGGATTTAGACCTTTTAGCGTAATCTGGCCCCAACCTAATCAGTGATGTAACGACAGGTGTTTTCCATTAGCTGGCAATAAGAAAGCACCTGCTGAGACATCACTGATAGATGTAGACCTCTACGTCTTATAGTTTTGTTTATTCTAGCCCTTTCATATTTATTCCAAACCAACTGCTGCCACTTTTAGTATTACATTATTGTCATAAACTGTTTGGTATAAGTGGGCAAAAGAGAGTGGTGTAACAAAAAATTACTTATTATTATTATCATTACTACTTTTTTCTTATCAGATAGTTTACATGTTCCATCTGGATCAGCCAATCAGAAATCAGGAGCGACAGTATCAAATTCTGAGTTCTTGTATTCGAGTTCTGTCCAGGAGTTTCATTGCTGCGGGCTGGAACAGGCAGTGCGAGGACAGGAGCTGGTCAGACTGATTCTCGTAGCTCTTGTGGCTCCTTGAAAGACGACTTGCATGATTCATTAGACTCCACAATGACAGAAACGAAACGGAAGACAAATGCAAGGCGACACTGTTACATCTTTTAGTGGCCGGGGCAGAGAATCTTGTACATTGCATATACATTTTAAACTTCTCTATCACACCAAGAGTGGACTAAAGATTAGTAATGTATGAGCAGCTCCAAGGGTGCTGATTATGAGCACTGCTTACTTACGAGAGATCACTGAGGTTACATTTAGCAAATGCAAATGCTACTGTCTGAACTGGTCCGATTGTAAGAGAATGATTCATTTTTGTATTAGTATCAAAAGAACCCTAAACCACCCTAACTACAAAAAAAATTATATCAAAAATATATATTATACTATATATATATGTTTTATCTATAAACAGCTAATCAGGACATTTTGTCTTTACCTCTCCTTAACCTAGTAGGAATGTGAAGAATGTGATGGTATTCACTTCATCTGGAGACAAATGAAACAGCCCATTAAGAACAAAGGCTTCACCTGCTTTGAAGTCTTCAGAAGCCAACAATAGCGTGGTTTTACCTCAACACCTGTTTGCTCTTTAAGCCTAATATTAGAAGCTTTTTAGTTTCTGTGTTGATGTAAAAGAGGGAAAATAGAAAAGCACTCAGCGAGTGACGCTCAGGTCCAAGTTCTGTTAAAACCCTTATAGAACCGAGAGTTACCACATTCAGCTATTCTTTTTTTTCTCCTTCTCATAAAATGGAGTATTATATTATCTAGGAGCCAGCTCTGTACAAGTGACCTTGTTTTTCTTTTTTAGTTTAGAGAAAGAAAGAAACAAGTAGCATAATGTAGCATACCGCAACTGGTATGCACAAATTCTGCTTCAAAATTGACATTTTCCACCTAATGACGGGAGAGACAAACATGTTCCACTTCAGACGTTTCTGTCACTTGTGCCACATGCTGTACATCACCTTTCCTTTAATCGAGCACAGTCACAGAGTCACAGAGATGTCGGAGAAATGTGAGCGACACAGTTGGTACAGTTTAATCTCTTCTATGTGTAATGTGCATACAGAATCTCACCTCTTCTCCAGGCATGAAGTTGTTGTGACACAAAGGACAGTGGTTGGAGCCTTTACCCGATATGGGGGCTGAAATAGAAACATGACACCATTAAACCACCTGCACAATTACAGAAAAAGTCCCCCAACAACAAAAGAGAACCGCTTTAAATACAATACACCTTTGAAGAATGGGCTCATTAGGGTAAACACAATACATCCAAATTCACAATTCTAGTTTCTGTGGGGGTAAGAGACTTAAAATATATGGTAAAAGGCTCACTGGTGTCAATTATGTATGGAGACATATGGCTGGTGATAGAGATGTAGTGTAAGTCTTTGTTCAGGTTAGTACCTACAGTAACAGTATACTGGTATCCAACTGGACAAAAAACAAACAGAAGATCCTGTAAGAACAGCAGACCTCAGCTTTCAGACAGCATACTGGTAAGAGGCCTTGGTAGTTTACCAAAAATATACACAAGCACTATGGAAAAGTACTGACTTGATTTCCTTCCGTGAAACATACAGCATATTTGTTTTATTTTATTAAAGGTTTTACTGTGGCCACAGAAGCACTGTACCTGTCACTACTCAATAAACTGAGCATAATACATTAAAAGCTGCACTGGGTGCTTAATCAGTGTCGACCTATGATGTCCAGGCTGTGGAGAATCAAGTTAAAAACAAGGAAATACAAATACCCGAGCAGAAGTATGTTTATCTGCCCAAGGTTGGTGAATTAATGTTTCAGGAAATGTGTCTATGTGGAACAAATGTAATGGTTAATCTAAATGAGGATATTATGTTTTACGTGTCCTTTATGAGAGTGATGAGGTAAACGGTAAAAAAAGATCTAACATGTCCTGATGTAGATAAATGGAGGAAGCTTCCACCTTATCACACAGTCCACTTCTATCTAACTTTATAATTACTCTGCTCTACAAAAGAGAATACTTCCTTTGCATAAACTTGTTAGTTAGTTCACTGACCAGCCCCACAAGTAGTCACTTCACTATTCTTCATGGGATTCGTGGCCTTGAGCAATCCCCCAATTTAAGGACAATACAGCAGGACAAGGATCTTAACAATCATCGGTCATACAGCCAAAGTAACCAAATAGTTTTTTAGGCAAAACAGTGGAATCTTTTTAAATGGCCAAGTCAAGGACTTGACCTCAGTCCAACTGTGTTTCTTTTAAAGCAGACCACACTGAAGGCAAAACACCCCCTTAACAAGCAAGATGTGCAGCTGGCTGCAGTACAGACTTGAAAGAGCATCCCCAAGGAAGATACAGTTTCACCCAGTCATTTACTGTGAAATACCTACAACCAAATATTCAATATGATAAGCTTTATCTTTATTATGTTTATGCTAGATGATGTTGACTCATTCAATTAAATTATGTCCCATGAAATTGGGGAACTGTCTGTAAGAATTATGTAAACACCATCAAGTTACAACACTTTCATCTCATAGTTCTTGTTCCAGTTCACATATAATAAGCTAGAGCCAAACCAACAAAAACTGATCACAGGAGCATTGTCTGTGCTGTATCTGTTAATGTGACTGCATTGCATTTAGACTTAAATCCCAAACGCTGGATTGCTAAATGTTTCTAAATTCTCTTTTGGCAAATTGTGAAAGCAACAGTTATGGAAAACATGGATATGTAGAATTGCACATTTGCATAGATAAAGTAAGTGTTTGAGAGGAGTTTTTATCTATTTTATTTACTTAAAATTTGGACTAACTATGACACCACAGATTTTGGTACAAAAGATGACATGATGTCTTATGTAATGATTAAGGCTGCCTTGAGATATTGTAGTTAATATGTATATTCACAAAGCTGCAATACACTGCACCAGAGATTTCCTCCTTTGCCCAGCAAGGTGCAACAGTGAAGCAACATTTGTGGAATCTTCTTTTATTTACTTACTCTAACCCTAACCCTTTTGGTCATATTTAGCAGTTCTGGTTAAGTCATTTGTAATTCACATTGAAAATGAGTCAGTTTTCTGTCACTTTCACATCCTGGGTGTCACTGCACATGTGCAATGTCCACATGGGTCCTATATTTCATGTCATACCCCTATCTCTCTCCCCATTCTTCCTGTCTGTGTCTACACTGGCACCATCTAACAAAGACAAAAATTGCATGATTTTCATCACATAAATCATTTTCATTCATTTTCCAATGGCATTAAAGAGTGAGACTGAGAACTCACGGTTGCAGGCTGGATCCTGGACATGTTGAGTCAGATCTTCAGTGGCCACAGCCTCTGAGCAGCGTGGACACTGGCTGAACTTGGACCTGCTTTCACATTCACCCAGCAGGTGCTCTATGAGACTGGCTATCTCAACTACCTGTGAACAAAACATAGAGTCTTCGAGCTTCATTGCTTTATTAGGTGATTAAACAGCTGGGCAGATGTCTTACTAAAAATATGCCAACACTCTTGACAATATAACCGTGTACCTGTCTGCATTCATCGCAGCGTTTCAGCATAGGACAGTGTTTCCAGTAGTGAAGGTCCAATCCATCCTCCGTGAATGACTCATCCTTTTTACCGCAGAATATACACAGGCTGAAATATCAGATCAGGCTGCAGATCAGATTACATTCCTTCAAACTATTGGCCTGAGTAGTGGGGCACTAATCACATAAAAATAATACACAAAACAATTATTGAGTGTGTGAAAACTGCACAGAAAACACTAACCCTTTCTATTATTACAGTATTAGAGTTATGAGTCACTTACTTGTCCAGATAGTTGATGGATTGCTGGACGTCAATATTGTTGGTTACCTTGTTCTGGGGCACTTTTATGACTGCTGGAAATTAAGAAGACAGTGTTACTTGGCATGGCTGCACTAATTTGAGGCCACATTTCTGAGTCTCAACCAACTGAGATCCAGAACTCTATAACAGACAGAAATAAAAGGCCTTACAAAACTTCAACATGCTGTAAAGATGGAGCAGACCTATGCCACACTTGGCACTAAACTATCTACAAATCAAAATATTTCAGGAAGAAGGAATCAAAATTAAAGTTGTAATCAGCATAATGTTCTTACATTTTGTTGCCATGTTTGCTGTTACTTGGTTATTGATGTGCCGGATCTTTCTTTCTATAGGTTCATGGTAGAAATGACTGTTAGGGTCAGTGTCATGTCTTAGATACTGTTATATTGCCTTCAAATGGAGCTTTTGTTTCTGTTACTGACATGCTAACACAACTACCACACTGACAACAAAGTAGATGCTTTTTATGGTCAGTGATTTAGAGTTTTTTGCATTTTGATGTCATGTTGAAGACATAAAAAAAGAATGAGGACAAAAGTGACAAACTACCATGAGCTCTCACATTTGTCACAAGTCGTGACCTTGGAGCTATGTTCAGATTTTCCACTTGCATATGAACAGCTCACATTTGAAGGCGTGACCGCGTCAGTGCTAGTGCATCTCTTAAGACTATATCAGCACCATATTGGTGTATTGTGCCATAAAGCAATCTCCCTTTAAAGTAATCTATATCAGACCAGCTGGTGTACAGTACATAAGGATGTTTTAATATACTAAAAAATATATTTGGTGTGAGTAGGACCTGAGGTGCTTTTGTCTGCTTCTTTTTATTTAAACATGTACCTTTGCCAGCTTTTTGGGACTCTTTCTCAACTTTGGGAGCTTCTTTCTTGAGCATTTGTCCTTTGGAGCGTTCATCCCCCCTCTCCTTCACAAGCAAACAGAGAAGTGTAAATAGATGTCAGAAAGAAAACCAAAGAGAGATGCTATTAAACAGTGACTTCAGATATAGGTAGTTTCGGATAAATGGTGGAACTCCTCTTCTCAGGACTCTTAAGGAGATTTAAAGTACCAGTGTTATTATCTGACTTCCTAGAGAGTTAAAAGTCTGTGTGGAGTCATAACTAACAATTAGTAGCCATTACAAAAAGTGATGTAATCGCACTCTGGTGACAGCTCCACCTACTGTGATCTCTTTCAAGGCAGCCAGCTGCTCCTGAAGGGAGTGGATCTCCTCCTTTTCCTTTTGCCCATCCTGTTGACCACCTCCCTTCTTCAAAGTCTGGATGAAAAGTGACATGCCATCAGCTTCATAGCAGTTTTTCATTTTCCTGTTTGCTTTCCTATTTTTTCTCTGTCTTCAGTTAACAGAATTTAAGCATCGCAGATCTTCTTTGCTCACCACACCAGCTTATATTTCATTATTTTCTCCCTTTTAAAGTTGCAAGCCATACAGCTCTGCAGACTGTCAGGGCTGCAGTTACGTGGTGTGGTTGTTTTGGCAACGACGCACGCAGATGAGCGCATGATCAGACATTTTAGCAGTTGAGCTCTACTCAGCAGCATGGCCATTATGTCATGGGAAAGCTAGGTCTCTAATAATGCTAGTAAGAAATAAAGCTTGGTCACTGGGTGAGTCACAAACTTTACGGTAAAATGATATTGCACATTGCCAGCTTTGGAACACAAGCTGACTTGTTTACTGGCTGGATTTGTGGTTACACTAGTACACAACAACAAGGTTATCCTTTACAGTATTCTGTGTTGATCATACAGAAAATTCAGTCAGGTTTGTTGCTAGTGCAGTTTTACACAGTTCAGTTGACATGAAGGATTTGAAAGAAATTTAAGTTTTTTCTACATTATACCATGGATAGATACGCGCATGAATCCTGCGGTTTCTTAACCAAATGGGTAAAACACAGACAAAAGTGCCCATCCTGGCTTTGCCAAAAGAAACAGTGGAGCCAGTTAGCTTCCTCTGTAACATGAAACCCCACCTCCCACCTGTTACTCTACTAAAAAATAAAAAGACATGACGTCATGTAGTCTCAACTCTTGTGAGCTTGAGAGAGTGCTCCCATCTGCCATGTCTGACAGTTTCACTGTCCATCTACCAGATGCTCCTCGCTGAATACAATCTGTTTGAAATAAATGAACAGTTCAAACACACCCACTGTCCAGCAGTCTGATGCCAATAATTTCAACACAGGGAATGCACACACCCATATAAATGTTAGAAGTGTTAACATTTTAAGAAATGTTACATAGGAAAAGGAGTTTTCAGTTATTTCTAATATTCCTTATTTAAGTGAAGAAGATGTTAAGTAACAATGAGAGATTCATTTGCAGTGAAGAGCAAAGAAAAACTTCTTGCCTGAGTCTCCTTTCCGTCCATCTTGGCAAAGCCATCAAAGAGTGTTTTGTAGAGGAAGTTCTTCCGTGTGGTAGCATCGTTGGGTGGAAGGTAGCTGAGAACAGCAGCTCTGTGCTGCTGGTACATGGATAAGATAATGCGCACCGCCAGCTCTCGAACCGCTGATGCACTGTGCTCCAACGCCGCTGCACAGAACTGAAAGAGGAAAACAAGCTTTCTATTAACATTGTGAACATTAAGCAAGATTGACTTGATATTACTGTTCAATCATATGCATTTAGGCAAGTTTCAACTTGGCTCTGACCCACTGAACAGAGACAATTTCATTGAAAAAATATTGAAAGAAAATATGTTTGTTTTTGTTGACATGAAACGTATTTGGAACTACAAGTACAATTTAATTTTAAATGATAAATAATACAAAATGAAAAAAATGGCAAATCACCACCAGTACACGCACTTTGGGGTGTGGTCGGTTTTTGTCTATTACTTTATCAAAAATGTTTCATCTTTACTGTGTTTTTATATGTTATTCTAATGCCTTCCTTAGCCTTGTGTAAGGACATTTATTGCCTCTGTGTTTGAAAAGGTATTTTCAAAAAAATTGCCTCGTCTTTCTTGCTGTACGCTGGCTAAACAAGGCAGGCCACAGAACATATAAAGTGCCTGCTTTTTAACAGAAACAAGTTTTATGAAGCAATATTTGCTATATGTGCAATCTAGTTTCTCATTTTGTTTACATTGCTGAGAAAGTCCTTCAAACGAGTGCACATGATGATGTAAAAAGAGCCCAATATCCGACATAATGTCTGTGAAGAGAGTCGCGACATAATGGCGGTCACGCCAGTGGACAACATTACATTTAGAGGTAAACTGTGTACAAAGGCTGCCCATCCCTCAATCAACAGGCTCAGGAACAGTTTGCCATTATGCTCTGTTTTCTCTGCCGACCACTTCTCATCTTATTTACAGGAAATTCAATCACCCCAGTTTTTTACTCTGTCTCCCACCTCGGAGCAGATCACCCAGGTAACAGCAGAGGAAAAAGGAAAAATGTTCAAACCATGGCCAGGCTAACACTGTAGAGCTGTCAAGAGGGCTAGTCACATGAGCTGAAAGAGGCTGATAGCAGTACTGATTTAAGCTGTGAATTTTAAGGATTCATGTTTGTTATCAAGTTTCTTTAGTGTATTAAATTACTTACATTATATATAATACTTAGCTATAAACATATTAAAGATATGACCTGTGTACATTTTTATTTTTGTATTTGGAAAGGAAGTTTTAAATATAAAATCTGATGTTGAAGATTTATTGTAAGCTCCCCACCTACATCAACACCTTTAGTGGCACATGCTGATGCTAACATGTTTAGTGTATCCTTCTCCATGTAGTGCCTGATGGGCACCTTTTTCTCACAGGAATCAAGTAGACTTCTGTACTTTTTAATTAAAAGATATATTGCTTGGGGCCATGTAATAGTATCAAACAAGGTCTTTGTTAGCCTGGTTTCAGACATGCACAGTGAAAAAAATCAAGGACCCAAAACATGTTTTGGACCTAGGGAATATTTGTCCAGAGTGCAGATGGCTATTAAACCTCTGTTTCAGATGTTTGGTGGCTGATAAAGGCTTAAGGATATGCAAAGTTCCGGAAGTTTACAAGAAATGGTATTAGCTATAAGCCTGTAGGCAAACTAAAATCAAATCTGATTAGCACAGTGGCTTACTAGGTGTATCCACAGAACAACAGCACAAGGCAATTATTTCATAATCCATTCCTCCATAAAACAAAGTTTCCATTTTAAACCTGCCGTCTAGTACATGTTTCTCATCAAACTGTTTCATTTAACAGTCCGGAGGAAAGGCAAGCTGTGGAATAAAGCACAGTCCTCCTGTCACATCTCAATCAAGACTGGAAATGTTTTCCTAGCAAACATGGGAGGCAGCCAACACAAAGGGGACAGACGCTGAGCAAGCATGCACAAACATGCAAACACAGACTACCCAAAGCCACCTGTGTGGCTTTGGTTTCAGAAGGTAGAAAAACTCAGAGGACAAACCTAACAATTTGCTCTCACTGATAAAAGCTGTGTAAAGTCAGGAGGAGGGCTGAGTGGAGGGGGATGGGTGGAGGACCGCTCATAAACTAAAGAGGGGAGGACGGGATGGCTTATTGTCCCTGCCTGGCCTGGTCAACAGTTGGATGGTTTGCATGTAGATATTAGATCACTGCTGGAAACCAGAGCAGTGCAGGAGACGTAAAGTGGATGCCAATGGTGACAACATTGACTCAATTGACTGGAGCTTACTGAACGCCTGTGTGGGTGAACTGAATGACCACAGAAAGCCAGGGAGGGACTGGTCCCCTTTCAGTTAGTCTCACTGTAATTACTAAGTCAAATGTAGCAGAAAATCATCGTGATGGGTGCCATATTTTTAAAGTGGAATAATATAGGCATTATACTGAATGTATCTCTATACAGAACATGTGCTATCATGTTAAACAGGATATGTCGTAATTGCTATTTTCAGATTGGAGAGAATATGACCGGGGAGTTGACATTCAGTAGTTGTTGACAGCTTGGGCTTTAGTATAGAAATCTGTGATGTCCTGATTTTGACCTTCGATACCTACAGTGGCATCCTCAGAATATTTCTGACATGGAAGAAAAGCTTCAAAACCAAATTTAGACAGTGTGATCCAAAAAGTATGGAAGACGAGGAACGCTATGGTTGAAGTGTTGTTCTTGAGATAATGGATAATGGAAATTCTCTCATTATCCCAAAAGATTTTAAAAATAACAACTCGTCTAAAAAGATCATTGCAACCACGGCCACTCTCAGATTCCGTATCAGAGACTTAAAATAATTCAAATTATGATGCATGCATGATCCTTTACCCTCATGACATTGTCCAGGGTGAAGCCAGAGTTCTCTGTACCCAGTTCAGTAAGTAGCTTCTCGAGCAGCTCGGCCCGACTCTGAGCCAGACGAGAGGGGAAGTTGGATTTGAAGGGCTTCACCAGCTCACCGGGAATAACCTGCAGGGCCCGTACATCCTTCAAAACAGCAATTTCCTAAAACATGGACATGAGAAATAGACAATGACAATGACAATTGAAATTTACATTGTAAAAGTCGCGCCATGTCATTGTAGACTTACAGTACGTACCTTTAAATGATGTAATACGTGTACTACTAAGCCACTAAAAACACTCCTATGTGATGCTACACATGGTGATTTGTCATTCAACACAAGCATCTGTTAGAGAGACAAGTCATAACAGAGAATACAAGTGTGCAATTAAAGTGAGCCGGAAGAAAGCGCTAGGAAAAACTTCTCTCAGTTGTTTGCCATTTTAGCCTCATCAGGTGAGTGGAATGTATGTCGGAAATATGGGACAGACACATGTAAACATATAATTTGTCCTCAATGTACAAAGAGGCATTCAGTCATTGCTCTAACGGAGCTCTGAAAAGATCCAGAAGGGCCGGGCAATGATTTCAGAGGGCTGAGACACATGGTAACGGTTTGCACAGTTGTGGCCTGAGTTGAACTCATTGAAACAGAAACTACTGTAGCTCATAAAGACATCCTCCCAATCTTACTCAACAAACAAACTCCCATGCATGAGTACAGTGCAACAGATTCCACTAAGCAAATGTACATTACGTATCCAGTATATCACGGCAACGTGACATTTAAAGTTTTAAAATACATAAAATAACTTAAACACACTGCACACTCTATGTAATTGCAGTTAGTCAAATAGAGAGCACAGATGCGAGTGTGTGGAAGTTTGTTTCTGTATTTGCATGTAATTGTCCTTCCAACACCTAAAAAAGCCTCTAAGCCAGGTGAGTTGCTGACACTGAAGGAGAAAAAAAAACACTAACCAACCAAATCCAAGAGCTAGTGGCTAAGATGCAACAATGCCAAAACGGCATTGTTCATAGTTTAAATCCCGAAGGGGAATTTAAGCGCGCCCCCCCTCTCCCTCCACATTCTTGTCTGCCGCTCAAAGATATACTATAAATTAAAGCTAAGAATAATCTAAAGACAGGAATTTGCTCTGGGCAGTGCAAAGATATGTCCATGCACGTTGAAAATGTTTCAGCTTGAGCACCAAGGAGATTAAGGACAACTGGAGTTGTCACCCAAATGAGCTCAATCTACCTGGGGAGGCCCACAAGTCTCTCTTTCCATGTTTACAGGTTACATGCACTGTACCTTTTATTAAAAGACCACTGTGTAGGATTCAGTGACATCGCATCGCAGTGAAGTTGCAGACTGTAACCATTTGAATACAGCTCAGCCTTCCAAGCATGTAGAAGAAACTACGGTGACTGCAAAAAAAAGATCGAGAGCCAGTTTGGTTTGTCCATTCTTGGATACTGTAGAAACATGGCGGTTCAACATGGCGGCCTCCGTAGAAGAGGACCCGCTCCCTCTGTAGATAAAAATGGCTCATTCTAAGTAAGGAAAATACAATGATTCTTATTTTCAGGTGATTATACACTACTGAAAACATATTAATGAATGTTATTATTATTCCATTTCTGCCAATAGATACTCCTATATGTTATACACCGGACCTTTAAGTGGCTCATCTTTCTTGGAAGAATTATATAGTTTTGGAGAGATAAAGTAGTATATTCTGATAAAACCCCAAAATAAGGACACAAGGTATTTTCATTTTACAACGCAGGGTTGAAATTAACTTCAGTTTGTAGTTCCCTTCGCTAGTTGTTAAACAGAAAAAAAAAATTGTACAAAAATGATTTACAATGAAACTGATAATAAATTAATAACTTAAAAAAAATACTACTTTGCATGATGAAGTTCTGAGGATGAAGTACTTAATCTCACAGCTTGAAAGAGGAAGCCTTTAAGTCTAACGCGTTCTGTTAGAGAATGACAAAGAAAGTGCTTATCTCAGTGTAAAAACCTCCCTTCGCACATATGGGGTCTATAGGCTAGCCTAATAAAAGTACAAAGCATACAAAGGTAATCTTTTCCAGAAATGACCTTTGAAGGAAAGTTGGACTGAATTGTATACACGGTCATGCTGTTCTTTCTGTTTGCTTACTGTGGGGTGTGTAAATAAGGTGATTTTCTAGTCATCGTTTTGAATGCAGACTCGTGGGTGCTGGTCATAAGAGTGATTTGATTTGGAAGGAACAAAACGTGCCTTTATTTAACCGCAGCCGTAATCTGTGTTTACATGCACGTACAAACCCAGTTAAGCATACAAATCAGTTTGCCCTGCAGGTTGACTTATTGATAGTCACTGACTGTAATGTGTTGTATGTGCATTTATATACTGTGAATACAATTCATAGCTATGACACTGGTACTTCACTGACACCAATCTGTGTAATTGTTAAGGCACTTTTCCCATCATTGTATTGAAAGCATATGTAAATATCTTCATAGGTTTTCCAGCCTTTATCTATGTTCAAATGCACATAAGAAACGCAGAGTATAAATACATGTCAAAATAATCAGTTTCTCCTGCATGTAAATACTGTGGTTGCCGAGGAATTCAGTGAGTTTTATGTGTATATATCCTCTTTCAATACTAGTCATAGCACTTTTCAATATTACAGTACTGCCAGTAAGGCAGTTTGCTCAAACTTGTAAAATCAAGATCATTTTTGTAATTGCTTACATCAGGAATTCAGCCTCAGGACACAACAATATCTTTAGTAAACAGCACTCTTTGAAGGGAACAGGAAGCCAAAGGTATATCACACATTCAAAATCACCTAAAATTCAATGATGGTAAATCTCTGGCCCTCAATATGTATCAAGAATAAGACAGTGTTTCACTCTGAAAGATGAAATAACTTAGAAAAGCTCCTCCAAAGCCACAGAGGATACACAGTTAAACAGTGAAGTTACTGTTTTCATCAGTAAAAGTTAAACAGTTTGTCAAAGAAGATGAATTGCACAAATTATTTTGCCATTATGAATTAATCTCTCGTGCCCAAGGGCCATAAACAAACTGGCATAAGAACAAGTAGAGGAGTTCCCAAGACAAAACCCTCAGTTTTGATGAAATTGTGAACAAAAATGTAATACAGCTTACTTGGAAAAACTTCATAAGGAATTAATTGTGAAGTAATCAGTCAGCAGGTCTCAAAAAGCACATCAGTGTATTTTGAACACCAACTTTATATTAGAATATTTCCTTAATCTGCAGTATTTTCACTACAACAAAGAGTCTTTTATACAGAAATCCAAAATTTCAGACAATAGTCCTGTGACGCAGCCAATGTTGGGTAGTACTGCCCCAGGAGCAGGAGTGTTTACTCTGTACTAAAGAAAATCAGAAATCAAGTAGTATTGACATTATTGACATTATTTTTTTGAATTTCTGGAGCAGGAGCATGCTAAAAGCTCTGGTTTTGCTGGGGCTTTCTATGGCATATGGATAAGTGAGGTAGGACAATACTGGATCATTGTTCATCTTCTGTGAATGACTACTCTGTGAGCACACTGTAGTGGTTGTACTGTTATGTTTAATCTTTTTATACATGAATGGTGAGTGTCACTCCCAGAGAAAGCCAGTGTACTATAATTCTCACTCCTCTAAATCTAATATTGTAAATCCTCATTATTTAAAACTATTGTATGTATTTAAAGGTTTTTTTTATTGCTGCTAAGTTGATGTGTAATGTGTTTGGGCTTGCAGTCATGCTGTCTTTGTCAATGTCCCACTCTTGAGAGTTGCCTCATGGGATAGGGAGGTTACTAAAACTTGTTTGTGTTTATCAAAAGATGACAGGAATTCTACCCTGTTGGTATGTGTAGATATGTAATATCAAGAAAAGACCATAACTTCAATTAGACATATAATAAAAACAAGTGAGATAATGTGCACCTCGCACAACAAAAACAGCATCAGTAAATTTAACATTGCATGTTGACACTGTTTTTAATAAGGAATCTGCTGGCTTGCACAATAAGATGTTGTTCTGTGGAGTAAAAAAGGAGGAGAGAGAGAATTTCATGACAGACAAAAGCTTTCACAGAGCTCTACACAAGGGAAGACGGTCGAGGGATTGAAGGCAGATTGCAAAATCCTCTTCTCTTCAGTCAAAGCACAACTGCTAAGGATGCAGAGGGCAGGCAGACAAGAAGCAAATGGTTGATGGAAATCAACTGGTGCCACTGGTACCAGATAATCATGTCAGTCCAGTGTGTTACAGTACCTGTATAAAGCCAGTGGCTGTGGCCCGGAGGCGGCTGGCTGACTCTCCAGTCCTGGCCAGCAGGTTGGGCCAGGTCTGCTCCAGGCAGTGGGTCACTTCAGCCCGGCCCAGCCCCAGTCCTGGGATCAGCTGGCTCAGCAGTAGCCGCAGGAGCTTCAAGGAGGCGTGGAAAACCTAAGGAGGGAGCCAGTGGACATTTAGTGCCAAACTCAGTGGACTTTCCAAGAAAAGCTAACACTGGGGTGATGTCAATTAGCAGAGAGGCTAGACTTGGCAATGTTTAGTTTGAGTTGGTTAGAGTATGCAGATGGAGGGTGGCAGTGAGTAGCTATAATGTGTTTTTGTTTTTTTGTACTCGCTAGCAAGCCAACCAGACATATCAGACCGAAAAGCAAAGACGCCTGCTAACCTGCTTTTTTTTTACAGGTCATTTTAATTACCAGAGCATTGTCAATATTTGTGGAATTTTGTTTCTACTAAAAACATTTAGACCGGAATTACATATAACATACACCCAGGGCAGTCCCAGGATGTAATGCTTAGATCACCGAGTTCCCAGAGAAAGGTGTACTTAACATGAATACAACTGACATTTGTGGAGCAGCACACTAACCATCTTAATGGAGTATTCCGTGTATCAATGTAGCTAGGAAAATAAATCACTAGAATTATTGAGCCACTAGCCTTTTCATTACCATACAAGCCATAGATGACTGCCAGAGAGGGGTTACAAGGCCATCCTTGTCAAAACTGTTTTTTTAAGGAAGCCAGAACGGGAGAGAGAACTGGGGTTGCATTTGGTACAGGGGGAACATTGTTAAGAGTGTACATGTGAGAGTGTGTGAACTAACATGAACGTTATTTCTGTTTGCAACTGGAATCCAGAGAACATGATTAAAAGAAGACAAAGTAAACATATCCACCTTAATGAGGCTGCTTTACTGGCAGCAGTTTCTGTTCAGTTAACTTGGACATCCACACCAAGATCATTTTATTTAGAGGACATGACTCACAGATGACACTTTATCCAGGAGGGCCTTCTTGACCAGGAAGACTGCAGCTCTTATCGTGTTTTTTAGTTCCTCCCTGGGGGTAGTGGGTGAAAGCTCCAAAAGCTTCTTGTACACAGCCAGGAGAGCGTCTTCTCTGTAGGACCAGGTTTTAGAATATGCCCCAGCTACCTGGAAAAGAAGAGAGGACAATTAGCTAAGGGGTTGGGTTAGCACAAATATCACAGTTGTGTGGGTATTACAACAGATATGGATGGAGATTTGCAAATATGTTGTGTAATGTATATAGATCAAATATCTGCCAATGTTATATATAATGTGAAAAATGTCCTCTCTCAGCAGTTCCCAAGTTCTAGGGAGAGTGTTTTATCCCCATTTAGCAGATTACTTTTACTGATTTTCCAGCCCACAAATTCCACTCTCAGGGACCTATTTTCCAGCAGCTGCAGGCAATGGTTTTCATCAAAAAACTCAACCAAAAGAAACAGCACAATACCTGCCCAGCACCACACAGCAGACAGGAAGAAGTTACAACCTAGCCTCAAACATATCTTTGGCATTTCTGTATTGTCGTATCTTACTATTATATTACTTATCTGCTGACATACATGCCGATGCAAATGTATCTGGAGGAGCTAAAACAGGGCGATAGTACAAAGTACAGAATATTCTGAGGGGAGACCAAAAAGCAGTCCAGTAAAAGTACATATGTAGAAATAAAAACCCAAGACGCAGTAAAACCCTTGCTTAGCTAGCTATGTTTTTCCAGCGTTTTTTTTCCTTACCAGGCTTTCTCCGTAGACTTCTATTGGAAGACTAGCCTCTCTCTGGGCCTTCTCTGTCAGTGGCTCTGGCTCTCCGATCATTTCTGGACTGCGTGGAGTCCTTTGGGCATCAGGTCGGGGCGAGTGCTGCTCTGCAGGGCTCTGGACATCCTCAACAGGCACGTCTTTCCTCTGGAGGGTTGGCAGCGGCCTCTCATCATAAGGCACACTGGTAACCTGACAGGACAAGATAATAACATTGGTATTTGAACCCTGGAATATAATATGTACATACATATCCAACATACATTTGTTTTATTATATTTATAGGTGCTGCATAACACACAATATTATACATTTCCCAGCGATCCCTCAGTTCAAAGGCTCAAAGAAAACTAATCTATGCTTTCAAGCCAGAAAACGATGTCCACACTTTTGAAAAATTGATCACCTCTATCCTTGTTCTTTTCACTAACTTTCACCAGTATTTGATTACTCAATAGGTCGATCAGTCAACATCGCAATGACAATGAAAGTTTAACCCCATCTATACGAACGCAAGCTCCATCCAGTCAGCACTGTCTCCTGTACCCAAGTGCCAACTGGCACCCTGCTGCCTCGTACAAGGCTCAAAGCGCTGCCTTGAGGCCAGGTTGGCAGCCGCTGGAGTCAGCCAACTGTTGCACGCTTTTAATTAAATAGTGAAACCCAAACCTACAGTAGGGCTAGTCTCAGTAGGTGGTGAGTAAAGCATAAAAGCCCCTGCTGGTCATAATCTCCCTATGTTCCAACACTACAGAGGCTTAAGGCAGTAGATGTGTTCCCAAGGTGCTGCAGTGGTCTAGATAATTTTTTACAACAATACAGGAATTCATGAATGCAGAACAAGCAACAGGTACAGCTATCTACAATTAGATCACAGACCATCCATGCTCTTCAACAAATGAGTACTAGACAAGCTGTTATTGTTAAAGTGTCTGCAGGTGTTTGATAAAGTGGCACTTACGTCTATATTGGGTACAGCAGCAGGGGTGCACGATGTGTCAGTATGGCTGCTTGGTTTTGGCGCAACAGTTGCTGCGTCTGACTCTTGGTTCTGAGGAGCGTTTGGTTTTTTCTCCTTCCTGAACGTGTCTGTGGAAACAAGCAGCTTGGTGGGGACTGAACGGTGACCTGGAGAGGGCTGAAGTGAGGGAGGATCATAAGCTGGGGATGAATCTGCTGCCTTCATGATCTGGTGACATGATAAGAGGACATAGGTTTAGGCTCATCTTGTCTAACACCTTGGTCAGAAATATATCTTTTTTGTTATTTTTTTGTTACTACACAGGTAAAGCATCGCCGTCAGTGATTGGTGACTGACCATTTCCATGTCCAGCAGGTTGTGGACCTCCAGCTGCTGGTAGACGCTCCTCCTGTACTCCTCCATCAGCTCCTTCTTCTTCTTGGCCAGGTCGTAGTCTTCTTTTTCAATGGCACATCGCTTCTCCACATCATATCGAGCCAAACGCTCCCCAACCTGGAAGAGCCCGCGACAAAGAGAGGTTAAGACAGTCCTGTAGTCCCACAGTGAGCCTACACTGGATGGCCTCATGATGTGTGGATTCATGTCAGTTTATGCATTGATTAAAACTCTATTAGATGTTTACTATTTCTACCAAGCACTGCTGACAGTTTAAGCGATTATTGTCCACCATCTGTACTCATCTTGAAGATGAGAGAAGAGCTTCTGCTGTTATATCTACTGCATGTAGAAACATAAATCACTCTTCGGAAAGATAGAATCTGTACACTGTTTGGACTGTTTGGTCCTGGTCTTAAATACAATTCCATCTACTCTGGTCTAGTTCTTGGTGTGATGTTTTCTTAGAAGATCATTCAAGTTTATTACAATTTTGATCTTATTTTCATGCCTACTGGTATTAATAACATTGCACTCTCCAACTTAATTGCTGAGATCTGGGAATGCAGTGACATTACTAAAGAGGCCGGGGCAAGAAACATGAGCAGTCAGACAATCACACAGGTTCCAGAAAAACCCCAGGTTAGTCGAACTTACTTGGGAGAGAAAACAAAGGTGAACGTTAAAGTTACTACCCAATCTATGAGGTATAAACACCCACCACAGTTTACAGGTTGACTGGTTCAACTTTGACCTGCTGTACTTTATGCAGTTGGGCCGTTTTCCTGTGTAATGAGAGATTATTAACAACATTCCAGGTGCACTCACTTTCAGTTTTACCTCAGAATAAAGTGACTTAGTGACCGATAATGTGGCTAAATTGTCAGCTTGTATGCTTGTGTTTTTTTGTGGCCTCAGACCTCATTACACTGACCTCACTGTGCTTTCAGATCTCAGCAATTACTGTGGTGACAGCACAGTGTTATCATAACCAACAGAAACTTCCAAAAACTACATAAATAAGACCCAAGTTGTAATTAACCAGAATTATCCTTAAAACCTAACTGGAGCTGGTTTGGGGTTTGACACTGCTCTGCCCAATAATACAGCCCTGGTGCCCCATAACAGTAAGTGTGCCACATGGTGAATCATTAAGATTTACAGGCTGGAAATTTGACAACAACTTCCAGTAAGTCAAACACGTAATGTCTTTGTGAGGAAGTTCCATTAGGCTGAATCAAGTTGCTAACCAGGTGCCAAGCGACACAGTCTGAACATCAACGGCTAGTGATTCTTTATTCTCTTTTGGACAAAACCAAGTGGTGCTATAAACATGGTAGCTGTTTCTCCATTCATATTTAGGATCTCCAGCATGTAGTTATTTCTACTCGATAAGCCCCTCCGCTTCCTTCAAGCCGGAAGGCCAATTCTCTGTCTTCAGTCCTATTCTCTGTCTTCAGTCCTATTCTTTCTCTGTCATGTGTTTTCTGATATCGTGTAACATCAAAAACCACCCACTGACATCCTGAAGGTGCGATGACAAGGGATTTTCAGCATGACCACGTTTGCAACTGCTTTGTCCACAATGCTAATATGCCATGCTCACAAGATGCTAGTGTGTATGTGTGTTATCTAGTTACAGAAAGGCTTGCGGTTGGGAATGGGAGAGACACTACCGGAGGACAATCACCGCAGCTGTTGAGCTTATTAAGAATTCATGGTCAGCATGGTAACAATATATACAAAGGAGGTCAGTAACAGGAATCTGAACAATGTTTAACAACTACTGTTACAAACAGTGGTGAAATTGCAATGGATATCTGTTAAAAAAAGAAAACGAGCTACACAAAGTTGAGATTTGCAAGGAAGAAAAATGTATATTGGTAACAGTGGCAGTGGGCGGATGGTGATAGCTGGACCTGAATTATGTCCCTTAAATGTATGGCTTATTTTAGAAACACTACGTAAAGTATGAATATAACAGCCAGTTTCTGAAAGGAGTCCAGAACCGTAGTGGAAGATGTTTTCAGATCCTTTACTTAAGTAAAACATGGTCCCCACTCTTCTTAAGAAATCATTTTCCAGGATTTTTTCTGACAACACAGGACTGCACTCACTGACAGTCATATAATGTAAGGGTACGTCTACTATTAACGTGGAACTGCAGTTTTATTCCTCCTTGTTAAATGATGCAGGTTCACAATGAAGTGTCTCAGGTTCATTACAGGTAAGTGGTCAACACTCGCATCTGCTCGCTTTGGTGGTACACCTTGACAATTCTCACCACAGCTCATTTTTCTGCTGTAGTCTCAGTGGAGCTGAGCAACAGTCTCTTGTGAATTGACTACAGGTTACTAAAGTTTTAACCATAACACTGACTACTCTACGCTGAAAAGATCTCCACAGGTTTGTTACACTTCATGTATGTTAACCCGCTCTGAAGTGTCCTACCGACAGGATACACACCCAGGCTTACACAGACCATCTGAAAGAGGGGATAAAATAACATTTAAATTTTCCAGGACAAGGATATTTGGTCATTTTATTACATTTTCAAGTATTTCCATGACTTGAAAACTAGTCTCTAAATTTCCCAGGTTTTCCAGGGCGCGTGGGAACCCTGTAAGAGTTGCAATACCACAGTGTAAAAACTACCCCACCAGAAGTAAAGGCTCTGCAATCAAAATGTAAAAGTAGTGTCAGCTATATGTCCTTAATTCATCAAAAGTCCTCTTCAGTGTTTGTATTGATATTATATCAATATTATTATTATTATCTCTATTATTATATTTATATTGCATTATTATTATTGATATATTCATGTGTAAGAGAAGCATTTTAATATTGTAGCTGGCTGAGTAAACAGCTGTAAATCTTAATGTATCTTAATCTACAAAGTAACTATAACTGAGAAATGTAGTGGAGTAAAAAGGAAAATCTTCTGAAATGTAGTGGAGCAGAAAGTAAGTAGAAATTGTAAGAGTATTTGAGTAAATGTACTCTGTTACATTCCACCACTGGTACAGAATGAGGTTGAAATCTGGGAATAAAGATAAATATTTTTTTCCAAAATCTACTCCATTTAATCTATTCTACTGTAGAACTGTACATTCTTCCAGTACCCAGGGATATTTAGCATGGGTGTGCTAGTGTGTCTGTGTGTTGGCCGTACTTCGCGTTTGTACTGAAACAAAGACGCATTCTCCAAACCCCGTTAACATTGCAACTGTCGTGGCTAAATGCTGCAGTCCAACCTCAGATTATATTAATATAACTGGATCCACTGTTCAGCGGCAGCTCGTCCCTTTACTTTTCATGCAAAACTAACACTTTACAGTCCAGCAGTGTAGGAAAATGTTAAGTGTGAATGAAACAGAGTGCCAAATTTGCAAAACAAAATTTTTCAGGTAGAACTACAGCAGGTAGAGCTGGCCAGCTTAAGGGAGCATAAAAAAAAAAAAACGGGGGAAAACATCTAGTCTGGCACCTAACAATACATCTACCAACATCTGTAAAGCTCACTAATTAAAACGCTGTATTTGTTTTAATTGAGTACTTTTAAATCTTCTGTTGGCCCTATATATTTTTTTTCAGACTGTGATTCATTAAGACTCTTAAATGCTCTCACTGCAGAGAGAACACATCCTGGTATTTGTGGTGCATATTGCTCAAACATGAGCAAATATTTGGTGTCAGTGTATTGAAGCCACCCAGTCTGTCTCCCAGCAACCACAGCACCTTTTGCAGGTCTGCGATGGCCTGCTTCAGATTCTTGGCCTGCTCGTATTTCTCCTGCCGGACCATTTCCTGCTTCTTTTGGTCCAGGAGACGGATGATGTGTGCAACTTCGGGGTCCTGGTACATGTCGAAGGCCAGGTCGTCCAAGGGGGAGATGGATTCACATTTGCTGGGTGCAAGACAAGCACACAAAGAAACATTTGAAACATGAAATAAAGAGAAATATTAAAACACACTTGTTTTGTGAGGTCTGAGCTTGTTACACTATAGAAAACACAACAGCTGATTTAGTCCCTGAATTCATTAGAGATAATGCCAGTTTAAAATGTGTCATCATCCATTAAATGGGCTCAATATTGTGCAATTCCTGATGAAAGGGGGAAAAACACTGACTGACCCCCCAAGGAGTGAGACCCTGAGGTGAAACATCTCTTGGGGGTTGATATATTAAAAGAAAAAAACAATTTCGAAATGTGTTTTCCTCTTTTCATGGGCGGCCACCTGCATTGTCTTCAAATGCGAGTGACCTTGAATGCCTTATTGGTTGGCTTCCAGACGAAATGGCTTTGTTGAACAATGTTATTGTCACAAGACAAAGAAACCAGGGTTCAATGGCCTAGCCTCACCCCATGAAGGTCGTGTCCAAGGCTGCTTCCAGCTGGGTACTGTTGAGGTAGTGTTCGATCAGCTGCTCTCTGCTTGGCTGGGGGTAAACAGATGGACAAATTACACACACGTGCATATATACTCTTGTATTACTGTGCTCAGGAAGACCTGACCATTGTCTTCTAATCCCATTAGCTTTAAGGTGATCCTCAACTTCAACCCTCACCTTAAAACTGACCAAAACACTGCCAGAATGACTTCACCAAAACTCCCTGGCCCTTACAATTGTACACACACCCCAAAACCAATCGTTAATCAACACCTCCAAGGTAAAGCCAAATATGTAGACTTGTAATCCACTGCTCTCACCTGAAATGTGAAAAAGTGGCCAATCATTACGAGAACAGGACACTGTCTATTGATGACATCATTATTGCAGAACTTTATGAGCAACAGCATTCAATATGAAGCAGGACAAACTTCCTGGTAGAGCAGAGAACCACTTTCTGTTAGCCAGCAATAAGTAGGAACAAGGACAATATTGTACACTTTGATTATTATTATACAGCATGTAGTTATTCTCCTTGAAATGAGAAGCTAAATTACAGGCCCAATGTGTTTTGATGGATTGATATGTTACAAACCTATTTGAAAGTGTTAATGTTACACCATCTTTATTTGTCACTGACAGACAGAAATTCAGATAGTATTGGATTTAAATGTCTTGTCTCTTTCTGCCACCACCCCAATACAATAGAACTGATGGAATTTAGTTGGCACTGGTAATTGATTGTTTTCATTTTCAGTTAATCTGTTGATCATTTTCTGGATTAATCGATGAGTTGTTTGTCTCCATTAATTGTCAGAAAATGGTGAAAAATCTTGAGGCCCAATTGAAGTCCTCAAATGTCTTGTTTTGTCCGTAACCCAAGGATATTCAGTTTACTGTCATATAGGACTAAAGTAACAAGGAAATATTGTAAGCTAAAACCAGAGAATGCAGGCATTTTCTCTTAAAAAATGACTCACAAAGATTAATCAATTGTCAAAATGTTTGATGATTAATTAAATAGTTGACAACTAATTGGTTAATTGGCCAATTGTCCAATTGACTAGTTGTTACAGCTCTAACGAAACAGAATTTAAAAATTAGGTTTAAATTCTCAATTGAGAAACAATGTACCTTGTTGCTCTGGACAAATCCTCAGGTAGTGAACAGTTATCTGCTACTACTTTTCAACAAAGGAATAATCCCAATGAAAAAAGGTGACAGTGTGTTCTGTAAACTATTCAGAAGGACAGGGCATCTCCATGAAAGAGGCCGCTAGAAAACCCAGTGAAAGTCTGTCTGTGAGCAAAGAAAGCAGAAAAAAACAGTGGAGCTCAACAACCTATAATAAAACCAGAAAATAAATGTGTAAATAATAACAAAAACACGTCTGAGGATTATCTGTACAATTCAAGGGATCACAAATGACTTGTTTAATGAGAGTGGGAGAGCAGGAACACATTTTGACATGTCACAGTATGAAAAGCAAAGATGTAAACAATAAAATGAATGATGGCTGAGTGTAACTGCTTCAGTTTCAAGATCCTGGTATTGTGCATGCTTGCTCACTGTCAGACCGTCATGACTTACTGCGACACACAGAGTGTTAATACACATGTGCTGTTCCTATTACAAAAAGTCAAAATGTCTGCTGTGATTAATGCCTGTTACACTGCCATTTATGGTAGTAAAATGTAAATACCACAAAAATAAATAAAAAGTTAGAGCAGGCTCAAAAAAAGCTTGTGCTTTCTCAGCAGTGTAAAGTCCAGAGACATCTCAAAGACAGATCTCGCAAAACCTGGACAAACCCATGGCTGCTGCAGTAGCCATGGGTTTGAATCCAACCTGTGACCCTTTGCTGCGTGTCATCCCCTCTCTCTCCCCCCTTTCTTGTCACTCTTCAGCTGTCACTATTGATTAAAGACAATAAAAGCCTAAAAAAAATGTAAAAAACCCAAAACAATTTGAATGAACTGACGCTTGAATAATTCTCACTGTATCCACACCACAGTCTCCCTCCACAGGACAAACACAACTTCCACCCACGGAACACATATAAGAGAACAAGATCCAACCGACCCTCCAAGCAAGATCACCGCTGCGGTGGAGGTGCTCAGAGTCGGATTAATGGAGCAACAATGCACAGCCTGTTCATTGGAATCTGTGCGAGTGTGTGTCCATGTCTTTCCATGTCTCTGTGTCTGTGTGTGTTTTAAGGTGCTCCCTCTCTTCCAGGACCTGTCCATCTGCAGGACTATCTGATTACACTGGCAAACTAAAGGCCTCCTGTGTGATTACATACTGTCCCCCCTTTGTGTCTCATTACTACATTCCTGACACATATACACACACACCTACACACACACACTATTCGGGTTAACACGTGTGCATATAGACACACTTATACAGTATCTTTGGATCAGTGACTTTGTATAAATACTGCATATAACATCTATGCAATGTATCTATTACATAATATAGCTATGTAAGCCAGTATATCCTCTCCATGTCATTTTCTAATAATACAACACCATCAAATACTGCCTCAAAGGGTACAAATAAGTGAAATCAACAACTCTCTGACATAGTCTCAGCTAATTTTAAGCTTCACATTATTCAGGGCCATTGTACTCAATTTGCATTATATCATGTAGGTATTATTTTTGTGTACTCATATGGACAGGTAATAGAAATATATATATATATATATATATATATATATATATATATATGTAAACTGTATATGATATAAGATATGTGAGGAAGACTTTGACCTGCCAAAAGTTCAAACTGTCACAGTGCAACATCAGTGGATGGATGAGGAAATGTCAATCAGCCCTATTCTAAGTGACTGATGACAGAGCAATGTCTCACAAAATCACAGCGCAACATCGCCATCTACTGCTGTGCAGATGTAAGTTAAGTGATGGGTGACAGGTGAAGGAGAGTGCTCACTTACAATTGTGTTAAAAGCATTCCCATCCAAAGAATCTCCCAGAACATTAATGGCAACCAAAGAAACCTGAAATCACAAACAGATGGTTGGTGCGGTGGTTGAATGAAACATAACTGCGTGAGAAAATCAAAAATCAATGCATGTGATAAATGAGTGAGTGCTGGGTGGTAATAGCTGAACTATTTTACTGCAGTTTAATGCATAGAGCTGGTGATGTTCAATATCTGTATTTTCATCGTCAACAAATCATATGAAAAGACCAAAACTAACAACAAAGTAATGACTGTGTAGTCAAAGCTTAACTTTTTCCTCTGTGCCAGAGAGCTTCATTGTTGTCCAAAAATACCTAAATAAGCCACACTGTTGCACTAGGTGACACATTATTTTATTACCATGAACCCACACTTTATTCTTTATTCTGAGTTTATTCTGAGTCAATCCAACATAAACTTTCCTGTTACTGTAAATACTGAATAAAGCACCAAATGTGTATTCATCTTTGTCTGTAAGGAGTCCCTAACAAATCCACTATTTACTCCTGTTTGTTTAATGTGCCCAGCATTTTCAGAAAATTATTTTGCCTGATTAAAAATTAACCTATATATCTGTTACCTGTTTTTAAAGATTTAAATCTTCAGTAGGCACAAATGGAGCTTGGGGCAGAGTGTCATAGACAAGGGAGGGAAGTACTGAGAGATTTTCATGGTCTTTTCATGGGATTTGTAGGAAGAAAAAAATAAAGAATAAAATCAGTCTTATCCTAAAAAGAAGGTTTCAAAGACCTTGCTACCTGGAACTGAATTTGAAAACTCTAATTCAAGTTACAAATCTGTAAATAGAAACCTTTAAATGTTTAAAAAAAAGACCTGCACCTATTAAATCACATTCATTGCTGGTTATTTTAAAAGAAGCCACACAGTTTGAAGAACTATCTTCATGAGATATACTGTAATCCCTCTCAAATTACCCTAAAATTGTTCATTTTCAGCCACATTTACACTAGTCTTTAAAATGTAAACTTTAAATGATCTAAAAAACTAATGTTTAAAAGAACAGAAAACGCTGCATCTAGAACAGCTGTTAATGATCTGATGTCTTTTAAACAATGTAACCTAACTCGTCCACATAAACCAAGTGGCTCACAGTTTGGATCAATCTTCTGTACCAGGCAAAAGTTCTTGGTAGTGAAATGGTGGTGTAGGTGCGTCGCTCCAATCTAGCGGAGTACCTGATTGTAGTTATTGTAACGGTTGACATGGTTCCTGTGGAAGGTTATTCTCAGGTACGTTCCGATGGCGTCTACATGCACCGACTTCAGCTCCCGAGCTTTGAAGCCTGTCTTCTCGTTGTCCGACAAAGACACGTACCTGTGGTGAAAGTACAGTGTTGCTGACATACAGAAGACTAAAATGCATGATATACTGTACATTTTATTTATCTATATGGAGTGATTCATACTAGATGTTTCGTAGCAGTGAGCAGCACCTGTGCAGCACATGGGGACCTATTCCAGTTGTTAGTCAGTGCTTTGAGCAAGGGCAATGACATATCATTGCTAACGTGCACGTATTTTGGCCCGAGCACACTCCCCTCAGGGACCCTGCAACTTATGGCCTTAAGAACAGAAACCATCCCATCAACATCTGGTAAAATGCTAAAACTTCGACTATTGAATGCCCTTTGGAGATCCAATATGACTACCATAGAGCTTCCCTTCATGGTACGGTCAGTTAGACCCAAAATCAAAACCAGATCAAAGGAACAAAGCAGGGTGTCTAAGGAGCATCATTACCAGGTGCCTGTCCACACCAGATAAAAAACTGCTGACAGTACTGGTCACTTGAACACCTGAACAACAAAAACAACCTATGTTTATGTTTGTGCAGTTGTGTATAAAAAAAATGTCAAAACCAAGCCTGGCCGAGTCTGCAGTCTCACCCAAGTCTGCGAAGCTGCCCAGGGAACCCTGGGCTGCCGGTTTCAGGAAGGGTGTCTCCAATATGGAACTCCACCTTTGCTGGGATCAGGTACTGGTGGGCTAGCAGCTGCAGCTTCCTCACCCTACTTCTCTCCACCAGCTGGAGGGTGATGTGCTGAGGGTAGGAGCACAGCCTGCAGGAATATTTGATTCACACAACATTGAGTGTTTAAAGAAAACTGCCATTCATAAAATAATGATTTGCTTTTGCATAGCATAATGTTGCCATGAATGAAATGTGACATGCGTTTGTGTTAATGTACCTGCTGGATCTCCAGCCATTGACTGTGGGTGCATGGACCATGAGCTCCTTGGCACTGAAGTTGTCCTCATGACTTGAAGAGTTGACCACAATGAATCCTATCTTTCTGGGCATCCCTCTGATAGAAACTGATCACAAAGAACACATAGAAGACATTTTATTTTTCTCACATTTAATATTTGAAATAGCAGAAAGAAATTCAATTAGTGACTATGATAAATGTAAAGATGATGTTCAGGGTGATTCAACAATTTACTTATTTTACAGACCTGGACATAACGTGTCTATAAAGTACACCAAGTACATTCAGTGTGATATTTTCAGTCCAGTTTAATTACTTGTGATCAGATTGTTTCAGAATTAAATATAGCCAATTTTGGACTGCATTTTCTTTAAGCATTGCTCTTGTATGGGGGCTCCTATTCAACATTTGACAACTTTGACTTTTTTTTCTGAATTAAAAAATAGTCCTTACCTAAATAGTAGTTAATTCCTTAGTAGAAATAAATGTGTATATTTCTCAAGGTAAAGTAATTTAAAAAGAAGTATAGGTTAGGTATTACCACTAGTACTGAAAACTGCACCCAACCCAGAATAAACTCGAGAGGACTGCCAAAACACTTTGTCCATCTGTCCAGCTAAACCACTTACAACCCAACGCAATATTAATATAATAATACAGTCAGAACTGTTTAATGTCACTACACGTTTTGACCAAATGATGCTCAACAAACTTGTCAGCAATTAGGCAGTAATTACTAAAGAACAGAATAGGAACAACATATTTCATGAATTTAACAGAAACAGAATAACTTTCAGACTATTATTGTTCAGACTAAACAACCTTTGGCTATGTAGCAGTCAGTCTGGCCTTTATTCATCATTTATGTGTACTGAAGGTACGTCAGTAGCTGTAAGTACGGGTGCAAGAGGCTTAAAGATTTGCTGAGGGGTTTATCTCTGTCACATAAAACAGAAAAAATTAAAAGGCCAGTTTACAGCATGAAGTTTGGCGTGTGGTTCTCTTTAGGTAAAATAAACTATCCTCGATATGGCACCCCCCCCCTTGGGTAGGACAGTCATTCTTGCTGACTTGCACATGCTGCGCGGGGGGCATTAGCTAGCTAACTGTTAACTACTCAATCAGCCAACATGGCTAGTCTTACACTGGCTGTATTATAAAGGTATTTAGACCGGCTAAAATCCCACAAAGGTGCTGACAACTGTCATTCGTTATGTCCTACCTTCTGTTGTTATACATTTCAGAGTAAATATAAGTTTTCCTGCTTGTATTTCAAAGAAATCTTACCACAAACATCACCGTAATGTTGACAGCTCGTACTCCCATCGCATCTCCATAACCACCGCTGACAACAACCAGCGCGGACATGCGCAATGGCAGGAGTGTCGTCAGTCGCAATGGATTGTAGTCAATGTAGTTTTATACACTTGTAGCTCGTTTTTGACTTTAGCAGTTATTAGTTAAATCCAAATTTAACGGCTTTGGGTGTATTATGTATTCTGCCTAAGTCTTGAGACAAGTTAATATCGATAAACATTCAAAATACATTTTATAATGCGTTTCTAACTTCCTTCCGGTCATCGGGTGGAGCGGAGCATACGTCGACTTCAGGAAGTCAATCCTTTGGCTCCAAAATAAAAGCACGGTATAAAGCGGTAACATCAAACTCGTTAGCTCTTCTAATATTGCAGCATATATAATACTCGTGATATAAATGTTAGACTAAATAAATAAATAAAAAAATTACCACAAGTTAATAAGAGATGCACCGAGCTCACAATTCTTTAATACTTGAAGTTTTGAAAGAAATAATAATCCTTCTTAATACATGAGTTATTTAAGTCATGTTTTGATTATAATGATTCGGTATATTGACACAAAAATGCACATTTACCACGCAAAAATCCAAATGACCAGAATATTTCAATTTATTTTGAAATATTTAAACGGATATCGTGTACTTTATTGTCTCGGCTATTTTGACAAGAGTACTAGCAGCATGGATGACATGGAGAAATGGCCAGAAATAGAGAAAGCAGCGACAGGGAAGAGACGTGAACTGGTTTTACAGGGTCCAGCTGTCGACGAGAGAATCTCCTCTAATGGAGGTCTCTCCTCTGATATCTATTCCCTCACACTGCTGAATTATCTGGAGGTCAGCCAGTGCCCGAGTCTGACTGAGATCCACGAGGACATCCAGCATCTGACAAACCTCCAAAGCCTCATCCTGTGTAGGAACAAGCTAGCCTCCATCCCGAATGTCGTCGGCAACCTCAAGTCCCTGAAGGTCCTGGACCTTTCAGTCAACAACCTCAGGGTTTTGCCAGAGGGAATCACTCAGTTAAGGGAGCTTAACACTCTCAACGTGAGCTGTAACAGCCTGGAGGTCCTGCCAGAGGGACTGAGCCAGTGCACCAAGCTCTCCACCATCAACATCTCCAAGAACCGCATCACTGGTTTCCCCGCTGATTTCTACTCCGAGAAGCTAGATCTCCTCAGCTCACTGGTCGCCTCTGACAACTCCATCGACCAGCTGAGTGGAGATGTTCACAAGCTAGCTGCTCTCAAGGTGGGCCGAACCTCACTCCCAGATCTTTAACACATACATAACCAATACGACATCATTTATATAAATGTGTTTGAGTTGCTGGTCCACCCGTATAACTTACAATACATTCCATACCCCAAGCAGCTCTCTTATACATATCATGTCGTCTTGTGGTGGTGATTTTCTTTAATAAAAAATTCTTCTGGGTGGATCAAATGTGCTCCGAATTTAACTACTAACTATCACTAGTTTAGGTGTATATTTTAAATGATAGTAAACAAGGTTTACATTTGCTGATGGGGCATTGCATCACTAAAATGTCATGTTTTCAAACGGAGTTTGGTGGGTAACATCCACACAACCAGCTTAAATGCAATATCCTCTTTTCTGTTGTTGTTTTCCCCTTGCATAGCACTTGAAACTGGGCATAGCTGATGCTCTTTGCCATCTCATGCCCTTGGTTTTGTCTTCCCAGGTGCTGGATCTCTCCAACAACAAGCTGAATGAGATTCCCTCCGATCTGAGCGACTGCCCCAAGCTAAAAGAGATCAACTTCAAAGGCAACAAGTTGAACGACAAACGTCTGGAGAAGATGGTCAACGGCTGCCAGACCAAGTCCATCCTCGACTACCTCAGAGGAAAAGGGAAACAGGGAGAGGATGGAGGTAACGCGGAGGGGGGTCGCAATGCAGACAGGGGGAAAAGGCAGCAGCAGAGGAAGAAGAAGGAGAAGGTGGCAGACGAACAGGATGAGATGGAGGAGCTGAACAAGATAGTGGTGAGAGTTCTCCATGTTTCGGATGCCCCTACGGCACTGGAAGTCACAGTGAGTGCAGAGGTGAAAGATGTTCGGCCGTACTTGGTGTGCTGCGTGGTCCGAGGCATGAACCTAAATTCTGGGAATGCTCTCAAACGGTTCCTGGTGGCTCAGGTAAGGTCAATCCCCTCACAAGGTGGCATACATTGGTGCGCAAGTGTGTAGTTTTGTCACCGAAAAAGACTCACCTGTTTATTTTTCTAGACAAAGCTTCACGATGACTTGTGTGGTAAAAGGACCACCGCAACCATCGCAACTCATGATGTGCAGCTTCTCAAAGCTCCTCTGATTTATGATGTTAAACCACCTACCCAGCTGAAGGTATGCTAACGCAGAATGGTTGGCTCATTATTTTCAGATTTGAATCCACTTCTTAGGACAGCCAGGCATTAAAAATCTATCAATTGCATTAATCAAATCAAATAATAATGAAATTAAATCAGTTTTGTTATTTTTATGTTTGAAACGTCCGAATGTCACATAAGAACACAATGTTTGTCAGATTGTGCCACTGGGCCGGAAGGAGATGACGGCCATCGAGCTGATAAGACACCTTCAGCTGGAGGCTGACGAGCTGAGGAAGCAGAAGAAGAGGCAGAACGTCACTGGACTCCACAAGTAAGTACAACTCATGGCGCTTTGGAAAGATCCCCAGTAGTTATCTGCTGGACTTGCACAAGACATCTGCATAACCTGGTTGCTGTTAGGTTTGAACACATGAGGGCAGTATAAGTATGTTGGACCACAGTATCTGCAGGTACTTGTAATCAGAGCCTGACAAAAAGAAAATAGAATTTAAAGATCCATTTAAAGATTATTGATGTGTATTAATGGCATATTTAAATAGTTGATTATGATAATTGACATGATTGACTTATAAAATCATCAATACCACCAATGTTTTTTTCAATCTATGATTAATGCACAGATAAAACAACACACACCAAATGAAACTTACAATAATTTCAAGTTAACATCACCTGCTATGCATCTATTACACTTGCTTAAGCCTTTTATAATGTTGTCTCTCAACTATTCTATTATTTTACAGGTACCTGCAAATTCTGCAGGGAAAGGCCCTCTATCCCTGCCTAGTGGATGCAGAGGGACACGTGATCTCATTCCCACCTATAACCAACAGCGAGAAAACCAAGGTGTGCATGTCTATTTTCATCCTGGTAATCATAACTGTGTCCTCCCATAAGAGAGGATTTCATATTAAATGCTGTCATACGCTGGGCATTGATGCTGACAGAAGAAAAAAAACCCAATAACACACTGACATACATCTTATTGTTTGTGCCTCATTGTCTTATTGTAGCCCACACTTTGGGCTCTGTGTCTGGTCATGGGCAGAATTACATAATCAGCTGATTGTACTTTACAGATCAAGAAGACGACCAAAGAGTTGTTCTTGGAGGTGACGAGTGGAACCAGCCTGCAGACATGTAAAGATGTCATGGACGCTCTGATTGTAGTAAGTTTCACTTTTTCTCTCTCTTTTCTTTCTTTTTTTTTTTTTATACTAACTGCTAATGACGATTAGCATGCAATCCATACTGTATACAATTAGTATATAATCTTTATGTCCACTGCCTCCCTCTTTCTTCACCTCTGTTTTCCTGTTTTGGATTTGTTTGACCTTTTTGAGTGTTTATTTTGAAACCTCTGGAGTTTTCATCTAGGAGATAATTGGTAGATTATTTTCTTATATTGTAGATTTAGTGTCATAGTTTCTGTGTTGCAGTTGTACACAATCAGCAGTAACAAATCACACACAGGCATTTAAAGGGCATTTCCTGTTTCTTCACAGAAAATGGCAGAGTTGAACAAGTTCACCGCAGAGCATCAGGAGGAGGCGGGGTCAGATGGCGAAGGGGACGGCCCACAAGAGCCAACCGGCAGCGAACTGATCATCCAGCAGGTCCGAACATTGGACCAGGACGGGAACTTGAAGGTTGTCTACCCGTCAAAGACCGACCTCTCCAACGACGTCAGCAACTTGAACGTCATTTGGTAGTGGTGATGATGATGCGGATAACCTCTGATGTTTACACCCACTCACGTGCTACATGAAGTCATTTTAACAGATTCACATTGTGGGGCATTAAAGCTTTTGACAACACGCAACAAAATTACATCCCTTTACTTCAGGGAGCCCAGAAAATCTGATCCTGTCGGATTTTTTTGTGACTAAAACAAAATTCAGCAGACGCTTGATTTTTAGTGATAATTGTTGCCTGTTGACGAATGTTAACATTTCTGATTAATGTACAGCTTTTTGAACCACATGTAGTAATACTTTAATAAATCTCTTTGCCACTTCCTGACAGCATGATCAACATGGCATACTGTATGTGAAAAGATCCTTATTTTTGTATTATTTACAAACTTTCCTGTTGGTAAAATGAATTTTGTTTAACTGACATTAACTTAAACTTGGACTGGTCTACTTATCTGTACCACTGGATGATTTGTATGACTATTTATCAACTTAAAGTATTGGCATTTTTCCTTTAAGCAGCAGCAAATAATTATGAATTACACTTAGATTGACTCCTGTTTTCATTCATTTTATTTAATTCACACACAGGTGCTCAGAATATTCAGGCTGGTTCAGTATGTTTTACATTTCTCAAGCCAGTGGACAAATTGTAATTCAATGCATCTTTATTGTGATAGGACTGAAATATCAGCGTGCTGATAGAGAGTGCTTTGGAAGGGCCTCAGGATCTGCAAAAGAACAGAAAATATTCAGTTCAGACGAATAATTTAAGCAACTGGTAGCATAAGCATGATGGCTTTTAATCTTTTTAATGTGATAGCGACATGATGTGGACATATCTCTGCACCATGCCTCACTTACATATGCATGTGTAAGCCACCTCCAGGTACTTGTAAGTGCCGACACAGGGGTCTCCAAACACTGAGTTGCTTGCTTCAATAGTGCAGCTGTTTTTCCCATTACAGCTGTGGAGTCACATGAGTGAATACAGGCTTGAATGTGCCTCAGAGCATATTAAATATTATGTGATTGTAAAGAAGGTGAATTAACACTTTCCAGTCTGTGTTATAACTCTTTACTTTCTTCCTAATTTAATAATTTATCTGCAAATAATAGCAAATTGGTCTCTTGAAGTCTGGATTTATTCCTTATATTTAACAAACAGCATGTAACTGTACCTGTCAGCAACTTTGCTAGTGGGGTGTGAGCAGTAGACATTCTCAGTCTGAGAGGCAGGCCGTTTGTAAGAGCATGTGGTCTGGTCTCGACGTCCGTAGTCTGCACCATAGACAAATATAACCTGCCCTACATCTGACAGTCAGAGGAGCAAACATTGGCAACGCAGAGAGGACAAAAATGTAGCTGAAAGGCAGGTGTCCAAAAGGGCAACTAGTAAAACTGTTCAGGTGCAATGAAAATGTAATCATGCTCATGTTTATCACATTAATCCTCCATAAAAGCAAAAGAAAGAGTAATCTTACCACAAAACAAATGTGCCAAAGAGCGCTCACATGTAACCAGGCGAACTGTCAAAGTAACATGAATAAATTGAATTAGATAATCACACTATAAAAAACTTGCGGCTTTGTTTCACCAGCAGTGTCATGCAGATACGTGACTTACTTGCTGGGAAGCAGGTGTACTTGGTTTCCAGGTATTTGTAGATGCCAGGGCAGGGATTAGAGGTACGGACAACCTTTATGTTTATCTCACACACCTTCTTGCCATCACACCTGTAGGGAAACCATGAAAGGCATGTTTTTAGCACAAAGTAAAAGCACACTCAAACTAAAATGGTGTCAATTAAATACTATAGTAACTTGGACTAATATTAGAGACTTTACTATTTAATTATGAAACCTGGACTCAAGTGCGTGAATTACCACTTGTTTTAATGTACAGTATAATGTCATTGTTCATTTCCCTGCACTATGTAGTGTTCCGTTCTATGACTCTTAATATTACATATAATATATACACCTTTTCTTGAGGATGTCCACTGTACCCTCTAGAGAGCACTCTGTATTGGCAAGCTGCTGTTGAGGTCTGCCCTCACCGCAGGTCTCATTGTCTGCACGTCCATACAGTGCTGCCTGCACACTGATCACTCCCATATCTGATACACACCAAGGGGGAATTAAAAAATGAGACCATGGGAAAAGTGCTTTTTAGTAGACACTGTATTCTTTTTTTCTGATAGGCCATGTGGTGCAACCTGCCACGGTGTCTTTTCTGGTTGCTTAAGTTCAAATATGTTCAAACACGAGGGTGGTCAAACACCACAGAGAGTCAACAAACTGCAGTTTTTCATTACAGCCAAAGACTGCACCTGCTGACCGTCACTCCTGTAGGAGGAAGCGGGGGTGAACTAATAAATGACATCGCCTGCTGAGGTGACTGGTTGAAATGAAAACCTGCAGAATGTTGGTTCATCATTGGCCATCCCCTTAAAATGTGTAATCCCCAAAATGTTTTAATGCCTCAACACTGGTTGAGTCAGTTTATTAAGCTCTTCAAACTTAAATGGACCACTCATTATGGACACAAAGACTTAAGAGAGTTCAGACATACCGCAGCTCAAGTGCTGGACATTGGAGCTGCTGGCACAGGTGATGACTTTCTCTGTGGAAACAACTAAAATAACAGATATAAAAGTATAAGTTGGAGTGTGTTCAAGCCACATACATGCAGAAAATACATATTCGGACACTTACCTTCTCTCATGAGCAAACACGTTGCTGCTAGCACTGGAAAAGAAACATCACTGTCAGACTGTGTCAGCCAAACATAAGCGAAGTTTTGCTTTAAACCTTAAAAAAAAAAATCTTTGTATTGTATTCTGCTCTATTAAAGTAGAAAAGACATGTTTGAATGCAAAAGGTTTGACGTGAAAATATACAAAAAACTACCCAGAGTTGAAATTCCATGTTAGCAAGTGTGGTTTATTTTGTTACTCATCATTTAATTGTACATAAAATCATAAATAATCATAAGTCATACACTACTAAGTTGCAGCCCAGTCAATTTTCTTTATGATATAGTCAGTAAAGTGAATCAGGCATGACTCTCTAAAATAAAGATGGGAAAACATGTCATTGAGCTACTTGTTAAAACAACAACAGCTACAACCATAAAAAACAAGAAAACCTGGGTCTCATATAACAGTTTTAGGGAGCTTTCAGAATGAAAGTCTGGAACAATTTTCTCTCCGACTATACTGAGTAAAGGAATTCATTTAATCCAAATATATATATATATATATATATATATATATTTTAACTTCAGGGTAAAACCACAAAAGATAAATCGGAGTCCTGTAACCTAAATAGCTGAAACTAATTGTAAGATTCTATTAAGTCTGGTCTTTGTAAAATGTATGTGTTGTATGACCTTAAACTGTTCAAACTCAGCACTAGCATTAAAGGAACAGTCTTTGATCGTCTGTATCCCCTCATCCCTAAGCTCATCATATATTTCACAACCAATTTCCTTAGTAATAAGGCTAGAGGAGGTTTGCTGTGTAAACAGATGTATGAACTGTGATACATATAAAATTGAAATTTAGAAACAATAATAGAAATGTTGGATGGGTTATAGGTCAAACTGAAAAAAATATCATTTTAAATAAGCCCTTCTTTGACAAAAGAGAAAATACATCATCTAATTGAAGAGTTCAAATTGTTCTTATGGCAGATAGTAGTTAGATATCTGTTACTCCCAGGTCCCCCTTTATGTGTCTGACAATTCTAACCACATTTCTAGGAATAAAATTGTCGAAGAAGAATATATGCATTGTGTCGTCTTTAACAGCAGGGCAGACAAGTACATATTTGCTACTGCTAACCATCTCAGAAGAAGAAGTGACAGAACTATAGGGGCTATTTTTGGATCATATATAAAGTATATATTATTTATTATATATTACTTAATTTTCCTTTTTTTTCTGATCCCATATAATTATTGTTCTAGCTTCCCATCAGTTGTGTACTCACACAGTGTGGTGCTGAGTCGGAAGTGGAGCATGGTTTTTAGAAGATCCAGTCGGAGGTCAACAGTGGAAGTGATGTCAGGAACAAACACACCTGTATTTATACTACTGTGGTAAGAACTGTGTCTTGCACAATTCACCCAGTCTAGAAGGTGAACACACAATTAAAACAAGAATGTGTGACGCTGAAGAAAGGGAACAATGACTTATTACATGTTGACCACGATGATGAACAATGATGGTATTTACAAAGCGCATCACACGTTTGGTGATCTGTCATCCTCCTGTTCAGATCTTCCAGCCTGACAACAAATTCATGTCTTTGTGAAATCACCAGTCCTGTTTCTCACATTTCCTTCCTCGAAGAAGTGCTCCCTGCAAGTAAGGAAGTGTCTTTGAGATAGAAGACATACACTGCAGAATCTTGCTGTATTAGTTTTTTAGGTAATGCGGTTGCGTGACTTTTTGGTCTTCTTAATGTTTGTCTGTACCCTCCTCACAGCACCATATCCTCGGTTTGCAATTTAAGTCTTTGGAATAAAGCAGTGGCTCTCTTTATAAAGCAGATGGTGGAACTTCCTTGAGACATAACCGGTTCTCCAGTTGCTCTTTACAATACCATTGTCTGGGTGCCTAAAAACAAATGAGCAGAGCTGTTGCAATGTAGTTTTTATCTGTGGACTTCCTGGAACACGCACCTATTGTTGCTTTTTGTCTCTGGACTTTCCAGAAACACAAGACACTGAGAGTCACTGCAGTGGGGATTAACCAGAATCTGATCTCATGAACCTTTGCTGGTGCACATTTCTTCAGATTTTTGTTAAATAATTATCAACACGATAGCAAAATAACAAAAACTTGATGACAAACTGACAAGACACATGCTGCTGTTGTATTTCATTTAATGCATGCATGTTGTGATCTCATCGTGATTTCATTACACAGTGTCCTTTGGAGTGATCACGGGATCTGCAAAAACAGATGAATTCACTTTAGATTAATATTTAAGTTGTGTCAGTGCAGGATGAATAACAAATGCATTTGAAACTTCATCAGCATAGCTACTTAATAAAAAATAAAAACAATGTTACATTTGGGGATTTTTATCACTGCAAAGTTGTTTAAGCAGTTTGTTTGGACCACAGATTAGCTTCAGTAGGGAGAAACAGGGCCTTCAAGCTACTTACATTCACATGTGTAAGCCACCTCCAGGTACTTGTAAGTGCCAGCACAGGGGTCTCCAAACACTGAGTTGCTTGCTTTAACAATACAGCTGTTTTTCCCATTACAGCTGTGGAGACAGAGTAAAAGGACTGAATACAGGCTATATACAGGCTATAAAGTTAAATACACCATGATTTTGATTTCCACAGCCTTCAGCCTAAGGTACAAGTTGACAAAGAGTGGCCGACTGTACCTTTCAGAAACGTGGCTGGTTGGACTTGCACAGTCAGTGTTTTGGATTTGAGAGGCAGGCCGTTGGTAAGAGCATGTGGTCCGGTCACGGCGTCCGTAATCAGCGCCGTACACCCTTATAACCAGCCCTTCATCTGGCAGAAAGAGGACGAGGAGTTGGAAGCAGTGCTGCATAAGTGTCATGGAAATACAATAATGCACACACATCACATTGCACCTTACACACAAGAGAAAAATGTGATCTTACCACAATGCAGGTATGCCAGAGAGTCCTCACATGTCACTTGGTGAACTGTGAAAATAACAATCACATTAAACATCCATTTTTAACCCCTAACATCCAGTTGACACCTTTTGTGTCAAAAATCGCTAGTTATCTAGTTATTTCCTCTAGTTATTTTCTTCAAATCAGATCACACTACAAACAAAAAAAGAATTTAAGCGTGGCGTGTTTGAATCATTCAAAGCACCCAAAGCTTAAATCACATAAATCCTAAGTGATAAAAATAAACGAAAGGCTCAATACAATTTGACAGTAGTAAGTCACAGAATATCTCCACAATATATGAAGCCATGTTTTATATATTTCCTATGTGTTTGAAAACTTTGGACATACAGGCAAAAAAAAAAAACAACCTTTAAATGACATAAATGAAAACCCAGCAAAATCAGATTTGGGTTTTGCAGCTGTGCTTTAGTTTCATTCAGACTTGTGACTGACCTGCTGGGAAGCAGTTGTACTTGGTCTGCAGATATTTGTAGGTGCCCCTGCAAGGATCAGATGCTCCGAAGATATTTGAATTTAGTTCACACACTCTTTTTCCATCACACCTACAGGGAGAAGACAAAGAGCGTGATTCAAGCAGAATCACCACAAAACTTAAATACACACATCAGTCTCTTGCACTGGCCCAAGGTGACTTTTCTTTCCTTGTTTTGTGATAAATAAGTCTCCATTTTCATATCAAGGCTGAATAATAATAAAATTGTGTGTAATTTTTAATAATGCCTTTTATTTTTGACTAATGTTCGCATTTTGACGCAATACAAATTTCAGAAAAGGTTGACATTGAAGTGAAATGCAATGTAATCTCATCTGTTCTGTGACTCTTGAGAACGCTACATCCAAACAAAAGTAGAGATGTAGGATTAATCCTCTTGTATTCTTCAATCGGCTACCTAATACATTCAGAAAAAAAAGAGCTTCCCTGACACCTCGCATCAAATGTCCCATTTCAACTAGACATACAGTGGGTACGGAAAGTATTCAGACCCCTTTAAATTTTTCACTCTTTGTTTCATTGCAGCCATTTGCTAAAATCAAAAAAGTTTATTTTATTTCTCATTAATGTACACTCAGCACCCCATCTTGACAGAAAAAAACAGAAATGTAGAAATTTTTGCAAATTTATTAAAAAAGAAAAACTGAAATATCACATGGTCATAAGCATTCAGACCCTTTGCTCAGTATTGAGTAGAAGCACCCTTTTGAGCTACTACAGCCATGAGTCTTCTTGGGAATGATGCAACAAGTTTTTCACACCTGGATTTGGGGATCCTCTGCCATTCTTCCTTGCAGATCCTCTCCAGTTCTGTCAGGTTGGATGGTGAACGTTGGTGGACAGCCATTTTCAGATCTCTCCAGAGATGCTCAATTGGGTTTAGGTCAGGGCTCTGGCTGGGCCAGTCAAGAATGGTCACAGAGTTGTTCCGAAGCCACTCCTTTGTTATTTTAGCTGTGTGCTTAGGGTTATTGTCTTGTTGAAAGGTGAACCTTCGGCCCAGTCTGAGGTCCTGAGCACTCTGGAAGAGGTTTTCTTCCAGGATATCTCTGTACTTGGCCGCATTCATCTTTCCTTCAATGGCAACCAGTCGTCCTGTCCCTGCAGCTGAAAAACATCCCCATAGCCTGATGCTGCCACCACCATGTTTCACTGTTGGGATTGTATTGGGCAGGTGATGAGCAGTGCCTGGTTTTCTCCACACATACCGCTTAGAATTAACGCCAAAAGTTCAATCTTGGTCTCATCAGACCAGAGAATCTTATTTCTCATAGTCTGGGAGTCCTTCATGTGTTTTTTGGCAAACTCTATGCGGGCTTTCATATGTCTTGCACTGAGGAGAGGCTTCCGTCGGGCCACTCTGCCATAAAGCCCTGACTGGTGCAGGGCTGCAGTGATAGTTGACTTTGTGGAACTTTCTCCCATCTCCCTACTGCATCTCTGGAGCTCAGCCACAGTGATCTTTGTGTTCTTCTTTACCTCTCTCACCAAGGCTCTTCTCCCACGATTGCTCAGTTTGGCTGGACGGCCAGGTCTAGGAAGAGTTCTGGTCGTCCCAAACTTCTTCCATTTAAGGATTATGGAGGCCACTGTGCTCTTAGGAACCTTGAGTGCTGCAGAAATTCTTTTTGTAACATTGGCCAGATCTGTGCCTTGCCACAATTCTGTCTCTGAACTCCTTGGGCAGTTCCTTCGACCTCATGATTCTCATTTGCTCTGACATGCACTGTGAGCTGTAAGGTCTTATATAGACAGGTGTGTGCCTTTCCTAATCAAGTCCAATCAGTTTAATTAAACACAGCTAGACTCCAATGAAGGAGCAGGACCATCTCAAGGAGGATCAGAAGAAATGGACAGCATGTGAGTTAAATATGAGTGTCACAGCAAAGGGTCTGAATACTTATGACCATGTGATATTTCAGTTTTTCTTTTTTAATAAATTAGCAAAAATTTCTACATTTCTGTTTTTTCTGTCAAGATGGGGTGCTGAGTGTACATTAATGAGAAATAAAATGAACTTTTTTGATTTTAGCAAATGGCTGCAATGAAACAAAGAGTGAAAATTTTAAAGGGGTCTGAATACTTTCCGTACCCACTGTATATGGTCACATTAAAATAAAGCCAAATAATCACAAGTGTGTACCTTCTCTTGAGGACATCCTCAGTGTTGGTCAAAGAGCAGTCTGTATTAGAGATCTGTTGTTGAGGTTTTCCCTCACTGCAGGTCACACTGTCTGTACGTCCGTACAGTACCGTCTGAACACTGATCACTCCATTATCTGTTTCACAGAAAAGAGGGACGAAGAGGGAGTTGAAGAAATAAATTATACAGCAATCGCTTTTTTAAATTAGTATTTGTTTAAACAACCTAATATTTAGTAGCAGTGTTTTTTGTCAATTACTACCTTTGAATGGTACTGAAAAATGATTAATAATTACATTATCTAACTGACCAACTGATTGAAAATCAAAATGTCTTCATAAAATCCAGAAAAGAAAAGAGTCAGATGATAAAAGTACAAAAAACCCCCCCCAAAAAACCACAAAACAAACCAGCTCTTTAGTACCGCCAAAATAAAAGTAAGCACTGCTGTGGACAGAAAGTTTTAGGAAATAGAGTCATACCACAGCTCAGTCGATGGACATGGTTGCCTTCACAGGTGGTAACTGTCTCTGTGGGGACACCTAAAATATGGAGGCATTAGTTAGACACATTTTTTAAAAATGTATTCAAGCATCATCTTACCATACACAGATATTTACCTGCACTTGCAAGCAGAGATGTTGCTGCTAGCACTAAAAAGGAAACAGCACTGTTAGAGTGTTAACCATACTCAAAAACAGAACACTGAACAAGTTTTAAATGAATTATACTGTGCCCTGAAACCATGAAGAGATATAAACAGATGCGCTTCTTAAGCAAAAAAAAACAATTTCACAAAATAACAATCTAATATTTCCTCATTAATAACCACCTATCTTTGTATTAATATAAGTATACTCACAGAGTGTGGTGCTGAAGCAAAGCATGGTTTTTAGAAGACACTGTGGTATGTTACCAGTGAGACTGACGGTGGAAACCCACACACACTCAGTATTTAATCATTTCAGATCTAGGGCACTCTGTGTCTATTGTGCAAACCTGACTCCAGTGGCCTCTATTCAACTGGCTATGATTTCCGGAAAGAGAATAACATGACCCCAGGAGGGACGGCAGACATCAAAGCACAGGCTGAAAAGGCCAATTTGAAGTCTTTGGTTAACCAGGGAAAGCATACAGACACACACACAGGGAAACTGAAGAAGAACAACATTAACACAATTAAACACATTGAATACTTTATTGTAAGTGTTATAACTGACAAAGCTTCAATGTGTATCAGTAGCTATTATATCTGGCCACTATTAAGACCAGTTTCTATGTGTAATCAGAGCCTGTCTCCTACAAATTATGCTTATATCTTACTAAATGATTTTGCTGATGTGTATCTGGCTTAGTTTAGTGAGATTCTTGGCATAAGATTTCTGTCAAAGTTAAACTGGGAGTGCTGATGTAAAATCCCAATTTTGCTCTGCTGTGTTTGCTGTGTTTACAGTAACCACAGAAAACAATGAGATGCACTAAACACCCAAATTAATAAGAAATTACAAATGTATAAAGCTGGACATCATAGCACTCAGACAGATGGCATAGATCTGATGATCTATGTTGCATTGAAACCAGTGCTTTAATCAAAAAAACTTAAATGCATTCTTACCACAATCAGACTGTTTACATAGCTTTTTATGGAGTGAATATCATCATTGACAAAGAAAAAGGACTTGGTTTTAGAGATAGATGTGTGATTCAGAGGGACTGAAATATCCAAAGCAGGCTGGCAAGCAGTGTTTAAACAAATGACATGTTCTCCCTTCTGAGCTAAAAGGAACAAAATAAAGCACATTTATGATTTAAGCTGAAGTAGACTGCACAGAGAAGAGAGTCATCCAGAGAACTTGTTTTGGAAAATGGGGGGCTCAGTGGGAGTAGGGAAAACAGAAATCAGAATATTTTTTAGATGACTGGAGACAACTGGACCTAAAGTTGCAGTCAACAATGATCTGTTGGTGCCTGCATGTCTGGAGGCTAGGCAAGAGCAGTTGTCACTTGTTATGCAATGGTTTGTAAAAAAAAAAAAAAAGTCTGATGGACCAGGCATAACCTGATTGGGCCAGACGTGGGAGTGAAGTCCTGGTTGGCTCCACTGTAAAGTTTGTTGGCCAATAATAATATAACCAATAGGGATTTTTCTACTTGGGAAAGAAACAAAACTATTGCAGAAAACAGACTGAAAAATAAAATTTCAGACAGAAAATCATAGATCACAATGAGAAGGAAAGGAAGGAAGAAAAGAATACAAAATATTGATAGCCCAAACTACACTCACTACAGCAAAATATATTTTACATATATTTGATGAGTAAAAAAAAATTAATGGTATGAATTTTATTTGTACCATTGATTGGCCATTGAGTTCACCAATTGACATAACAATATTGTCATATTGGACAAATGTAGCATTAGAGGAAAGGTCAGCGATCGCTTAAGTCATTAGGTTTCATACTCCGGGCACCCTGGATTATATGTGCCATTATATATGTTCTGTTCCATTCAGGTCAAATTCAAGTCATTGTGCTGCTAATGTGCATGTTGGCTGACTAGAAAGTCTCTGCTACACTAAATTTAAAGGAACCTTAATATAATCGGTAACACCTGTGTTTACCCTCCTGTTGCATGTCAAAATGTCTCCTGTGAAAAAGTGTAGTCCATCTTTTAACCTGATATACTAGCAGGCAAGAGACAGTACGCTCTCGGTCTGTCATCACACACGATTGGTCGCACGCACATAGACATCAACACAGCATTCAGTCAGTGCATGGCAACGCACAGAGTGCAAGAGGCCAAGCAGTGCTGCACAATGGACAGCAACTCGTGTATAATTCTTAGGTTTATTGGTGAGACTGGAGTCTCTGTTAACGGTGACAAACAGCCTGACAGCTGTTTCTTTTCTTTTCTTTTTTTTTTTTTATTTTGGCAAATACATTCTTACACATCGTCTCACACAGTAACAGCTGTACTACTGATAAAGTCACACATCATATTTTTAAGACTGTCCATTCTTCAATTATCCAAATGTTGCCCTTCCAAAGTATTTTTTTAAACAATAGGGCATAGTTAACTATATATAGTCGAACATGGGAAGCTCTTCACTCCATGGTTCACCAGAGTTCTATGGTAAGGAATACAAACAACCCCATACACATGCATACACACATGTATATCTACCTATAAACCTACGCACACATATCTACATATATCCACATACATGCATACATAAAACAAGATCAAACAGAAACTTACATACACATCATTTCTTATTGATGTCCATACCTACATACCCATTGTGTCTAGTACATAAATCTGTTGATTATGTCAACATCTCTTCAAACATACTGTCAAGTCCATTTAAAATCTGATCTAACTGGTTTGATGTATTCAGTCCACTTGGTCCAAATCAGGTAAAATTTTTATTTTTGGATCTTGAGGGAAAATGATGATTATTCCATAATATAAATTTCATGTATTATTTCTATCCACTCTTCAATAGTTGGTGGGTCTGATTTTAGCCATCTCCTTGTGACAGCCTTTTTACTTGCTGCCAGAAGTATATGAACAAGTTTCTTGTCGTTAATATTCCATCTATCTAACTGGATATCACCCATGTAAATAGTATCACATATGAGAGGAATACTACTACCAAATGCATTGTTAACATGTTTATGTATCTTTGCCAGTAGGGGAGAAGGACCTGGCAGCTCCAGAATATGTGGAAATGGTTGGCATTGTTTTCCCCACAGAGCCTCCAACAACTGCTGCCATCTCCAAAATGTGCTTTTTGCTGTGGAGTATTAAAGAACCGTACAATATTTTTCCAGCAGAATTCACGCCGAGTGGACAAACTAGTTGAACTCCATTGTATTGCACACACTCTTTGCCAACTCTCCTCTGAGATGTTAAAATTAGCACAGAGACAGCTCTGGTTAAAGTTAATAATGACCTTTTGATTGCTTCAGACAATGGACTTGTCTCTGTACTTGTATTATTAGATCTTAGTGCTGCATTTGACACCATTGACCATAATATTCTTTTACAGAGACTTGAACATCAAATTGGCATTAAAGGAACCGCACTAAGCTGGCTCAAGTCATATTTATCAGATCGTTCGCAGTTTGTACATGTTAACGATGAATCTTCAATAAATACTACAGTTAGTCATGGAGTTCCACAAGGTTCTGTACTTGGACCAATACTATTTACTTTATATATGCTCCCTTTACGCAAAATTATTAGGAATCACTCCATTAACTTTCACTGTTATTCAGATGATACGCAGTTATATCTATCAATCAAGCCCGATGAAATTAATCAATTATCTAAATTACAAACATGTCTTAAGGACATAAAATCCTGGATGAGCAGCAATTTTCTGATGTTAAACTCAGAAAAAAACAAAAATTCTTGTACTTGGCCCCAAAAACCTTTGAGACTCACTGTCTAAAGATATAGTTACTCTAGATGGCATTACCTTGGCCTCTAGCACCACTGTCAGGAATCTTGGAGTTATCTTTGATCAGGATTTGTCATTTAATTCCCACATGAAGCAGATCTCTAGGACTGCCTTCTTTCATTTACGTAATATTACAAAAATTAGACACATCCTATCACAGACAGATGCAGAAAAACTAATCCATGCATTTGTTACTTCTAGGCTGGATTACTGCAACTCTTTATTATCAGGTTGCCCCAATAAATCCATTGAAACGCTCCAATTAATTCAAAATGCGGCAGTACTGACACAAACTAGAAAAAGAGAGAAAAAGAGATCACATCTCTCCTGTACAAGCTTCTCTGCACTGGCTCCCTGTAAAATGTAGAATAGAATTTAAAATCCTCCTCCTCACCTATAAAGCTCTTCATTGCCCCTTCATATCTTAAAGAGCTCATAGTACCCTATTACCCCACTAGAACACTACGTTCTCTGAATGCTGGGCTACTTGTGGTTCCTATAGTCTCTAAAAGTAGAACAGGAGCCAGAGCCTTCAGTTACCAAGCTCCTCTCCTGTGGAACCAGCTTCCAGTTGTGGTTCGGGAGGCAGACACCCTCACCACATTCAAGAGTAGGCTTAAGACATTCCTCTTTGATAAAGCTTATAGTTAGGGCTGGATCAGGTGAGTCCTGAACCATCCCTTAGTTATGCTGCTATAGGCCTAGACTATCGGAGGATTTCCCATGGTGCACTGAGCTCCTCCCTTCCTCTCTCTTTCTGCACTCTTTCATGTCCCATTAATGCAATGTTACTAACTTCACTTCTTCCCCAGAGTTCTTGTGCTTTCTCGTCTCGCAGGTTCTTATCGATCCTGGTGGAGCCTCCTGCCACGGTCCTGCTAGATTGCCATTACCAATACTGTTGTTGCTATGCGTCTGTCCGTCTCTGTCTCTCTCTCTCTCACCCCAACTGGTCGAGACAGACGACCACCCACCTATAGCCAAAGGATCTGTCCTAGGTTTCTGCCTTTAACCGGCAGTTTTTCCTTGCCCTTGTCGCCAAGTGCTTGCTCATGGTGGTACTGTTGGGTCTCTGTAAATAATGTTATAAAGACTTCGGTCTAGACCTGCTCTATTTGAAAAGTGTCCTGAGATAACTTCTGTTATGAATTGGCGCTATACAAATAAAATTGAATTGAGTCAAATTAAAATTACCCTCTTCTTTCTCCCATTTCTTTTCTATATAAAGTGAGTTATCTGATTTACATTGAAGAATACCTTTGTACATTTTGGAGATATTGCTGCAAGTCGTGGATTTAGATGCTGACAAAAATAGTTTTAGGATACCTGGTTCTTCCGTTTTCAAAGCTGTGTTCAAGTTCTGAATGAAATGGTGTCGAACTTGAAGGTACCTACAGAAATCCCTCTTTTTCAGGTCATGTTTTTCCTGTAGGGATCCAAAGTTTTGGAACGCCCCTTTGTGGACAAATGTGTAGTAGTTTTTTTTGTAGTTCCTCATCTATTAAAATTGCTTCTAGTGAGATCCCTTCCGCCAATAGATCTCCTTCCATCTTGCCGAGTATGTCTGAGTACATAAACAAAGTAAGGGCCTTACTTGAGCCGCATAATAATATATTTGTAAACATGGGAGGCCCATTCCACCATCCTTCTTTAATTGCAGAGTTTTATACTTGATTCTAGGTTTCTTCCCTTGCCACAAGTATCTGGATATCAAACTGTCCCACTCTATAAACTGTTTAGGTGGAACATTAATTGGCAGGGTCTGGAAAAGATAAAATAATCTTGGTAAAATGTTTATTCTGATGGATTCTACCCTAGCGCTTAAATTCAAAAATGGAATTACATTCCATCTTGATAAATCTAATTTTATTTTCGCATTTATTGGTCCATAGTTGAGATCATATAATTTTGATGTATCTTTAGGAAGATTGATACCCAGATACCTTATTGATTCAGAGACCCATTTCAATTTGTATCTACTTCTAATGTGTTTTGGTGGATCAGTTAAATACCATTATTTGAGTCTTTTGTATATTAAGTTTATAACCTGAGAGTGATTCATATTTATTGAGGATATTCATGAGTTTGGGAAGCGACTGTGTGGGTTGCACTTAGTAGATTAACAAGTCATCCGCAAATAGAGCCAATTTGCGCTCCCCTGTTGGCATGTCTATTCCTTTAATATCTCCATTTTGTCTGATATGTTGGCTTAAGGGTTCTATAAACAAAGCAAAGAGAAGGGGGGAAGCACAGCATCCTTGTCTTGTTCCACGTTCTAGAATAAAATAATTTGTTAGATCACAATTGATTTTTATCCTTGCAGATGGTCTCTCATATAGTGCTCTGAATGTTTACACAAGAAGGACCATTTGACAGAGTCAAATGACTTCTCTGCATCTAGACTTAGTATGGCAGACCCTGTGTTATGTTGTGTGACGTGTAACAATGTGTAAGGTCCTCCTAATGCTGCCTTGCGTTTGTCTTTGACGGACAAAACCTGTTTGTTCCAAGTGAACGAGTTCTGGTAGGACATTTTCAATTCTCTTGCTCAATAGTGACGTGAACAATTTATAGTAAACATTTAATACGCTGATGGGACGATAGTTACCGCATTCCATTTTGCCTTTTCCGGCTTTCGGTATGACCGAAATGGTCGCATCTCTCCAAGAGGGCGGGATTTATTTCTTCAGTGCGCTAGCAAAATTACTAAGTGAAACTGAAAATAACGGGATCAAATGTATACAATGTAATTAAACACGAACATTGGTTCGGACTTTTAGGTGTGAAAACGCCCTTAGTTGAGTGTTCCTGCCTGTGTGGCTGTGGTTGCAATGAAACCCATCAAATCTTTTCATCATAAAAGAATGCGCTTAATACAAAGGCCATGTTAACTCATTCATTCAGACTGGGCAGGGATACATTATACTTAGGACTGGGATAGACACTGCAATTAGCTGTGCTAATCACATTAGTGGCTCCCGTGGCCAATGGACTGCAGAATTCACACAGTATCCCCCCCCCATTGTCACAAAACGGGCCATACGGCCATGACAAAAGGAGGGAGACGCACACAAAGCCAATTAAAAAATGATTTATTAAGGAAAGAATACTTAAACTAAACTAACAGTAGTATGTGATATCAGTAAGATCAGTGGTGTAAGTGAGTGCATGAGTGGAGAAGTGTATGAGTGTTGTGTTGTAATAAGATGCAGACCCAAAAACCAGATAGCTGTCTCAGGGAGGAGAGAGAGAGCACTGAGCTCCCAGAGGGTTTTTAAAGGCGCAAGGCACACAGGCCTCAGGTGTGTCAGATTTGCTGACGACCCTCTGCCAGCCCACTCAAAGTACCTGCACAGAAAAACAAGACAGGCCACACAACCAGGAACAGGAAGACAAGGTGGAGGGAGTGGGTCGTCACCCCCCCCACAGGATCTTCGTCAACAACAAAAACACAAAAATGTTCTCAAGTAAATAACAACTTACGTCCTGTAAACTTCCGGTCCCAAAGCCATTCCCCCAGCAACCACTCTACCTGTAGGGAGCAAATTTAAGGGAATGCAGAAGAGGAATCATAGGAGATATTTAAAAAAAAAAAAAAAAAAAAAAACACAACACTCTAAAACTGGAGCCCGAGACAGTGCATCTGCAACTACATTATCACGGCCTTTAATGTGTCGAATGTCTAGATCATGAGACTGCAGGAACAGTGACCACCTAATCAGTCTCTGGTTAGGGCATCGCAGGGTGTGCACCACCACTGGTGTCCCCCCAGACCCCACATAGACTGCAAAATGCTGAAGGGCCCAGATCAATGCAATGATACCGATTTAATTTATTAGAAAAGAAACTTACTGCCCTGTCCCCTCCCTGCTCCTACATGGCTCGCATCTACCTGTAAGACAAAGGGATGGTCAAAACAGGGTGCAGCCAGCACTGGTGCTGAACACAAAAGAGACTTTGCATTATCAAAAGCTTCCTGGCACTTGGTTGAACACACAAACTGAGCCCTGGCCTTCAGCAAGTCAGTAAGTGGTGCCACCACTGTAGAAAATTCTTACAGAAACAGCGGTAATACCCCACCATCCCAAAAAATCTCATGAGCTCCTTTTTAGTGACAGGTTGTGGAAACTGCTCAACTGCCAACACTTTTGCATGCACCAGAGCCACACACCCCCTGTCCTACCACCCGTCCCAGATAAGTCACAGTTGCACAAGCAAACTCACTTTGCAAGATTTATTGTGAGCTTTGCCTCTGCCAAGCGGTCAAACAGCGCTCTGACCTGCTGCATGTGAGAAAACCATAAAATCACTGTAGACCACTAAATCATCTAAATAAACCGAGCAACCCACCAGTCCAGCTACAACACGATTCATTAGATGCTGAAAAGTTGCAGGTGCATTCCTTAAACCAAATGGCATCACTTTATACGAATACAACCCAGATGGAGTTATAAATGATGCTACTTCCGGTGCTCTTCTGGACAAGGGTACTTGCCAGTATCCCTTGAGAAGATCAAATTTGCTGACATATTTAGCAGCTCCAACCTGGTCTACGCAGTCCTCCATACGAGGCAATGGAAAAGAATCAGACTTTGTGACCTTGGTGACCTTTCAAAAATCTGAACAAAATCTAGGTGTGTTGTCACTTATAGGCACCAATAAACATGGAGAAGCCCAGCTTGATGAGGATGGCACTGCAATGTCATTTTCAACCATATATCCTACCTCAGCATCTAAATATTTACATTTCTCAAGAGAAACTCTATAAAAATGCTGATGGATAGGCTGTGCATCACCCACATCAATATTGTGCTCCACCCAGTTAGTGTGGGAAGGCACATCACCAAACAAACATGGATACCTGAAAATTAGCCTTTTCAATTCTATAGCCTGTGCTCCCGGCAAATGACCAAGCAATCCTTTTAACTTTGAGAGTCTCTGAATTTTCCAGCCAGCCAGACAATAGCCCCTCATCAGGCTCAAGAACAGCATCATCCACACTCACCTGAAACCACCCCTGCTGAAACAGCCACCAAGACAGGACTCACAGCTGCTGACTCACTGCCCTGAAAGACCAGTAACTTTGCTTGGAAAGGTGAACTAACTAGTGGACAAAGCTCTATCACCAGGATTAACTCACGTAACTCTGCCCTGCGGTCATAACTTTTTCCATCCTAGCCTGAGACAGAGCATAATATAGGTTTAACCCCCGCACATATAGACTATCCTAAACCCATTGACATAGCAAAGATTAGTGGTCTATCTACTTTAACATCCTTCAACTCCTGTTATTAATTTCCCAGCCTGTTAAACTGTTCCATGTGTAAATACTCCAAACCACCTTGACTTTGAGCGTGATAAGTGGATGACTGGTTATGTCTGATTCCTAGCAGTTTAAACACTTGGGCCATAAGGTGTGACGAAAAGTTAGATCCTAGCTGGAATCGGCTGCAGCAGAGCGGGTTCAATGACCTGATTGGGCTTACCAATTAGCTGACAATTACAACAGTTTTTAATATGCACAGAAACATCCTTCTTTAGTCTTGGCAAAAAACAAAATGCCGCAAAATCCTGTCATATGTTTTCCAGATTCTAAGTGCCCTGACCCATCATGAGCAAGCCCTAACACATGACTAATATTTGCATGGAACTACAACCTAAAAAATAGGATCCCAACAAAAACCTCACCATGGGGCACCCACTTCCTCACCAAAACGCCATGCTGAAGCAAACAGCCACTGGCAACATTCTCCACTTCATCAGCTGACAGCAAGTGCAGCAGGTTTTACACGACCACTTCCAGCATACTGCTTCTTAGCCCTGAGCATCGGGCATTCTGCCTTCCAGTGGCCTGACTCATGGCAGTAATTGCGCACTGTCCCCCTTTTCAGGTGCTCCATGGGACCCTTTAACTGAAAAGACCCCAAATCGACCAGGCAACCTACCACCACCATCCTTTCCTACCACAGGCTCCTGCAAACGCTCACTTGGTAGATGTTTGTGAATGAGTACGTACTAATCAGCCAATGCTGCAGCCTCAGCAACAGTTGTAACCTTACGTTCATTAAAATAAGTGGCAACCTGACTGGGCAGAGAGTTTTTAAACTGCTCTAAGAGGACCAAGTTACACAAACTATCAAAGTTATCCACCTCAGAAGCCATACACCAACAGTTGAAGTGATTAGTGAGCTCCCTTGAAACTCCATATGAGACTGACTAACCCTTTTTTCCCCCTCCCCAACATCATAAATTGCTGACGATATGCTTCTGGAATTAACTCATACGCCTTTAGTACAGCAGCCTTGACTGATTGAAAAGTGAGATTACTGTTACTTAACGACACATCCTGTGCTTTTCCTGGCAACACACACTGCAATAACAAAATCTGCTCAGAGTCTGACCAAGTTCTTGCTTCTGCAATCCGCTCAAACAGAGAAAAACACATCTGGATCCTGATCATTAAATTTAGGCAAGAGACGCAAATTACTAACAATATCTGGAGACCCTGACCGCAAACATGAACTTCCTTCCTGTCGCAACATATCCCCAGAAAGCTTACCATCTCTGACTAGTTCCAACTTCTGCTGCTCTGTCTCCTGTTTTAAACGCTCAATCGCCACTTGCTTTTCAGCCTCTAACTTATGCTTTTCTATTTCAATCTTTTGCTGTTCTAGTTCCAACCCCGATTTCTCTTTATCATGAGAAAACTGCAATAAAAGCAATTCTTTTCTCTGCTCAAAAGTTAAGTTGCCTGAAAAAAAGTGACTGTGCAGCTAGTGATGGAGCAGGCCCCTCTTGCTTAGCCACCAGCACCCCTTTCTCGACCAACTGTAACTTTACCATCTGCTTTACATTGTCTTTACGTCGTCTATCACCAATTTCACTCCGATCAAGGTCATATTGTTCAGCATCTTCAGAAGCTGATCCTTAGTACGATCTAAAAAACCCTCAGTCGGCGCAGCAACGAAATCTACTATCCCAGCCATACTAAAGCTGGACCCCAACAGAAGAAACACAAGAACCAACAGAAATCATTGCATAAGTCAACTAGTGAACAAACGAGACACTAATGGTGTCCCCAGAACTAATGTGGAAGTCCCCCTCTATCTAAACCGCCCAACCAAAAACTGAACCCTAGTCTTCATGAAGATTAGCGGTGGGCTATTTAATTCACCTGATAGCTATAGATGTGTCCCCGAGACAACTGCTCTGACTGCACACCACACAGAAAATAACAAACAAAAAAAATTTAATCAACAAGCCCAAATGGACTATGTTGCCAATACCTAAACAGGGAAACTCCACAGAAGTCAAAACATGCCACACTAGAGGCTCAAACAATCACTTCTGCTAGCTCCTAAGTGCCTACTCATGGCAACACCTGCTAACTGCAGGACCAAACTCCCCTCCCGACTGAAACATCAAATCAACCAAATGTTATCCAAAAAAAAAAAAAAAAAAATGCATCTCCCCAAACAAAGAATGTGCCAATTTTAACATATGCCTCAGCCAAAACCAATGCACTTGCAAACAAATAACCCTACATCAACAAGGGTACCAAATAATGGCCAAACATAAAACAAATTTGAACCGGCAAGCCCCCACTTGTCACAAACCGGGCCATATGGCCATGACAAAAGGAGGGAGACTCACAACAAAGCCAATAAACAAATTATTTATAAAGGAAAGAATACTTAAGCTAAACTAACAGCAGTACGTGAAATCAGTAGGATCAGTGGTGTAAGTGAGTGCATGAGTGGAGAAGTGTATGAGTGCTGTGTTGTAATAAGATGCAGCAACACAATCAAACCATCAAACCCAAAAACCAGATAGCTGTCTCAGGGAGGAGAGAGAGAGCGCACTGAGCTCCAAGAGGGTTTTTAAAGGCGCATGGCACACAGGCCTCAGGTGTGTCGGATTTGCTGACGACCCTCTGCCACGCCCACTCAAAGTACCTGCACAGAAAAATAAGACAGGCCACACAACCAGGAACAGGAAGACAAGGTGGAGTGGGTCGTCACACCATCCATTCATCTAGCCACATTAAGCTGAAAATGTTTGTTAAAACTACAGTGAATAGATCAGAGGGCTGCTTATTATTATTATTATTATTAATAAGGAGAAACATTAAACACAAGAATAAACATCTTTGAACATGCAATGCAGGAGTACAGCTCTTTGCATGACTTAAGCTTTAAGAACTGCAAGAGGACGGATTATCAGTGATTATGTCTTGTTTAAGTTTTCCATTTGAGTTCTTTATTTTCCCTGTGACATGACGATGATGTGTTTCTGTCTCACACCCAATAATCACTTCAAACCGCTTCAAGCACATTTCTCTCACCAACTTTCCCACGTTTTATTTCTCCCTCTTCATTTCCCTGTCGCCCGTCTCCCTTTCTCTCTCATGAGGTCATGATCATGAGTTACAAGACACGTATTTCTTACTTCAACACTTGGCACATCTTATCTCTCCCTCCCCACAGCATCTGTCTCTGGTATACATTCTTCTCTCCACACAGGGAGTGGGGGGGGGGCAAGAGACAGGGATATTATCACTTCTCACCCAGGCCAGTAGTGTGACGGGGAGCATGTCGATCACACTTCCACTCCCCTCGGCCTTTCCCTGTGCACAGACATTGGAGAGGGTGGCCTTCTGCACCTGTTTTGGTCCAGGTATCTCCAACACGGTAGGAGGACAAAGTATCCTTGTCGTTACAGCGATCTGGGAGAGAAGTGAATGAGAGGAATTCATTAGGAATAGATGGAAACTGTGAAACACACTTTAATGTGCAGCATGCATGTGTAAAAGTTTGCAGTGATTGGGCGGGGAATGATCCCTCCTGGCCACCAGCTGTGTCTATGTTTGTAATTTGTTACTTTGTTGATAACTTGATGAACTCACATATGACAACAATTTGTCGAACCCTGAAGCCTTGCATGTGACAACAAGCCAACAGGGAATAACATTCATTTTCATCCGTTACATCAGCCAGCATCATTAAGGATGTAAGTAATGGTTCTAATTAGAAACACGACTGGTAAACATTTCCTCCATAGCCTGTTAAAGTCATCCAACAAATCACAAGCTACTCTTTAATTTCTGCCAGTAAACCTAGATATGTGTGGCATTCGATGAGGATTAAGCTGATATGTGTATTGACACGTGTGAAAACAGAAGCATTTCAGCAGCAATTATTTTAATTTCCTGCTTGTGTAGCCCTCAATGATCCCCAGTGTTCCCTGACTTGTTTTTACCAGGTAGAGTTAATTTGTGTAGACGGACCTTAGAGGGCTTTACAATCCATACAGCGTACAAAACCGTCTGTCCTTAGACCCTTGATTCCTACAACTCCCCAAAAACTTTCACTTGACTTGGGTCAAGACATTTCTAATTTAGTCAGACCGATAGCTTAAAAACATAAGTGTATTTCTCTGTAAACTGGGTTATTCAAGGTGTTGCTGCTCTGTCCTATACAGATTAAGTACAGTGACACGGATGAGACGAATGGGGAAAATGGAAATCTATAAAAAATAGTTTCTTACTTCTGGAGGTGCATGTGATACGTCCACTTCCCTCTCCCAGACACGTGCAGTCCACTATCATCCATCCCTGGAACGGCTTCTCCCATGTCTCCCCAACACCGTAGGACGTTCCCGTCGGGTTTTCATAGCAACGCTCATCTGCAGGAAACAAACACATGAACTTACTAATCAAACTATGTGTACAAAAGACTATATATGTTTATTCATTAACTGATAATGAATCATACATAATAATGAGATCCATCATCCAAAAATGTTCTGGCAAACTTGCATGTAATTCATCCAGTTCAGACCAGGTAAATAAAGTAATCTGTTAGTCAGTTGCTGTCTGAATGACTCACCGACAGGTTTGCAAGTCCACTGTCCATTGCCGTTACCCAGACAGACACAGTCCAACATGTAGCCTTCTGTTTCATGGGGTTTCCTCCAGGTGTCTCCTATCTTATATGAAGCCCCATCCACATGACAGCGATCTGGGCAGACACAAGAAAAACGACTTAATTTCAGAGAGAGACATTTATACGCATGTGTATGTTTTCATAGAGAGAAAGCAAAGGGAAAGACACAAAGAAACACACACTAACATTTCTCCCATTATCTAACCACCGAGCTAACTGCTAAAGCTGCACAGCACCAGTTGGTAATTAGCTGTGGAGAATATGGAGATTAACCAGTTTACTGGCATCAGTCTGGGAAACCAAGATATACACAGAAACACATGAGCGTGGATGTGTGGTTTGGGGTTGGAACAGTTAATGGCAACAGGGCAGCTCCTTGCAGAATTTGTAGAAATACACACAAAAACACAAACTTACTGGCAATGGTGCAGCTGATCTTGCCAGTCCCAGATCCAATACAGGTACAATCCCAGATCATCCGGTCCTTTGGTCTCTCATAGGTTTCTCCCACAGCGTAGTACTGCTGGTTGATCCTATCAAGGCACCTTTCCACTGGTACAAGGAGAAAACCATGGAAAAGATGTGTATTGTATGTGTTTTATTAAAAGAAGAGTGAAATGAAGATGGGCCGGTGTGGGAAATGATGCAAAGATGGAAGATGAATACACAAAAACTTATCTTCAGGTTTGCTTTTGCACTTGATGCCAGCAACTCCATGGCAGGTACAGACCAGAATGCTGTTCAAATACGTCCGTTCCCACTGGTCATTAATGCCATAGAACTGGCCATTCTCTAAACTAGGGATGTGCATTTCAGGCAAAAGTACTATTCGATAATCGTGGGGTACTAATCGATTAATATTCGAATATTAATCTAATAATACCCCCCCCCGCTCAGAAAGAGATCCGCCGCGATTTTTCAGAACTCTGTCTTTTTATTTTGACAGTGATGCAATTCACAGCACAACATTATAGAACTGAACACATAGTGCGGTGACAACTGAACATACCTGAGAGACAGCATTGCTGACGTGAACATTTTTAACATGCCCGCCCGTCTTCATAATCCGAGCAATAGTTTACGACTGCAGCCTATTACATGTTTTTATTTAGAAAGATGAGCATGTCCACATGCTCGGGATGAAGACGGGAACGAAGTCTATTTACAATAAGTCCCGCCGTGGAAAACACCCTCTCCGATGGCACAGATGTGGCGGGCACACACAAGTATGCACTCGTTCATTTTGCCAGTTGAGGATATTTGTTTTCGTTTGTTTTCCACCAGTCCATGGGATCGATCTGCGGGGGTGGACATTTGTCCTGGCAGTAATGGTTCAGTTCAGTCTCGGTGTCTGTTGTTTCTTTGCAATAATCCTCGCCAAACAGGGCAGCAATGGAGTCAGACGCAGCATCACTTCGTGGTTTCTTGGCCCTCAGCTCAGTCTCCTCGGATTCAACTGCGACCGCCTCCACGCCCTCTGGCTCTGGCCTGCTCGAGAGGAGATCGCTCACCTTGGCCTGCACAGCAACTTTAACATCATCAGATGTGAACCTGAGGTGCTTGTGCCTCGGGTCCAAGAAGGAGGCGATGTACGCCACTTTGCCGGCGCTGCTGACATCTGCCGGTGCGAGTCGCCGCTCAAGTGAAGCAGACACGGAGCGCTTGAACTGAGACACTTTGGGAGATTCTCCCTCATTTTCTTTGAGGTGCTTTGATATAAGAGTTGCTGTAACCGGGTAAACCATGGAGATGGAGACTCCAGACTCTCCGCACAACGCAGTAGTAGCGTGTTTCAGTGAGTGTAACACAGGCATGAGCTCCAGCTGTCATCTGTCAACTTGAGGGTCCGTGCATCTGACAGTTCGGTGAAGGCTCTGTCCGACAAGACAGCAGATATTGTCCATCTTTGTTCAAGAAGTCGCTGGAACATATCGTGAATAGAATTCCACCTTGTACGGCAGTACTGGACTAACTTGTGCTCAGGTAAGTGCTGAAGTTGTTGTTTTTGTTTCAGCGCTTGTGTTGCTGTTGTACTGTGATGTAAATGTGAAACCAAACGACTGGCAGATGCAACCACATGGTTTATGTATTGAAGTTTGAATCCATCGTTTATGGCAAGTTGCAGTGAATGTGCGAAACAAGGCTGAGAGTCCCACTCTGCGTGCTCGGTGTTGGCTCGCACCATGTTGCTTGCGTTGTCATGGACACAGGCTATGACTTTACCGTTGATCCCCCAGTGGTCGGTAGCGGTGGAGAGCACAATGGCGATGTTTTCAGCCGTATGCCGCTCTGGCATTGCTCTAGTCTGCAGAACAGCACTCTGTATTTTCCAGTTTTGTATGTAATGACAAGTGATTGTAACATATGATTCCGCTGTCAGCGCAGTCCATGAATCAGTGGTCAAAGACAGTTTTTCAATATTCGTTAACAGAGTGCGCAGCTCACTTGTTTTATCATCAAAACGTTTCTCAAGTCTTGTTGTAATTGTTTTTCTTGATGGGACTGAGAACTCTGGCTCAACAAATTCCATCAAACTCCGAAAACCTTCACCTTCAACGAAGCTGATGGGGAGCATGTCTTTTACAATCATCTTTGAGATGATTGTAAAACGTCTGTCATCACACGTAACGTTACGTCTCGTAGTGGCCAAGCCGGCAATTTACTGTTGCTGTGACGACGGCCCGCCGCTTTCACCTTGTACCTCTGTGTCACTTGTTTTTTTTTAAATAGCTCCACATGGAACTTTTTGACGGTTGCTTCAGTGATCTCTCCATCATATCTTCTTCTCTGTTTGTTTCCTTCTACAGCCTGGCATCTAGCCCGCCACACTGTGTATCATCAAATGCTACGCTGCCCCCGTGCGGACGGCGCCAGTAATGCAACCTATTCTTTTTCCAGATACGATGAACTATTGGATTTTTTATGATTTAATGAAAAAAAAATAGACTTTGGTACAAGCTAGAATCAGACTGTAGGAGGTCAAATAAATAGCACCCCCCTCCCTTTGCTCCTACACCAAAACACATAAAGTTAAGGGAAAATGTGAGAGAGAGAGAAAAAAACACACTCCACCCTCGCACACCCACAAACATTGTACCTGCTTACTATGTGCTTTTTCAAAGCGGAAAGACAAACGCAGCCACTGGAAAATAGTCCAGCCCTGACCATAACTACAAATCACACAGACAAGTCTCATTGATTAAAAGACAAAAGGTTTTTTATACCAAAATAAGCAAACCCTAAATTGGAATAAACATTCTATTATGGGACCAGGCTTCACCGATGTCTGTGAAACTAACCCTGGATGTGTTAACTTTACTTCAAAGGCCCCCAAGGCTGAGTAATAAATCAGTTGCACAGAGGAGAGAATAATATTCTCTCTCTCTCTCTCTCTCTCTCTCTCTCTCTCTCTCTCTCTGAAGTTGAGGAGATCAGCAGAAATGTTGGAGTTGAGGTTATTCCAGTGACTCAAAGATTAGAGATTAACAAGTGTTGTCAACCCAATACACAAGACATTATCTAAACTATGGGGTTCCTAATTGATTTAATTGCATGGACGCTGGAGCAGATACACCCAAGAGACACAGGGACACGATTTGGAAAGATATGTCCTAAATATGACATACTGCTTTCTAACTCAACAACTAACAATGTCAAATGATGGAAATTAACTGTCATTTCATGCCTCAAACTCTCTTAAATCACCGTTGACAGTGACTTTTAGTGGACACCCGGATAGGGAGCTACTTTTAACTCAATGAAATCACCCTTCTATTATAAGTTATTATAACTTACCCTGAGCGCCTTCATGCTGCTGCCCTTGTCGCCGACTCCTGTGCTTCCCTCTGGGCAGGCAGTTCACCACGCTCCCGATACAGAGCGCAACAAGCACCCTGGCTATGGTGCCACCGGACATAGTTTTCAAAACGAGCACCTCGATTGTTGCAGAATGTGGTTACAGGTGCTCCCTGTGCAAAGTTTGATTTCACCAGGGACGGAGAGACGTCGTTTCCAGACAGTGCAGTTCTTATGTTGTGCCGCGCTCCAACCTCCCCTCTCCAGTCTGCGACCCCAGTGTGCAGGTTACCAGTCCGAGACTACCCACGTAGCACGTAGATAAGTGAGCTGGACAAACTTTTTAAAGGAACAAAGATGATTACGCAAATTTCATGACATAAACTCTTTTTTTCGAACTTTTTTCTTTTTTTTTTTTTCAAACTATGAGGTACAACAGCTGGTTAAATGTATTGGTTGTTTGTCTCCATGCAACCTGAAACACTGAAGTAAACAAGCTTTAAAATATCTTTGGAATCGTGATGCCAGAGCAGTGACCCTTTAGCAGATTTCAATTAGACCTAACCCCACCCGGTTGAAATGATGAAGTAGGGGCCTGGTCCCACAGGGGCGCAGCCTTTCTCTCCTCTACTTTTTTTTAATGAAATGTCAACTAGGGAGGAAAAGAAACTCCATCCTTGCCACAGGAGGTTGAAGCTATGCAGTGTATTGGCTTATAGGTTTTACACAGTCCTGGTGGTGATCTGCAGGAATTAGGTCAGTGTCTGGAAAGACTCCAGTAGTCTAAAGTTTCAATGTCTGGAAAGTGTTTATATGTCCAGGAGTTTTATTGAAATGATTCCTCTGTGATCTAAGCTAACTTATGCTTATGCTTCAATGTCATATAAAGCCAGATTCATCCCTCCCTGAATGCATTGTTTCATACTTCTTAGCATCTCTTACTGGGAAAAGTAAAACATTTTGCTACTGGAATATTAAGTTTGAGTTTCCCTTTTTGGTTGCATTTTCTGTTGTGCATAGTTACCACTTTGTCAATGGAAACCTACAGTAATGTTTCGATTTGCCTAATCACTCATTTGTTTCCCCTCTCCATGAGTCTAAACTTCCTGCCATGTCTTTAGTCACCCCTAGACAGTTTTGAGGTCGAAACACTGCATAGTGAGTCCCTCAATCGCTTTTCAATAATAGAAACTGTTGTTTTGGGAGTCTCTTGAGTCTTGGAATTAACGGACCCCTTAGTGAAGTTTAAAATAAATTTCCCCCGCATTTATGATTCAGACACTTCGGTCTTTGAATTCATTTTTTTAATGACGTGAAATATTATTCACATTTCATGGTTTTGCATTCAGTTTCAACAAAATCCTTTCACTGAATGGTCATGTGAGACTGGGTCCGTAATTTCATTATGCTGTAAACCTCGTACTTTATCTTTAACAGTGGATAATTACTGCTAACAAGCTTTATTAGTCCTGCAGATAAACAAGATTCTGTTCAAATCTATCTGTAAACTATTTTCATGTCATCAAAATTAATGGGAAAGGGAAAGAAAAAGCTCTAGCAGCTGAACACCTTATGATGATTTATATTTTGTCAATCAAAAGATGGTAGTATTAAAGATAACAAGATACTATGAGCAGCAGGAGGTTGGCATTTGAATCTATGAGACATTATATAGATAACTGAGATTTGAGAAACCCAAACCATAGATTCCTTTGAGGAAAAAGATTAATACACAGATTTTCGTTGACATTTGGTACTTTCAGAGTGATCCATTCCTGAGAAAAATTAAAAAACGTCACACTGGGTGTCATTATTTCCTCTGCAATGTCATGAGCTCAACTGTTACAGTGGTAAAATATATGAATTATTAGTCAGCTGCTAACTCTCATCAATCAAGCCATGGTGAAAAGAGAGGTCAGGCACTTTAACTAAGGCCATGTGGGTTATCTAATGTGTGTCAGGAAATCCACGGAGACACTTTTTCAAGGTGTTAGAGAGAGATTTTACGTTGGCATCATTTGGCTCTACCGTGACATTTGTCTTAACACTGGCGTTGATTGAGCATTTGCTCCACACCAGTAGACAATGATCCATTACGGAGGAATTTATTTTGATTCGCCATTGTAAGGATCCATCTGTCACACTTTGTCCAATGCATGGGGAATATGTCTGGTATTTTTTTTGTTCTTTGTGAGATATATAAGTGTGATAAAACTCAAAGACTCAACAACTTGAGTCATTTAAAGGGATGCACATGCAGGTTTCCTGATTGAAGCAGGCATTCACCTTTTGTGAGGTTAACATGTTTCACAAACAGTAAGAGAGGTTCAGCATGTGTTTTCACTTACAGACCTGGTATGGTATTAATGCTTGTCTATCAGTCTGCATACAATGAATCTTCCTATTGTAGTTATCCTCATTTTGAGGTCTTTCTTTCTGCCTTTCTTTCTCCCCCTTAGCCCTAAGAATACACTCATCCAGATATGGAGATGTTTACTGGATGGCGACGTCATGTAAAGGTGTAGAGGTGAAAAGGTCATCTGATATACTGCTGACAGCAATTTTTCAACCTGAGTGCGTTCCTCATTACCCATGGAGGAACTGACAATATTAGGTTTGTGTTGAACTTGAACTTAAAGCTTGTGACAACAGAAATTGCAAAGTTTGTACCGCAGTGAGACAATCAAATTCAGGCCACAAAGCAGAGGAGAGGAAAACAACGTTGCATCATGTTAATGATGTAATCCTAGTCATATCAATGTTATGTAGAAAGATGTTACATTAAAATGCAGTTATTCTTCATCTTTTTTGCCCCCTCACAAGACAGTAATCACTTCCCTGTGGTCACCATCTTTAAACCACTTCTGCTACTATGATGCTGGGATGAATGATGATGAAGCCAGAAATCCCAATTTAAAGCCATTATCTGATGGTTGTGCAAGTTAACTGCCTCCTGTGGCTTTGTTTGTAAATAAACAAACATTCTTATGGTTATAAAGACTGGTTTTAAGTGGTAATTTGCCATTAAAAGCAAATGACACCGGATGATCACAATGAAAATTGCGTCAATCTTTTCCAGTGCTTGGTTACATTGTTTACATGGACAATAATATCCCGTGCTAGGTCACAGCTGCAAAGTCTCTGCAGCTGCTGAGCATTTTTAAGCCAACTTTTTCTTTCTAAGCTCCTCTCCAACCCTTCTCAAAATGTTACTCTGAAAATCTTTTGGTGCTGTCTGGTCTTACCCCCTGTCTTTCTTTCTTTCTTCTCTCTTCCCTCTTTCTCACTGTGGTTTAACATCAGGAAGTGTCTTGTAATTGCTTTAAATAATTGTCCATTCCCCACATGTTATTGCAACATCTCAGAGGAGTCTCTGCTGGCTTGCTCTTCTAGTCTTTCCAGCCCTTCTTTCATATATTATTCACTTTTAAAATGTCTCACATTCCACCATATGTGTGTCTTCATGTTTAATGAACTCCTCTCTTCTCACCCTTTTATCTTTGTGCCCATTCCTTTCACTGTAAGCTTATTCACTAGTATGGTGTATGCTGTAGGGAACAAAGTGGAAAGTTTAAAGTTTCTGCAAAAAAGTTCCATTGTTTTGTAAAACGCATACAGAGTCAGTGCCATACACATAACCACAGCTGGTTTGTAGCTATATCCTTTCCTTTTCAGGGTATTAAGTCAACACCTGGGCTGGTTTCATGATGGAGATTGTATGGAAATCTATAAAATAGCTGATGATGCATTTCACTCAAAACCACAAATGTCATCAAACCTCATGGTGGCACTAGAGGAAAAATCGAGAGATCACCGAAGTCAGGATGCGTCATCCAGTGGTCATTAAGGTCTGTACAGACGTTGGTGTCATCATTCCTATAGAGATATTTCAGTCTGGACAACTTTTGTTTTGTTTCTGTTGCTTGATAAATAGAGTTGCTTGATAAATCCACTCATAAACTGTTCTGTTTTTCCCCTTATTTATTACATCCACTGCAGTTCTAAGGCAACTTCCAGGTAGTAAAAGTGGAAATATCAGAATTTATGAGATGATGCAGACCCCCAGAGTGCATGATCATTTTTGTTTCTGTAAGGCAAGGGATACGAGGAGGCGTGGGTTAAAGTTTCAGGAGGCCCCACGTCTACCTTGAAACTTCCTATGTTTAGTCGCGTAATCACCTTTTTTCTTTCATTACGGTTGTGTTTTTGAGTTTCCATCACTAATTTACAATATGAATTTCTTACACATGTCTTATGAGAACTTGAATTATACAAAAGGAACATTTCTAACCAGCATATCTTCTGTTTCCCTCCCCCCTTCTGTCCTATCTTCTTCCTCCTCCTCAAACCTCCCCTTCTCCAGGGATGAGGTCACCATGTCAGGAAAGATGGCGTGATTATGAGTCCACAATTTTCTTAGCTGGGTGAGTACTGGATATCTTCAGAAACATCTTAGTGCAGACTCTAAGCTCTTCTGTGAGTGTTGGCCTGTATCCAAATTAAGGGAAGAAATACCGACTCAGAGCTTACAAGGAAGCCTTTGAGTTTACAATATTGGCTAAAACTAGCATTCATGGTAACAGATGAATCAGTGTGACACTGTAGAGCAGACTAGGTAGACCAGGCAGGATCTGGACCTTTGGATTTGGTTTTGGTGACTGTGTACCAAAACTTTGGCAGAGACTAAAATACAGGGGGCTGGAACTTTTTAAGACATGGGTGGTCAAGTACCTGGGCGGTGGTTTGAGAATGGCTAGGCCTGGGGCTCAAGCTACTTAATTATTGTAATTTTAGATTCTCTTTACATATGTCAAAGTACTTGAAAGGTGTTATTTTATGATTGTGTTATCTTTTGACTGTAAAATAAACTTAACTCTGTTTTAAACACCATTTTGAAAACTGTGCACTATCTAATGCAAATGGAGAAATTCACAGGCTGTTTCAAGTCTGCCTAATAGTCTAAAGGGAATTTCAAAATTGAGAATAAAGATGGCAAATCCTGATTGCGACTAAATAGATTGTAATAGTATTTTTGGGACAGATTGCACACCCCTACAATGATGCATGTTTGGTCTAAAATCATTATCAAAAGGTGTATGATAAAATCAATATGAATGCAGTTCAAACTAATATTCCTTAGGGTTATCTATGGTCTGAATGTATTTGGCCTCAACTAAACCTTGTTTTAAGAAACTCCAGTCAATCTACATTTATCTCTTTAAAACCAAACAATACTTGTCATTTAATACAACACTGCTTAAATGACTCTGGAAGAGGACTTTTAAAATTTAACTGGCTGTTTGGACATTGCAGCCAACCGCAGAAGAAGCTTCAACAATTTCCTTCTGGTGAAAAAGATGTAGTATGCTAGGACTCCAACACCAGATTTGGTGCCATTTTTAGCCGAATTTGAGAAGTTTTTTTAATGCAAAATGGAAACCTCACCTCTGATTTTGAAGAGGGACTGATATACTTAGTAATTATGATAATGTTTGTCGATATTGTTGTTGCGGTGGAGAGAAAACAGTGAATCTAATAATGTAAATGGTGTAGTTTGCCCTGTACCCTGGATGTGCCCCCAGCTGGAGACGCTACCATCACAAGAACACATGGCAGACAGTAGATTAGCCTATCCAGAGGACTGCCACAGGTGGAGGAGAAGGAGCTCCAGACTATTACTGTTCTTTAAACGCCACCATTAACATCTCAAGTGCCATGTTTGTTTAGACAATTCCTGTGAAGTCTTTAATGTCAATGTCAAAGACCCCCTGCTGTTTTGACTGCTGGACTGAGTTTAACAAGGCAACCCACTCTGACAGTGGCTACAGGCCATGAATTTCCTCCTTAAATTTTGACAGGGTTGTTGTAATGTAATGACAGGGTGTCGGCCCAAAGATGGGTGCCAGAACTGAAGACATTCTGCAGAAATTTGAACTAAAACCTATTATCCCATCACTTCCTGTGCACTTTTTAACTTCATCATAAACATGGTTACAATTGTAGGCCGTCTACATGTGCCAACTCTAAACATCTGTACACAGCACAATCACTTGATCTCAGAGCAGAGTGAAGTTCTTATGAGATAAACTAAATCCAGTGCTCAATTTATCTCAAATTTCAAAGACTACTTTATCTCAGATATGTCAAGTAGATGTGTACCGTCTACATTTTACAGCCTGCTGTCTAACCGACTTTTCCATCTTAAATCTGTCTATTTTGAAGTTTACCAAAGACTACATTGATGTAGATAGAGTTTTTTTTTTTTTTTTTGGTGTTCAAATTAGAGATACCTTCTCACTTGTAGATAATGTTTTACAGTCTCACTACAACTGACTGTGCTTAGATCTTGCACATGCTAAATAGAAGCAATGCCTGAGATAAACTCACTGTTCCTCTACAATTTTGTTCAAATGGCATTAGCCAGCTTGGATCCCCCCTTTGAAGATATTCACAGCTGTACCAAAGACTTACAGTAGTTGTGACCACTCAGCTGTGTTTGTATAAATCAAAATAAACACAAAGTTTCTGCATTTAAGAACCACTGTAACCACACTAAAAACTGAATACTTTTGGATTATTAGAGCTTACATTTTTAGAGGATTTAGAGGATTTTTAGAGATTTAAAGATAGATATTTACATGTATATATCTCTGCATCATTGCTCTTCCCTTGAAACGTGGCCTTCAAGCTACTTACATTCACATGTGTAAGCCACCTCCAGGTACTTGTAAGTGCCAGCACAGGGGTCTCCAAACACTGAGTTGCTTGCTTTAACAATACAGCTGTTTTCCCCATTACAGCTGTGAAGGCAGAGTAACTAAGAGTGAATACAGGCATGGAGCATATAAAATCTGTGTTTTTTTCAACACAGGCGAAAGTGGATGGCATCACAAATTTGCAGCTACTACTGTACTGCAGTTAGTCTGAGGTACAAGTTGACAAAGAGTGGCTGACTGTACCTTTCAGAAACGTGGCTGGTTGAATAATAAATTTGTACTACTTGTTTTGTAGCCTGGTTCAATTTATCTTGCTTTATTTTTTACTAATGTTCGCCTCTCATCTGTTCCCTGTGACTCTTGAGAAGGCTACATCCAAAAAAAAGTGGAGATGTGTGACATCCTCAAAGAGAATCTCATCATTTTTATGAAAGTGATAAAAGATGTATTTCTCAAAACTGGTAAGATTAATCCTCTTGTACTCCCCTCAACTATGAGCTACCTAATACATTCAGCCCCAAAGAGTCTCCCTGACACCTCGCATCAAATGTCCCGTTTCCACTGGCCTGGTAGGCTATAGCACACTTGGGTGGGGATCACTGCATCCTGGGAACCTATGTCTCTACAGCATTGCACTAAACTGAACATATGTGGTCACACAGCTACCTGAGAAAAAAGCCCAATTTACAAAGGGTCTACCTTCTCTTGAGCAGAGCCAAAGTGTCTGTCAGAGAGCAGTCTGTTGTAGAAGTTTTGTATGAAGGTTGTCCTTCACTGCAGGTCACACTGTCTGCATGTCCGTACAGTGCTGTCTCAACACTAATCACTCCAATATCTGTTACATAAAGAGGGGCACATTAGGGAGAAAAAGACAGAGTTGAAGAAGAAATACATTTTTGAGGGACAAAAAGATTATCTTTATTTACAATCATCATTTATTTAACTACAGGAGCAACTCTAATGGATTTCATCAAAGTAACCCTTTCTCAAGTATTGCTGTTTTTGTCAATCACTACCTATTGTTCAAAAAAAAAAGCTATCTGATCAACTGATTCTGTAAACATACTGACTACATTTGTATTCCATAAAAAATTAGTTTTTGGTTTTCTCTTCCTGGTTGAGTCAGATGACAAAAACATTTACAACCAATCAGCTCTTTACTGTCGCCCAAATAAAAGTAAGCACTGCTGTGGACAGAAAGTTTTGGGAAATAGAGTCATACCACAGCTCAGTCGATGGACATGGTTGCCTTCACAGGTGGTAACTGTCTCTGTGGGGACACCTAAAAACAGATATTGAGGTATTAGTTTAAGCACATTATTTAAAAATGTATTCAAGCATCATCTTACCATACACACACACACACACACACACACACACACACACACACACACACACACACACACACACACACACACACACACACACACACACACACACACACACACACACACACACACACACACACACACACACACAGATATTTACCTGCACTTGCAAGCAGACATGTTGCTGCAAGCACTAAAAAAGAAACAGCACTGTTAGAGTGTTATCCAAACTCAAAAACAGAACACAGAACAAGTTTTAAATGAATTATACTGTGCCCTGAAACCATGAAGAGATATAAAGGGATGTGTTGGCTTGTTTATTAATATAAGTATACTCACAGAGTGTGATGCTGAAGCAAAGCATGGTTTTAAAAGACACTGTGGTATGTTACCAGTGACATACCACTGACGGTGGAAACATACACACACTCAGTATTTAATCATTTCAGATCTAGGGCAGTCTGTGTCTATTGTGCAAACCTGACTCCAGTGGCTTCTATGCAACTGGCTATAATTTCAAGAAAGAGAATAACATGACCCCAGGAGGGACGGCAGACATCAAAGCACAGGCTGAAAAGGCCAATTTGAAGTCTTTAGTTAACCAGGGAAAGCATACAGACACACACACAGGGAAACTGAAGAAGAACAACATTAATACAATTAAACACATTGAATACTTTATTGTAAGTGTTATAACTGACAAAGCTTAAATGTGTATCAGTAGCTATTATATCTGGCCACTTTTAAGACCAGTTTCTATGTGTAATCAGAGCCTGTCTCCTACAAATTATGCTTATATCATACTAAATGATTTTGCTGATGTGTTTAGATGATCTTTTTATATAATATAATTATCATCCTGCATCCAGTTTGTGGTTGGGTTTAGGCTACATAGACACTATGTTTAGTAAAAGATTGGCATTTTAGTTTTAATATGGCATAAGCAAACTTGTCGTCTTTGCCAACATTTAACTAAGACCATACCAACGGCTTTGAGTTTCCTAAACAGAGAGACGAAGGTGGTATCCTTAAAGTAGTACATATGTACTATTCATGATGATAACTGTTTGAGTTTAGTGAGATTCTTGGCATAAGATGTCTGTCAAAGTTAAACTGGGAGTGCTGATGTAAAATCCCAACTTTGCTTTGCTGTGTTTACAGTAACCACAGAAAACAATGAGATGCACTAAACACCCTAAATAATAAGAAATTACAAAAATTACAAATGCATAAAGCTGGACATCATAGCAATGATAAAATATGCAGCCAAAGGGAGGATGTAAAGGGAGAATAAGACAGGTCCTAGGACTGACCCTTGATGAACTCCATAGGATGGAGGCGCTCTCTCAGATGGCATAGATCTGATGATCTATGTTGCATTGAAACCAGTGCAAATCAAAACAACTAAAATGCAATCTTACCACAATCAGACTGTTTACTTAGCTTTTTATTGAGTGAATATCATCATTGACAAAGAAAAAGGACTTTTTTTTATATCCAAAGCAGGCTGGCAAGCAGTGTTTAAACAAATGACATGTTCTTTAAAATGCAATAGACTGTGGTGCCCTTCTGAGCTAAAAGGAACAAAATAAAGCACATTTATGATTTAAGCTGAAGTACACTGCACAGAGAGGAGAGTCATCCAGAGTACTTGTTTTGGAAAATGGGGGGCTCAGTGGGAGTAGGGAAAACAGAAATCAGAATATTTTTTAGATGACTGGAGACAACTGGACCTAAAGTTGCAGTCAACAATGATCTGTTGTTGCCTGCATGTCTGGAGGCTAGGCAAGAGCAGTTGTCACTTGTTATGCAATGGTTTGTAAAAAAAAAAAAGTCTGATGGACCAGGCATAACCTGATTGGGCCAGACGTGGGAGTGAAGTCCTGGTTGGCTCCACTGTAAAGTTTGTTGGCCAATAATAATATAATCAATAGGGATTTTTCTACTTGGGAAAGAAACAAAACTATTGCAGAAAACAGACTGAAAAATAAAATTTCAGACCGAAAATCACAGATCACAATGAGAAGGAAAGGAAGGAAGAAAAGAATACAAAATATTGATAGCCCAAACTACACTCACTACAGCGAAATATATTTTACTGTAATGATGAGTAAAACAAAAAAAATGGTATGAATTTTATTTGTACCATTGATTGGCCATTGAGTTCACCAATTGACATAACAATATTGTCATATTGGACAAATGTAGCATTAGAGGAAAGGTCAGCGATCGCTTAAGTCATTAGGTTTCATCCTCCGGGCACCCTGGATTATATGTGCCATTATATATGTTCTGTTCCATTCAGGTCAAATTCAAGTCATTGTGCTGCTAATGTGCATGTTGGCTGACTAGAAAGTCTCTGCTACACTAAATTTAAAGGAACCTTAATATAATCGGTAACACCTGTGTTTACCCTCCTGTTGCATGTCAAAATGTCTTCTGTGAAAAAGTGTAGTCCATCTTTTAACCTGATATACTAGCAGGCAAGAGACAGTACGCTCTCGGTCTGTCATCACACACGATTGGTCGCACGCACATAGACATCAACACAGCATTCAGTCAGTGCATGGCAACGCACAGAGTGCAAGAGGCCAAGCAGTGCTGCACAATGGACAGCAACTCTGTATAATTCTTAGGTTTATTGGTGAGACTGGAGTCTCTGTTAACGGTGACAGCAGTTTCATATGAACCTCATTTTAAGTCCTCCACAGGTTGAATGTGCATTAGTAGATCCACGTATATGCTCATCTCCTGTCTGTAATGGCAATCTCCTCACTGTCCTGCATTATTATAAACTATGATAACCCGGTTATCGCCTGCATCCATTCACTCCCTCTCTCTCTCTTCTTCTCCTTGTAGTTCTCATGGTGTATTAGTTGAGTGTTCCTGCCTGTGTGGCTGTGGTTGCACATAGAGTGTAGGTTTTCAAGTTTGCGGTCTGTTGTAGTGTAAAACATTCTAAAATTAGTGTAAAATGTTATTATTAGGAATGAATGACTGCAAAGACGATGGATTTTGCACAGCATTTAATGTCATTATATAGACTGACTTTCTCTCAGACCCCCAACTGTGATTGACTTGCTTGAAAAATAATGCCCCCTTAAATTTCCGCCTTTACTTCAGTTTTTTTCTCTAAATATTACGGCTAAGCTAAGTTATAGCTAAGTTCAGTGTTAAGCCCTTCTCACGCCAAGTCTGTATTTTTCATCCAATTGTTGAATGTTTCAAAGTAACTAGAGGCTCACATTGTTTTTACACAACAACTCAAAAACTTTTATCTATCAATAAAGGTTTCAGAACATGTTTGATTTTCTGTTGTTTTTTTCGCACGAGTCAGATGAGGACAGCACACAGACAGCAGGAGGAGAGGGGGGACAGCTCAGCCTCTTGTAGCTGCGGTGCAAAATGCAAGATGCAGCCAGACAGTAGCGACAGCCAGCAGAGGAACCTCCACTGGAGAGAAACGGGAGGAAATGAGAGAAGGTAGTGGAAGACAGAGTGACAACAGTGAGCAGAAAGCTCCTTTATCAGCAGGTGAGAGTCTCCTTCATCTTGACACCTTGGATCCAGTATTCCCTTTTTCTATGTTCAAGTGAGAGGACCACAAAATAATTTGCATTGATGACTACGTCTCGTATTGTGTATTTCATAACGAATAAAATAATAAGACACATTGGACCTGTGCAAGGTGTCTATGCGTAACGATTTTAATCAGAAGACAAATTCATCCAAAAAATGTGGCCTTGGTGTGCAAAGGCCTATGCCCCTTTTTTCTACCAGGCAAGCATAGCTACTAATTTCTCATTAGTAGTATGCTTGCTTTGATAATGTGAGTTGACCAAGAGCTAGCTCGCTGGCCAGCTAACGTAACCTTTGTAACAATAGCTACCATTGGAGACGTATGTAGTGGCGTAGTGACATCTGACAGCTCTGAACACCAACACCAACCTAGAACGAGCACTAGGTTCGCATTGGTGGATAGGGGTAGTGGGATCACTGAATTTATTTCTAATTTGCTTTGGACCAGGAACAACAACAGCATTTCAGTTTTTCAGTATTTAAGAAGTTAGATAACATCCACTGTTTTATTTCTAATAGGCATTCTTCTACCTTGACCAGCTGATGACAGGTGTCAGGCTTAATGGAGCTGTAAAGCTGAGTATCATCTGCATAGAATGAAAACCTTGTTTGTAATGTTTAATTAATGTACCAAGGGGCAAAATGTGAATAAAGACAAGAATAGGACCAAGCACAGATGTTTTACAAGACACAATTCCAGTAAGAAAGCTATTTATTATCTGTAGTAGTGGGCTCAGAATTCTGGAACAAACAGGATCTGATAGGAATTATCAAGCTTTTCTTGTGCATATTTCCTTATTCTACTTTTGTTGAATAATTATTATAAAAATTGCAATATAATAAAAACCTTATCACAAACTGACAAGGCACATGCTGCTGATGTATTCTATTTAATAAATTTATGTAGTGATCACAGGATCTGCAAAAAAATAGATACAAAATTTATTTCAGATAAATATTTAAGTTTTTTAAGTGTAAAATGTATTTTTTTTTTCTGTACAGCTCCTTAATTCAAATAAACACAAAGTTTCTGCATTTAAGAACCACTGTAACCACACTAAAAACTGAATACTTTTGGATTATTAGAGCCTACATTTTAGGATTTTTAGAGATAAAAGAGATTTAAAGATATATATTTACATGTATATATCTCTGCATCATTGCCTTTCTCTTGAAACGTGGCCTTCAAACTACTTACATTCACATGTGTAAGCCACCTCCAGGTACTTGTAAGTGCCAGCACAGGGGTCTCCAAACACTGAGTTGCTTGCTTTAACAATACAGCTGTTTTTCCCAGTACAGCTGTGAAGGCAGAGTAACTAAGAGTGAATACAGGCATGGAGCATATAAAATCTGTGTTTTTTTCTGTACTGTACTGTTAGCCTGAGGTACAAGTTGACAAAGAGTGGCCGACTGTACCTTTCAGAAACGTGGCTGGTTGGATGTGCACAGTCAGTGTTTCGGATTTTAGAGGGAGACCGTTGGTAAGAGCATGTGGTCTGGTCGTGGCGTCCATAATCAGCACTGTACACATTTATAACCAGCCCTTCATCTAGCAGAAAGAGGATGAGGAGTTGAAAGCAGTGCTGATGCATAAGTGTCATGAAAATATAATAATGCTGTTTTTACATACAAAATTTTTTTTTTTTACCACAATGCAGGTGTGCCAGAGAGTGCTCACATGTCACTTGGTGAGCTGTGAAAATAACATTAATCACATCAAACATGTATTTTTAACCCCTCACACCCAGTTGATGTATTTAAATAAGATCTGCAAATAAGATCACACTAAAATAAAACTTAAGTGTAGGTCCCTGTCTTTATCTAATGACTAATAGTAAACTAGGAACATTTCAGCCCTAAAATTGTGAGAGGAAAATCACACACAGAATGTCCAATCAATGTGAAACCATTAAAACCATTGGACAAACAGGCAGAAAAACAGAAGACAAATATCTGTAAAAAAGAAAAACTTGTGACTGACTTGCTGGGAAGCAGTTGTACTTGGTCTGCAGATATTTGTAGGTGCCCCTGCAGGGATCAGATGCTCCGAAACCATTTGGACTTAGTTCACACAGCCTTTTTCCATCACACCTACAGAGAGAAGATAAAGAGCATGATTCAAGCAGAATCACAACAAAGCTGAAATACACTGGCCTCGGTTAATGTATGAGACTAGATCTTTCCTCACTCCGTGATGAGTTAGTCGCCATTTTCATATCAAAGCTGAAGAATAATAAATTTGTACTACTTGTTTTGTAGCCTGGTTCAATTTATCTTGCTTTATTTTGGACTAATGTTCGCCTCTCATCTGTTTCCTGTGACTCTTGAGAAGGCTACATCCAAACAAAAGTGGAGATGTGTGACATCCTCAAAGAGAATCTCATCATTTTTATGAAAGTGATAAAAGATGTATTTCTCAAAACTGGTAAGATTAATCCTCTTGTATTCCCCTCAACTATGAGCTACCTAATACATTCAGCCCCAAAGAGTATCCCTGACACCTCGCATCAAATGTCCCGTTTCCACTGGCCTGGTAGGCTATAGCACACTTGGGTGGGGATCACTGCGTCCTGGGAACCTAAGTCTCTACGGCATTGCACTAAACTGAACATATGTGGTCACACAGCTACCTGAGAAAAAAGCCCAATTTACAAAGGGTCTACCTTCTCTTGAGCAGAGCCAAAGTGTCTGTCAGAGAGCAGTCTGTTGTAGAAGTTTTGTATGAAGGTTGTCCTTCACTGCAGGTCACACTGTCTGCACGTCCGTACAGTGCTGTCTCAACACTAATCACTCCAATATCTGTTACATAAAGAGGGGCACATTAGGGAGAAAAAGACAGAGTTGAAGAAGAAATACATTTTTGAGGGACAAAAAGATTATCTTTATTTACAATCATCATTTATTTAACTACAGGAGCAACTCTCTTCAGATGACAAAAACCTTTACAACCAATCAGCTCTTTACTGTCACCCAAATAAAAGTAAGCACCGCTGTGGACAGAAAGTTTTGGGAAATAGAGTCATACCACAGCTCAGTCGATGGACATGGTTGCCTTCACAGGTGGTAACTGTCTCTGTGGGGACACCTAAAAACAGATATTGAGGTATTAGTTTAAGCACATTATTTAAAAATATATTCAAGCATCATCTTACCATACACACACACACACACACACACACACACACACACACACACACACACACACACACATACACACAGATATTTACCTGCACTTGCAAGTAGACATGTTGCTGCAAGCACTAAAAAGGAAACAGCACTGTTAGAGTGTTATCCAAACTGACAGAACAGAAACAGAACAAGTTTTAAATGAATTATACTGTGCCCTGAAACCATGAAGAGATATAAAGGGATGCGTTGGCTTGTTTAGCAAGACAAATAATATTTGACAAAATAACATCCAATATTTCCTAAGTAATAACCACTTATCTTTGTATTAATATAAGTATACTCACAGAGTGTGATGCTGAAGCAAAGCATGATTTTAAAAGACGCTGTGGTATGTTACCAGTGAGACTGATGGTGGAAATACACACACACTCAGTATTTATTCATTTCAGATCTAGGGCAGTCTGTGTCTTTTATGCAAACCTGAGTCCAGTGGCCTCTATTCAACTGGCTATAATTTCCATAATGAGAATAACATGACAATTGTTAAAGGAAATTGTGTTATTTACATACAGCCTAATGTAAACGTGTTTATCTTAATCAAAGAAAGCATCATTGATTATGGCAACACATAAACATGGTGAGAGCCAAGGGCATTTTGTTGTGCAGAGCCTGGGAAGTTTGATGATAAACACGTTTTGTCACGGGGGAAGAGACAGTGAAAGTCTTTTTCCCAGGAGCTGTATCTATGTGTCCGGATCCTCCTGTCCTGCAGGTCAGGCAAACAGGTGTGTCACACATCAGCAGCTGTAATGGCACATGATCCTTGACTTTAAATCAGTCCATGAACTCTGGTTGTTGTTTGAACAAAGAGAGTGTCACTGTGAGCGAAAGGTAGGGAGTTTCTCATAGAACATCCTCATTCAGGGAAACGTTTGATTATTGATGAATCAAGGAATCCCATCCCCTCAGGAAGAGCATTTAGGCAAGGCGACTGTGAGGTTCGAAAGAAAAAGTGGGGAAACTGCTTTCTGAATTAAACCCTTCATATTCCAGATTTGTATTGTACTTTGTGCAATCCGAAGAATAAACCACATTGTACTGGAAGAAGTATGTTCATCTGTGTCTCAGTGTTAAAAAAAAAAAATCTATTCCTAGTTATTCCTAGGTATGGAAAAATAAAAAATAAGTACAAAATTAATACAATTTAGCACACTGAATTGGGGCTCCCTTGAAGGAATTCCTCAAGAAACATGTTGGGACTGAAAAGATTCCTCCAAAGTGGCAATGGTGAGGAACACTTTGGCTCTTCTGCTTCTAAGATTGCAGGCACTGATCTCCTTAATCAGTTTTAATCACTTAAAATATCTAAATTTAAAAGTTCCTCACCACAAAGCTGTATTTAGTTGTATTAGTTACTAGTTAGTGATCAAACTTTCTCCCCTTCACTGTTTGTGTAGAGCCTTGTTCTAACCACATTCCTTAATGACATTTCACCTTCATACAGGTCGTTACTATGGCAACGGCCAAAACAACTCAAATACAGCGTTATGGTGCCTCGGCTTGAGCAAAAGGCGCTGCGTGAGTGGCGGCCAGTTACAGCAGCTCTGAACTTAAAATAAAATAAAAAAATACGAGTGAATTTCCCCGTTGTGGGATGAATAAAGTATAATATAATCTAATGGTTCCGTTTAATTTGGTATATATTTAGTCCACCAGTCAGTACCTATTTTAGTGAGAAATCATTGTTGTTATGATATCCCAAAGATGAATGAATTAATAAAAGCTTTCATCACATTCAGAAATTCATGTAAGACAACATGTTATGTGTAGCATGGCATGGCATCCTTCACATATAGAGATATGAATATGAACATTATATTCAATTTCTGCCAATTGATCCTCCTAAATCTGGACCTTAAAATCTAACTGTAAATGCTAATTATAAATGTAAAGATAAAAGTGTAGAAAATATGCAAATAGAACGGGCCTCAAACAAGTGTGAATCTATTCTGGCATCTGTTCTGGTTCTGATAGCCATTGTTTTTTTGTTTTTTTTTACATTGTTTACAAACAGATAAACATAGACAGTACATGAGCAGAAAATGCCACGGGACGGACGTAAATCACAAATTAGTTAAATTGTACAAGTTAATAAACATAAAGTTTGGATTGCTTTCTTATTTTTACAATATGGGAGTAATGTTAATTGTTTTATTTATTAATGTTTATGGAATATGGAATTTTGCAAGAGGAAGGATCAAACTGATGATATAATACTGATTTCTTTTGGTAGAAGGGTAATAAAAAGCACATAATATATATAAAAGGCTCAAATCAGAAACAATGTAATGGCAAATAAAAGCACAAATATCTTTCCAAAAAGAACAACACAAAATAAATTACATAAAAATGAGCAGGTTACATCAATGTCCTTTTTATATCTTTACAAAAAATAATAAAGAAATAAAAGCAGTGAGTTATTTTAGAAGACACTTCCTTGACCTTATTTAAAAAAAATATTTAAACTGTAGACACCATATTTTCCTCCAGTCATCACAGGTTGACCAACAACAGTACCAACAGGATGCAGTGGCAGTACAGTCTGTTCAGATATAACTGAGTTTCTAAGAAGCGTTACGACACCAGAAGGAACTGCATCAAAAACTAAAGCATATTCCTTTGTTGGTATAGAAATACAATACGTCTAACAATGACATGACATTAACACACCACTATGAGCTGATTAACCTGGTAAAGTCCATGGCCAAACCTGTTCTCCAAGTATAATAAGTCTCTATTGTTCCAGAAGTAATATCTGTGAGGAGAAAAATGATGCTCCTAAAAAATAAAGACCAAGAAAGGATCATTTGTTTGAAAGTTTGACAATTTTAAATGGATTTTTTCAACATTAAAGCTGCAAAGTAAAATAAATGTAAGGCCTCTTAGTTGAAAGAACAAACTGAAGTTGGGTTTCTGATCCAATTTATCTTAAAAGTATTGTTAAGGGTAGAAAATTAAGTAAGTTCAGGCCATCATGTTCACAGGTGTTTGTTAATACTGATTTTCTAATATTGTGAGTTCTGTTTCTCCACACAAAGTTAAAAAGTATGTTATCAATAATGGAGAGGTTTGTTAACATCTAGATACAAGGCTGCATAACGAAGTCTCTGCTTTGGTAATTAAAATTCTTCCTCTAAGGGATAAATCTCTTTGAAACCTTAATATATTTTTTTTCTGTACCTTAAATATGATGGGGTCGAAATTCAAGGAGCATCCAGTGTCTTTGTTTTGTTAATAACTTGAAGGTAATTCCAAGGTAAGTTACTGAATCTTTCACAGGAATATTAGAAACAGAGGGCGAGCAGCTCACACTTACTGCTGTTAAATGGAGCCAAGAGGTGTTAGAAAATATCTTAATAATATCAATAGTGACTGAAACCTGAGAAACAGAGAAGTATCGTCAGCCAGCTGACTAATAAAGATCTCATTTTCAGCTATTCAAGCGGCACCTTTTATTCTTTTGCCAAAGATCTGAGCAAGGATTTTGTAATAAAAGAAGGCAAATTGGTTTATCAATGCAAATCAGATCTTTCTTTGGCTTTGGAATTAGGGTAAAAAGATTTTAAGATTTGAATTTATTGAAAAGATAGCCCCTTGAGATGCTGCATCTCATTTTCGAGGGGGTCCTGAAGACACAAATACAAAACAAAGCAGATATAAAGGAAGAGCAGCATTCACTGCAAATACAAAGATTCAGACAGCTTGCTCGCCCTTCCCACACACATTCCCATCCCATAAAAAAACAAAAGGTTAGAAACAATGACCTGGATAATAAATCAAAAGTACTGAAGGTTATTAAGTAAACAAAAATTAGAAACATAATCAAGTTGTTTTCAAATGAGGAAATGTCTTGAAACAACGGAAAGAGGTGATGGATCTCAAAGAAAGTGGAGGAATATTCCAGTCAGATGGAGCTTTACATTAAAATGAACTGCATTCAGCAGGATATTGCAAGTGTGTAACAACTGCTTCAGATAAATTTAAAATAAGACACATTTAAAAATAAATTGAGAAAAAGGTAGGAGGGAGAAAGTGCTTGCTTGAATATGTCTATGCCCCGTGGAGGAAGGGGGCTATAGTTGCTCTGCAAAGGTAATATAAAATTCAGAGGTTAAGCCGTCAACCCTCAGAGATTTATTCAGTTTTAGGTGATGAATGCCAAACATGACCTCATCTAAAGTTATCAGGCTATCACAAAAATCTTTTTGGTCCTAATTGACTTTGTTTTGGTGAGGTACCCTAAAAAGTTTGTTAGCTGCTTCCTCACTGTGTAGTCATTCATACACATTTCTGTAAAATGTGGAACAATAATTATCTTATGGGGATCATCAGAAGTAGCACCACTGATATTGAGTTTTTGAATAGAATTGGACTTTCTAATTGTGTATTGCTCGCCTTTTTCCAACCATTTTCTCCTTTAACTTTACAAAGGCTCCCTCCAGATTTATTTTGTATATTTTTAATTTCATTTATTTGGTCCTGTTTTTCATTTTCTGATAGACTTCCAGGTGTTATTTGGGTAAGTGTGTGTGTGTGTGTGTGTGTTGGTTGGTCATGTAAAAACATCCATTAATATATTTCTAACAGTATCCACTTTTTCCCACCCCCATCAATTTTGATTACAACATCATTAGCAAATCTTTTTTTTTTTTTTTTTTGCCTGCACGACTATTGGGTTTTACTGTGCTCACCGACATCAGGTTCAAAAGAGAGGAATAATTTTTCACACAGCTTCACATATGGATAAACTTACAACAATTCATTACAGTGACCAAAAACTACATACACACATTTACACCTTATTCCCCTCTTTAATTTGTCACTTCGCTACCTAATCTCATCCCTGTTTTCTCTCTTTTCTATCCTCCATCTACCTGGATATCTGTACCAAGTTTCACGGAAATACACTAATCCATCCAATAGTTGTTATATTATTGTTGGTTGTTATAAACCACAAATGTGAATCTCATGGTGGTGCAGAAAATGGATCACCAAAGTCAGTAGGATTTATCCTCTAGGAACCACAAATGTCTTTACAACATTGTGTGCCAGTCCTTCGAGTAGATGTTGAGATACTTCACAGAATAACAGAAAACATCGGCCTAGAGGAAAAGTCAGGGAATCAACAAAGTCAGCAGGCTTCATTCTCAGGGGACAGATATCACGGCCATCTATCCAATAATTGTTGATATATTTCCATCTTGTCCAACGTGGTGGACTGTCAGATTGACACAGCCATACTTAAAAAAAAAATTCAAAATTTTTTTAGAAGCTTTATTTTATTTAACATTTGTCATGTTCACAATTTATTTTTTCAGTAGGCCTTATAACATGATTACCACGTTAGACAATGGCTGAATCAATTAAAAATTTCCTGAGAGGCTAACTGAAGAATTAGAGCTTATATGGAGAAACTGACTGACTGCATCTTATAAAGGGACTCCCAGTAATCTCAAGTTAATTTTTCTCTGTTTCTCTGATATGAGAAACATCAGGTGATGTTTGTGTCTCATGACTTGTTTCAGAGTGTGTTAATTTTGTTGCTGTTAGAAATGAACCCACGTCTGACACAGCGTGTGAGGTGAACAAATGAGATGGAACCGTTTCTAATTGTATGGGGACCCCAGGTGGTAGTGGATGGAAATAAAACACTCACAGAAGGCATCTGTGAGATCTTGAGTCTTCTGTGACTCACCAACACCATCTACTGGTGTCTAGTAAATGTGCACTACTGTTTAACTTGCTGCTATCAGGCTCACATACTATTACTCTGTGGTAGCACATGCTGCAACACTAGCATGTTTATAAATGACACCAACAGATTCTATATTAATGCTAACAACATAATGTGATACATAATGTAAGCACAAATATCCCATTTTAACAGAATCAGTATATTAAGAGACTTAAAATAAGAGTCAGCAAAAGTATTTTACATTGATTGCCTTGAATCAATGACAGCTGCTATTTGTTGATAAGACACCAATGATATAAAAAAACTAATCTGAACCACATCATCACACTATGTTGATGTTTTCTTTCAGACATGACACTTACACCTAAAAAGTTCATTTAGAAAAATTGCCAACTATTAAAAATACAGCAAGACATGATAAACAGATAGAAATGTAGAGTAAGACATGGCTCTCGATAAAAGTACAACACAACTCAGCAGATTCATACACTCTGCACAATCTGCTGAGACATAATTTGAAGAAATTAAAGTCATGCCTTATAGCGCTAAAGTAGGCTAACATTCCCGGAAAGTGAAGCTGTGAGGTGTTAAGATGAACTTTGGCTTTGAAAGTAGAGAAGTTTGCGGAGGAAGTTAAAGGAACCAGGCATCTGCTTGTAGAGCCCTTTTGCAGAGTTTTGGGAGACTTCGTTGTTAACCTGCAAATGAGCACAGTCAACAATCACATGTGTGTATGTTTAAATTAAAAAACTCTAAATGGTCAAAGTGGGTTCAACAGAGTCTCGGCTAATTCTGCTAATACACTAAGAGAAGCTCACCATCATCAACATTGTGACCAAGTCATGGGTAACCGCATTTTCCTCAAGAATACGGTCTAGTATCTCGACGTACCAGGAGCCCGACTGGGTGTCCCTCCAAGAGACGTAACCTGTTTTTGTGTCACATGGTCAAAGCGGCATTAGGAAGACTCACACAGCAGGCCTATGTGTGTGTGCTATTGATCAAAATAAACACAGATGCATGAACGCAACACAAACACACCGGGAAAAGTAGAGTAGGACACCAGAATGTCACTCGGGGTGGGCAGTGAGGCTCTGGCGTCCAGTTCATCGGACGTGCTCAGAGAGTCGCTGCTGGAGGACGTGGGAATGGCATCCGTCTGATCGTCTGCTCCACCGATGGATGGTTCAACCTCATCGGGGGACACCTCAAAACCATGGTCTTTTTCATCTAAAGGACAAACACAAATGTTTCCCTATGAGAACCCGTCAAAGGTTGCTTTTTACAGTCAAATTTTAATAGTTCAGAGTTAGCTACCTCCTCCACAAGCCTGGATGAAGAAAAGTTTGGGTTTGCCCTGTAACGATGGACAATGCTGGCCATTGAGGTAGTTTGTGATGTGCTGAACCTGGACATACTGTCCGTCCACACCGAACACAGCACCAGGGAAGCGGTTGTGACTCACCTATAAACATAAATATGAGCATACATACGGTCATAAGTCATCTGGATCTGAACTTGAGTAGGTCAGAGAGAAAGGTGTGATGGCATTTATTATGTGTCAGCAGATGGAATACATCCGTTTAATGAGTTTGTATACATCAGACACATACACTGAATACATCTATTATTGTGAATTGTTCTCAGGAAAAAATAAATGCAGGACATGTCTTACCTCAGTCCCATGGGACAGCATGATGACCACGCAGCAGTCATACTGTGAATGGTCCTTCTTAGATAAAGCTGACAGCTCGTGTTTGATTTGCTGAAATGCAGAGATAATTGTTTACAACCTCAAACTCAATGGTTTAAGTATGGTTTCAGCACACAGAAGTAGAAAAAAAATGACTCATTTCTTACTTTTTGTTTCAGGTTTGTCTTAACCTCCACAATGAAGTTGAGCGCCTTGAACCTGCGCTCCAGCTTGTCACAGTCTATGTTGGACCCTTTGCGATTGCTCAGCTCGCTCTGAGGAGCAAACTCCACGTTGTTTATGATGAGGCAATGTCCGCACGGGCTGCAGTCCATTTTATAGGTCTGGCACACACACACACACACACACACACACACACACACACACACACACACACACACACAGAAAAGGGAAGCACAGAAGGAGATTTAACGAAGATAATGTGCTTCTACATAAAGCATTATCTTTCTGTTGGCTATAAAGCACACAATCTATAGAAGGTGCTCACCTGGATGCTATCTCGTCGAGTCCTGCCTTGTGGTCTCATGTACTCCCTTTCAGGTGCTGTGACAGAAGCATCCATATGTGTTAAACATCAAGGAACTTACCAGACTGTTACCAATATGTGAATTAACCTTATAGCTTACATGGAGTGGGAGTAGTACTGTGTATCTGTTTTGGATAAACTGGGACCTCATCTTTTTTTCGCTTGTCCACATCCATTGGAGAGGCTGTTGGAGACACGAAGAGCACGTATATGAGCAGTTAATGTTTTGTAATCATTTGCCTATCTTTAAGGACAGTACTTGGGGAATATAATAGCACAGATTCCCACACTTACACACTGGGAGAGGGTGGAGCACAGGGCGAACAACCTGAGTGGGGGTTGCAGGCTGTAGTTGAACAGCTGGAGCTTCATTCTGTAGGAGCTCTGCCAGACTCTGCTGACCTGTCTCCTGAAGGCACTCCACGAATAATGGAAAGGCTCGCCTCCCACGGGTCTCCAAGTCCCGGACTAGCTGGCTGGCCTGCTCACGCCTGGTCCCAGAGCTCTGAGAGGAGACACAGTCACAGGTGTGTTAGGTTACCAAAGCGTTTCTCTGAGCGTCCACCAACCACCCCGCCCCACAGACAACTGACGGTTAACCTGATACCTTTATTTCATCGATCATGTCCTGGGTGAAAACTCCTTTTTCAAGAAGGCCATCGTAGAGCTTTGATGGGTCCAAGTCTCTCACGAGATTGGTCCTGTTGCGCTGAAGAATCTTCCTGTATCTGTCCTCCATTTAATACTAACGACCGCCAATGAGGAAGACGGAGAAATACCGTAAAAGCTTGTAACTAACTAATTTTGTTACAATTACAGAGTCAGTCGGTATCCTGAAACAACCCCACTCGTTTGTGGAAGGGAACTAAAACCTTGTTCCTGTACCAATATAACAAGTGTCCTTTTCATTTCTCTTATTTGTGCTCGGTTGCATTCGCCGTTTCCTTGTTTACATCACCGCTGCCTGTGATTGGTCCAGAGAGAGAAAAAACAGGGTGCGTTTGATTTTAGTCACCGCGCGCCGCTGCCACACAGCCGGCGCGCCACAGTACAATCACCCGAACAATAGCAGCGCGACTAACGATAAAACAAACACACACAAACGAAGTGTAAAGTGTCACCATAGACTCAATCTCCCAAAATCACTTTCGACGCTGGGCACCTCCCCCCTCTCTCTACTCCTGCTTCCCAGCAGCAGGTTGTCAGCTCGCCCTGGAGGCAGGAGCTGTGGGATGCTGATGAACACACCCTGCATTTCGCTGTATTTTCACATCAGCTAGCCAAAGAACATCAAAACCTTCACCAAATATGTGGCGTAGTACCGGCTGACCGCGTCTACTTGAGGTGACTGTGAATGTAGAGCTGTTGCGTTCAGACAGACAGACAGACAGACAGACAGAGAGACAGACAGACAGACAGCTAGCTACTGTAGCAACGCAACTAACCCCTAAGGGGGAAAAAACTGCGTGACCGTCGATGAATATCGTTAATATGACACCCACTGACACGTCAACAGGACTATGATACTGTAATGTCTGTTGCTGTAGCTGACATATAACACCTAGCTCGTCTAGCTTCTTCAGTTAGCATGCTGTAATGCCACCCAGTGTAGCTTCCCGGTTGTCTTCATGGTTGTGCATCATTACAGGGCTAACGTCAATATGGAGGAAAAGCTGTCTCAGGTTTGCGAGTCAGCTAAAAGGCTGTGTCGTGATTTAAAGGTGTGAACATGCCCACATTGAATCCACCTGATGGTGATGGCTCTTCCGATGTGTTGCAGGTAACTGTGATGGCGCGGTCAAAGATGTCTGTTCCGCTGGTTGTGGTGGTGGTCCTCTCAGTGCTGCTGACAGGAGCAACCCATGCCGGGCCTGAGATGGACCCATACAAAATCCTGGGAGTAACCAGGAGTGCAAGCCAGGCTGAGATCAAGAAGGTCTATAAGCGTCTTGCAAAAGAATGGTAAAAGCTTTCACATGAAACTGAGCTTGTTTTTATCGACCCAGTTGAGTTCTCAGCTAATGAGCATCTTCTTCTTAAGGCATCCGGACAAAAACAAGAATCCAGGTGCTGAGGACATGTTTATCAAGATTACCAAATCATATGAGGTAAGTCACCTTTTAAAATAGAATTCATCAAAACCACAATATGTTATAAAGCCAGTAATACATACAGGAGAGGAAGGTGTCTGCCGTATTGATATCTGTTCTACCCCAAATCTAGATCCTGTCCAATGAGGACAAACGTGCCAATTATGACCGTTACGGGCAGACAGATGACACTCAGCCATACAGCGGCAACCGCTACGGTCAACGCCACGACAGCTTTTACTTTGATGAGTCCTTCTTCAACTTTCCCTTCAACAGCAAGAACCACAGAGACTTTGCGGACAGCAAATACATATTGCACTTTAACCAGTATGTGAGCGACGTGGTGCCCGACAGCTACAAGAGACCATACCTGATAAAGATCACCTCTGACTGGTGCTTCAGCTGCATCCACATCGAGCCTGTCTGGAAGGAGGTGGTGCAGGAGATGGAGGCCCTAGGTTTGGAATGAACCCATAAATCTTCCAGTATTATCCAGCAGCCCTGCCGTCTTTGAAATTACATTGAAGAGGTTGATGTTTGTATGTTTGTTGACATCCTGCAGGTGTCGGAATAGGTGTGGTGGATGTTGGCTATGAGAGGCGGTTGGCCAATCACCTCGGTGCTCATCGCACTCCATCAATACTCGGAGTCATCAATGGCAAGGTGACGTTTTTTCATTACGCTGTAGCAAAGGAGCACCTGAGGCAGTTTGTAGAAGACCTTCTTCCTCAGAGACTTGTGGAGCGGGTAAATATCCGACTGTCTTCTGATAAACATGAGGTGAACAGATTTATAAACGACATTCAGCAGATGGATTGGTGGGACAAAGTCAAACATGTTGTGTTTTTTTAATATTTCAGGTCACCGACAAGAATGACCTGCAGTTCTTGAACAGCTGGCATGAGCTCAACAAGCCACATGTGCTTTTGTTCGACCAAGTGCCTGTCGTTCCTCTACTATTCAAAGTAGGTTATTGCCTTGCACTTATTTCATGTGAAATGCACTTCAGGTGCCACTGACAGTAACACAAACATGTCAATCATTTATCTCTGCATCTCCATAGCTGACAGCGTTTGCTTATAAGGACTACTTGCAGTTCGGCTATGTGGACCAGGGTCTTTCAGAGACCGCCAATCTGCAGAAACAGTTCAATATCAACACTTACGCTCCAACCATGCTGGTCTTCAAAGAAAACATTGACAAGCCTGCTGACATTATACAGGTAAATCACAGCAATCGCAGGAAGCTCGCGGACAGAAAGTAGTTCCACTTTGTTTTCCTAGTCACTGTTTTCTATATCTACAGAGCTGGTTGCACTTGTGTTCACTGAAATGCCACCTCACGTTTTTGTCTATGTGGTTGTGTTTAATCTGCGCAGGCTAAAGGAATGAAAAAGCAAATTATCGATGAGTTCATGTCAAACAACAAATTTCTCCTCGTGCCACGGCTGGTCAATCAGAAGCTCTTCGATGAGCTCTGTCCTGTCAAACAGTTCCATAGACGCAGAAAGTAAGAGAACCTCACATCTGTTCACACAGCTTGTTTATGTTTGTGTTTGCGAAGTTCCTCTAACGTCTTTCCTCCCCTCAGATACTGTGTCCTGCTGATCACTGGTGATGAAGAGACCTTTTCTTTCGGGAACCAGGCGTTCCTCTCCTTTGCCTCCACCAATGCCAAGGAGGTTGTTAGATATGCTTACGTGTACCAACGGCTACAGCAGCCTCTTTGTGACATCCTTATGCAGAACAAGGACAGCGCGCAATCACCAACACAGGTAGACTCATACATATATATTAATTCAGCATATTGTTTTGATAATCAGTAATGAATATAATGTGTTAGTTTACCGAATTCAGACGAATTATTACAAGGGTTGTAGCTCAGTTACACCTTAAAAATAAAATAAAACAGGACCCTCAAGTTTATTTTATTTTCTAAAGTGGTCCTGGGAATAGACATTTAACTAAATAACTCAAGGTCCCATAAAAAGTGTATTTTTCAAGATTCATATTGTCAGACTTTTTCTTACTCAGGTGGTGATCCTGGAGAGGCGTAACGCTGCAGGCAAGGCCTTATTCAAGCCAGTGACAGCCTGGAATGGCAGTGAGGAAGACAAGCAGCGTCTTCTGGAGGAGCTGGAGCGACTTCAAAAGGACCCGTCCATCCTCATCCATGACGCAATGCTGCCTGAGCTCAACAACGAGTTTGCCTCTGTAGGTTCCCTAAGAGTAAAAATAGTGGGTTTGAACAATGCTTGTCTGTGCCGCCAGTATTCTTATAACCGCCAGTCCTGCTACTAAATGTACAAATACTCTCACTCAACAGATGTTTGTAATCCGATGGATCTATGCATCTTACGATTACCTCTCTGAAGTCATCGATGATATTCTCCATAACAACTGGTAGGTAAAGATCTTTAACTGTCTAACTGAAGTTTAATTTGAGATTCAGTTAAACAGTTTCATGTGTATGTAAGAATTTGATGTTAAAGATTAAACATTTGGAAGTGTGAAAATTGCACTACAACAGTATGTCATTTTATGTTATGTAATAACATACGATGATGCCAACACAGATGTAAATAGAGTGTCTTGTTGACATCTATGATGATTTGCAGGCGTGAGATGATGCCTCTCCTGTCCCTCATCTTCTCTGCTTTGTTCATCTTGTTTGGAACTGTGGTCATCCAGGCCTTCAGGTTAGTTGTGTTACCATATCAGAAAAACTGTCACTATGGCAACATCACCTTCTCATGGGATTATTGTGAAAACACAGTACACAGAGAGCTAGACAGACAAGCCAAAGAAACCAAAGTAATAACGCTATTCACTTTGCTCTTCTACGCCTGCCTATTACCTTTGGGAAAATGTTATTTGTGTGTGTTTTATTTTTCAGTGACTCAAGTGATGATAAACAGACTAAACCAAAGGCGAAAGATGGAACAAAAGCAGAGAATGGGTCACCGGGGACCGGTGGTACTTCAAGGCAAGAGTACATTTATAATTTAGATATTTTATATAGAGCAGGATTTATCATCAGGCTTTTAATGTTCTTTATTTTTGATTTTAGTCGGCCTCCCAAGAAGAATTTTGTGGAGGTGACGGAGCTGACAGATATCACTTACATGAGCAACCTGGTGAAGCTGAGACCGGGACACATGAACATAGTGCTTGTGCTCACCGACGCCTCCAAGAACATCCTGCTCAGCAAGTTTGCCAAAGAGGTCTACTCCTTCACAGGGTAAACTAAACATTGACTTTTCCTCATGTGGAACTGAAATCTCCATTATGTTATGTTATTAACAGCTAGCACACTTTGTAGTTTTTTTCACATGCTGTTGCAACAACTAGTAACGTTCGAAAAACTACAACACCACACTGGATCTAGCTAGACCGGAAACAAAACAACAGGCACGCTGCACACACTTGTTTAAGAGCAGCAGACGTTACGTTTTGAGTGGATAGCGAGTGAGAGACGCTGAAATGGATGGATTCCTTGTTGTCTGAAAATGTCGACAGGCTTGTCTGTTTGAGTAACTGGCTCAAAGCAAAGAAATAGTAGGCTTACCTTTTATTGGTAACCGTTACTGTTCATTCTTTCTGAAATAAGAGGCTGGATTGAGCCTCTGGTGAATAAAGAGCAGTAGCCTGACTGTTATGTTCAAAGCAAACTTGAGAAAAGTATTAAGCCATGGTTTAACTGCACTATATGCTGAGTCCTGGTTTACCTTACATGTGCACTTTGTAATTTTATTTTGTATCGCCCTGTTTCGATCCGTTAGAAAGGGCTGTTGAAGGGGCTGTTTGTGTGACAAAGTACTTTTTTCACCCTTTTATTGATGGACAGTGTTACATTGTGTGAGAGATTATTGGCTCCAAGTGAGAATCTT